TTGGTTCTTTCGGTAAAGTCACGTAGAAGGGAAATAAAATAATAATAAAACGTGAGAATTTTATTTTCTTTTTATTTCTAGATTTGAAGCTTTCGTGACTGCAAGGATTCTCTTAGGTTGTTTCGGTAAAGTCACGTAGGTAAAAAATAATAAAAATAAATGAAAATAACTAAATTAAAGCACGACGTTTCGGAGGCAACACAAGTCTCCGCCTTCAGGTGGGACCGTCACAGCCACATTTACCGAAAGAACCAAGAATATGACTTTGCAGCTGTTAAAGAAGATACTGGGCAGCAACGTGGTGCCAGACGATGAGTGCGTGGGGATGGTGTCTGTTGATGGTTTCTGCATCGCGAGTGCAGGCATCGTGTGAATAAACGTGTGTTGTATTTAACTTGCATTGACGACCCCCCCGTTTCATCTGCTTGCAATGAACAGAAACTTTTTTTACCATGGCACCACAGGATGGGGAGTGGAGTCTTTAAATTATTTTAATTTGACCAGGTAGACCCCCAGTGCGTCAGACGCGACCTGGCCACAATGCAGGGGTGGGGAACCTTATTTCTGCCAAGGGCCATTTGAATATTTATATAACATCATTCGCGGGCCATACACAATTATCAACTTAAAAATTAGCCCGCTATATTTGGTTAAACATTTAATTAACTCACCCCTAATGTGATGGCTGGAACTGCTTCTCTTTGGCGAGGCGTGTGATGTTAGCTGGTGTTGATGATGTTGCTGCTACTCGCAACTGCTTTTCCAGGTTTGCTCCTAGATTTAGTGAATCCTTTATATTAAGTTTGCTTGCTTGCTTGCGTGCTTGCTTGCTTGCTTACGACCGTGCAAACCTTTCGGTCGTTTTTTAACCCACTTCCCGTGATCCAATCGAGCTGACATTTTGCACACAGACTCGTTGTGCGAGACAAGTAATGTTCGTGAAAAAAAATTCCAAAATTTTACAGTTTAGGGAAAACAAATTAAATATTTAATTACCAATTGTTTAATACTGCAGACAATCATCTGACCCATAGGTGGCAGCCATCTCAAGCCAGAGGACGAGAGGACTCTAGCCGCCACGCATATAAACGATTTAGAGTGAAAAACTTTGTTTTTACGGGTTATACTTATTGAATTTCGAGTCCCGCCTGCGGTTGCCTTGGCAGGACCAGACCAAATGATTTCGCGGGACTTATACGGCCCGCGGGCCGGACGTTCCCCACCCCTGCCTTGAAGTGATAGCTCAACGAAGTAGCTTATCACGTGTAAATTGAAATAGCCACATCCTCGAATGTAAGGAAAGGTGGGGGGGGAAGAGAAATGAACAAGGAATGGGAAAAATTGACGCAATAAAATTAAAACTATTTTTGGTTTTATTTTTCCACCTACTTGACTTTACAGTGTATTCTTGCCCGTTAATTTTCCATAAAAAAACGATCGTCCCAAAAAGTGTTAACAATTTTTTTTTCAAATCTTATAAATAACCAGAGATAAGCACGGTCAAGCCTGGAGGGGGCTTTAACCTCTGAACTGGCATCTGTCACCGAGCCCCTCCCACAGACCCCACGCCTCCGTCTCCTCTCTGAGGGCCTCCGTGTCCCGTCCGCCCCACGGAGCGATGGAGTCTCTTCTGGCCACAGCCGCCGTCTCCCTCTGCGTCTCGGACGTTCTCTCGGCCGCCCGGGGCCCCGTCTCCTCCTCCTGGAACACCGCGGAGGCCACAGCTGCGATGGCGTGGACCCGACGACACCTCGAGAGCGCGACCACCCCACACGGCCGCCCGCCCGCCGGCCACGACGCGCTCTGCTCGGCGGGGCTTCTAGGCGAGGCGCGCGCCTGCGGCCCTGCCTCGGTGTTGTGCGCGCTGCTGAGGAACCCGTGGCTGGGCAAGGAGACGCGGCTCTGGGCGGTCGGGGAGGCCCTGAAGGAAGGTGGGGACGGTGGAGGGGCCTTGCTGATGGAGCAGGCGAGGCTGAGGGCTTCCGTGGAGATGCTGGGTCTGGCGGCCTCTTCAATAACAGCATCATCATCAACGACAACACCACCATCATCAACACCACCACCATCATCCTTCGTGTCGTCCTCCTCTTCCGTCTCATTCTCGTCGTCCGCCGCGGCGTCCACCTCCTGGCTTGACCCCAGGGCTCGGCTCCTGCGGGTCGCTGTGGCGGCGAGGCGGAGGCGAGGAGGCGAGACCGCGGCAGTGGAGATGCTGCAGCGTGGTCGCCTGGCGGGGAGGAGGAGGAGGATGACAGGGAGGAGGAGGAGGAGGAGTTCGTGGCTGGCTGAGCTCGCCCTGGCCGCGCTGGTGGTGAAGGGTGAGGAGGGGGAGGAGGAGGATGAGGATGATGGGGCGAGGGACACGATTGAGCGGTGGCTGCTCGAGTCGGGCGCCTTTGAGGAGGTGTGTGATGGTGGTGGTGATGATGGTGGTGGTATTGGTGTTGATGGTGGTGCTGGTGGTGCTGGTGGTGTTGATGGTGTTGGTGATGTTAGTTGTGGTGGTGGTGGTGTTGGTTGTGGTGGTGTTGCTGCTGGTGGTGTTGCTGCTGGTGGTGTTAGTTGTGATGGTGGTGGTGCTGGTGATGGTGGTGTTGGTTGTGGTGGTGATGATGGTGCTGGTGGTGTTGGTGGTGTTGGTGATGGAGGAGCCAGCTGCGAGGTGAAGCCGGCAAGGGACCGAAGCCCACACAGCCACTCAACTCGACAACAACAGCAGCAGCAGATATCAGCTCAGGACCGAGCACCAGCCCAGCAGCAGCAGCGGCAGCACATGAACCCGAGACCGGACCAGACCACCTCGCAAAGCCTCAACCCATCAACGCAGCGCCATGCCGACAAAGCAACCACCACAAGTGGCCACGCACACCCACAGATGCCCCCATCCCTGACCGAACCCCGTGGCCTCCTCCTCGCCGCTTGCGCCCAGCGGCCCCGGCTGCGCGACTTCTACCTCGAGCGGCTGAGCGGCCACGTGGCCTCGCTGCGCCGCGACTTGGGGGCCCACGGGGGGCCGTGCGCGACCCGCTGGTGGACGGGGTCACCCGGCTGGACAGAGCTGCGGGACCGCTTCTCGGAGCTGCTGATGATGAAACCGCCCGGGTCGTGCCACAGCGAGTTGCGGGAGGCGGCGGAGAGGACAATCGGGGCCCGGCGGGACCCAGCGTTGGCCCGGCTGCCCCTGCGAGGCCTCGACCCCTGGGAAGATCTGGCCAGAGAGCTGCGGCTCGACACGTGATGGTCAGAGGGGGGGGGGGGGGGGTCCAGATGTCTTGTGACCCCCCCACCCCCATTAATTGACTGACCACTAACATTTTTCATTTTTTTGCCCATTTCGTAATTCATTTCTGTTTTCACACTCATTGGTATACACGATTTTACGTTATTTATAGATAATTAAGTGGGGGGGGGGGGGGGGCGTCACAAGACATCTGGACAATCCTGTACAACTCGCAAATTCATTAAAGGACCCGTTATTTAAAATATTTTTTTACGAGAATTGTAATTCAGCCGAGTGCTGGATGATGATGTCTGTATCCAAGTTCTACTTCTTTCGCGCCGTACGTAGCCAACCGTGCTCATCGAAGGCACGGGTAAGGACAACTGGGTATCTGCGAGTCTTTAAGTTTGTATGTTGAACTTCTTTTGCACCGTACGTAGCCAACCATGCTCATGGGAGGTGCAGGGAAGGAGTGGTCATGTGATCCTCGGAGCTCATGAAGCGGGCATTCGGTCACGCGTGGCGCTAAATTATGTTTTTCTTTTAAATAAACATTTTTGAAAGCATACAACCGTTTGAAAATATTATATTTGGATAAACAAGGTTATCCTCTTGCAACTTGAGCAATTAAAAAAATTTTATTTATAAAACCCAAGTTTTTTGGAGGCGAAGGTTGGTAGATCATGCAAATGTTTGCAAAACTCCCTTGTTGTTGGCATCAAGGTGTCATACCCCGGCTCGCCAGGGTTAAAAACCCTAATATAAACTACTTTTATTTTACAAGGTAAAGCCCACTGAGCTACAGAGCACTTTTTCATAAGTGGCTTATGTGGAAATGTATATCAGCCAAATACTCGAAACACATTATTAATTTCATTTTTTACCTACGTGACTTTACCGAAAGAACTAAGGGTATGAATCCTTGCAGTCACGAAAGCTTCAAATCTAGAACACATTGATAAGTCATGGAGAAAGCGGTACAGAAAAGTATGGACCAATATCTCTGCCTTCTGTATGGGATAGAGTGTTTCCCCCTCGCACCCGTTGGTCTGGTTTCCTCCGACACGTATACAAAGTTCATTTATTGGCCGAAAACATCTTCGTATACAGAGGACTGCAGAAGTTCGGGCAATTGTGAGTAGAGACGGCTCATTGGCTGGGTGCTGCATTCCAGCTTGTATGTAAGGTGAACTTCTTTCGCACCGTACCTAGCCAACGTGCTCACCGGAGGTGCGGTGAATGGACAACGAAGCACAAAAAGCAGCTCTAAAGAAATTGGGTTTCAATGTGCATACATAGCTCCAGTGACTTCCTGATGTAGGAAGGCAGAGCATTCCAGACGGCCGCAGAAGCACATCTGAAAGCGCGCGATGCGGTGACCGTCATCTCTGTGGTTCCTCGGTGATTGAGCACTGGCGGAGCCAGTGGGGGGTGGGGTGGCACGTGCCCCCCCTCAATGATTCGATCGAAATCCCTAATTTCGGGGGGATTCGATCCCTAATTTCGATCGGAGCATTGGGGTTTATTAGTAATAAATCGGCATTTTGCGACCCCCACTGCCACTGTGTAGCAGATTATTAGGTGCCAGGGACTCTACGAGATGATAGGACAATAGTCTGAGTTCATAATTGGCAATAAGTAACGGCAAAGCAGTTATAAGTGACTCACAATTGTGCGCAGTTATGAAGACAGTACACGACTTCCCTGAAGGCATCAACACCTTCAGCGAGCGCGATGCCGATCACACGACGCGGTCGAATAAAAAAGCAAGGGACAAGTCCTTACTAACAACTCCTTACTAACAACTCCTTACTTACTAGCAACTCCTTTCTTACTAACAACTCCTTGCTGGAGGGGTTGCCCCCCCCCCTGACCTGAAAATTCTGGCTCCGCCATTGATTGAGATGCAATTTGCATTAACACAACCGCTATGAAACCAACATCATCTTAGCCCCTGAAAATAAATAGCTTCGTATTAAAACTGGGGGGGGGGGGGTTAAATACTCAAAACCTCCTTTGAAATTAGTGGTGCCTGTTAAGGAATAAAAACAATACCAGATTGGGAATTTCAATGCAAAGTTAATCATTTTAATAAAATGTCCACATTATGGGTGTAATAAAAAAAATCAGCGCTGTGATAACATAAATACGTGTTATAGATATACATAGCATACTCTCTGAATTATAAGATTCTCCCAAAAAGTAGTGCGCGGTTGTGTCTTCGGGTCTGTTTTGGTGTATCCGTGTCTCGGTTTGTTTCGGTCAGTATTGGTCTCTTTCGGGATGTGTCAATGTCTGTCGAGGTCTTTCTTGGTCTCTCCGGACCTGTCCGGGTCTGTCCGGGTCTGTCCGCGTCTGTCCAGTTCTTTCCGGGTCCTTCTGGATCTTCTCGGTGACCCAAGAGAGGGCAGGCGTGATCAGTCGACCGACACGTTTGCCGGCACGGCCACTGTGATGCCAAACTGCTGTCCCAGGCTCAGCAGCTGCTCCTCGTACACCAGGTTGCGTTTCACTGCCTCCTTGTAGTTGAACTTGAGGTCTTCGATCTCTTCAAAGAATGCCGGGTCGAAGCTCTCCAGCTCCTTGCGAAGGCCTCGAACCTCCTCCTGGTCACGGTGGCGCACGCACAAAGTCCCCCCCGGTGTAGCATACATGTTAATTTTTTCTCTAATTCCTCCCTCTCTCTGCCCCCGCCCCCCCTCTGTCTATTTAAGGCCTCGCCACAGAGACGATCTCCTTCTCTGTGTTACTCTCTCTCTATGTATCTTGGTGATATCTGTCTGCTTATATGTCTGTCTATAGTTTTCTAGTTAGATTTTTTGTTGCTATTTCATTTATACCTGATGACGATTGCTTGTGTTGCAATCGAAACGTCGTATGCTATTATTTAATTTATTATTTTATCTTTATATGTGACTTTACCGAAAGAACCAAATAGTAATTCCTGCAGTCACGAAAGCTCCAAATTAAGATTTAGCATACACAAGCTTTCGTGACTGCAGGGATTAATCTTCTTGGTTCTTTCGGTAAAGTCACGTAGAATGGAAATAATAAAATAATAAAAATCTAACATAATAAAATAATTCTCACGACGTTTCGGCCACAACGCAAGCAGCCGTCCTCAGGTGAAGAACAGACAGTCTTCAGACTTCTTGTCTTCTCAACAGACCTGTTCTTCACCTGAGGACGGCTGCTTGCGTTGTGGCCGAAACGTCGTGAGAATTGTATTTTATTATGTTTGATTTTTATTATTTTATTATTTCCATTCAACGTGACTTTACCGAAAGAACCAAGAAGACATAAACAGGCTGTTGGGGCAAGTGCTGTTAGCAAACACCCAGGGGTGGCCCCAGACTAGCTGCCAGCACCTGGCACCCTAGACCAGGGGTCGGCAACCAAAATAACAAGAAGAGCCATTTCTTTCCAATTCGGTACAAAATTCAGTATTTCAAGAGCCGCAATGCATCTGAGTACATACTGTACATACGTACATATTGTCAAGAAGCAGCCCGTAAAGAGCCGCATGCGGCTCCGGAGCCGTAGGTTGCCGACCCCTGCCCTAGACGAACCATGCAATCGGCGCCCCAAATCCCAAGGGGAGCTCTAGGCTGAGGTTTTTTTTGGTAAAATGGGAAATACGTTGCCCCTATTTTCCATTTAACGTCTTTTTTTAAGCTTATTTTTAAAAGAGGCATAATTATTCGCTTTGTCCATCCGTCTCTCCGAGCAGTAACGTCTCCGAAATGTTGAGAAATTAATTATGATTCATATTCCCTCTGTCTGCGCACAGGAATTGAAATAACGACATCTTCGTTGTTGCATTTGTGTTTTTTTCCTCGACTTTGGCACCCCAGTTAACTTAGCGCCTTAGGCGATTGCCATGGATCGCTGATATGGACGAGTGGCCGCCCCTGCAAATACCTATAAATATACAAAGACAGAGATGCCCACGCTCGTATGAGGTATATTGTACACTGTTGGGGCAAGTACCTTTGAAGGCTGGCACGGCGAATGGAAATCAATCCAGTATTGTCTGTATGTTGAACGTCTAACTAGAACACCATTTACTAAAACACGGATCGTGTATCATAGTAAAGGGGGTACCAGTGGTTAGCGCCCTACGTTATGAACCACGGCGACCTGAGTTCGATTTCTCCGTCACGGCTAACATCAGTGAGGCTGGAATATGAAACCAATTTTCATGGCACTCTCTTCACAAACCCGGTGGGGAGTACGGTTGAACAAGCCCCATCACTGACACGGTGCGGGGAAGGCCCTTACCCAGGAGTCGATTGGCAAAGGGGCTGTACCATTTAATAATCGAGGTTTTTGGGTTAGACCGCGCAAATATAAATGTGTTGTTAATATAAACGTGATCTAACCCAAAAACCTCTCGTGGATAATAATGGTCGTCGTTAAACTGCCTATACATTTTTTATGCGGTATTACACTGGTCAACAAAAAAAACATTTTTTTCTGGCCTGGACTTTTGCAGCTGTTTTAGACTAATTTCAGGGTGCTGATTCCAAATCTGATCTCAGATTTGCTCTATCACATCTCATTTTTATGCTATCGGCATACCCCATTTTCATTGATTTTACCCGAAATTAACTCTGTCACTTATGAGTGCAAGTTGTTGCGAGTCAGTGACTGCTTTAGTGTTAAAATACGGTGCTGTATTTTTAGGATAGTGTGTTTATAATATCATTTTATGTAGATATCCACATTTATTTAATATTTTTCTTCCGCACTTTTTATTGAAAATGCAATATTTGATATCTCAAAAACCTGATGCGATAAGACAAAAACTGATGCCAGATTTGGAATCAGCACCCCAAAATGACATTAAAACCGTTGGAATACCTGATGCCAGAAAAAGTGTGTTGACCAGTGTTATCAATGACTTGTTAACATGCGCTCAACGCTACGCTACCTCGAGCCGGCCATTGTGCATCTTCATCTCACGCAGCTGCACTTGCACCTGAACATTCTCCTGCAGCAGCTCGTCATAACGCCGCGCTTTCTGCAGAACATCGCGCTCTGTAATGCACGCACGCACACACACAGCAGCAAGAGACAGCCTTTAACAGACAGTTGGGTAAAGTGCTGCTGCTTCTTATTCTTTCGTATGGCATGTAAATCAACAGCTTGTATAGATGATGTCATCGTTGAATGTCAAGATACTTCAAGCAATCCAAGACGGCAGTAGACGCTGTACGGATTGCAGCGATACTGCCAGGGTGCGCATGGATGGCGCACTAGTCGGTGATGTGGTTTCGGCTTTACCGCAGTTTGGTGATTCTTTGATTTTATATTTTTGGCAAGTGCTGCTAGCGAGCGCCTATGAAGGCCGGCACGGCGCACGCACGAAGGGGGTGGTGGGTGGCCAGCATCACACCCGGCCGCCTCGATCTCCGCCAGGCTTACGAAGATGACAATGTTGGTCTTTGTCATGACGGGGATCACCGTAATTGTTATCATGAAAAAGCAGTTCATGATAATTGGTTTTTTACCATTTTATCTGGCAACAAAACTGACACCTTTTTTTGTTTACAAGGAGTCATGTTTGCATTGACCACAATACCTGCGGTCGGAATGCAACCAAAAAACACAACTCTGATAATGTATGCACTCTCCTTGAAATGGATTGTTCCACACCCGAGACAGCTTTCCTTAGAGCCTAGTCTCACATGGTGTTGGACCAGATGATGCTGCTGGCAAAGGAGGTTCCAAAGGTGTAAAAGCAGTTCATTATTAGAATTATGCAGCTGCTGATTACGATCAAGATGATGCTGGAGCTGCCAATGGTGACAATTATACTGCTGATTACGACTAAGATATTTCTGGTAATGATGCTAACGAGAGAATGCTACTGCTGATGCTACTGCTGCTAACAATTCTTTGGTTCTTTCGGTAAAGTCACGTATAAAGAATAAATAATAAATTAAATAATAGCATGCGACGTTTCGATTGCTAGGTCATTTAATTTTAGTGTGTTTCTTTCTTCCCCTAAGCCCGCTCACTTCTTTTTGTACTCATTGACATGTAAATTTTGTCTCTAACCCCTCCCTCTCGCTGCCTCCGCCCCCCCTCTGTCTATTTAAGGCCACCCCACAGAGACGATCACCCCTCTCTGTACCTGTGTTGCCCGCTCTGTGTATCTTGGTGATATCTGTCTGCTTATATGTCTGTCTATAATATTTTCCGGTTAGATTTTATGTCGCTATTTCATTATACCTCATGACGATTGCTTGTGTTGCAATCGAAACGTCGTATGCTATTATTTTTTTTTTCATACTTGACTTTACCGAAAGAACCAAAGAATAATTCCTGCAGTCACGAAAGCTCTAAAGTTAAGATTGCTGCTAACAACATTGCCGCTGCTGCTCCTCATGATGGTTGCGACGACAATGATGCCGATGACGATGTTGACGGCTCACCCGATGATGGTTCGCTCTTTCTCAGCTGCTCCAACTCCTCTCCCAGCTCCGCCTTTTCCTTCTCCAATCGGTCGATAGTCAACCTGCCAACACGCGTGCCGAGTGAGGGTTTGAGCCCTGGTGCTGGTCGTCTTGCGGAGGTGAGGTGGGGAGGGGGTGCATCAAAGTCCAAAGCCCAGTACCTCTGAAGTTCTTAACCCTTAAATCTTGACTTAAAGCTCTTTTTAAATCCTTTATATTAAGTTCACTTGTTTGCTTGCTTGCGCGCTTACGACCGTGCAAATCTTTCGGTCGTGTTTTAACCCACTTCCCGTGATCCAATCGAGCTGACATTTTGCACACAGACTCGTTGTGCGTGACAATTTATTTTCGTGAAAAAAATTTTCCAAAATTTTCCATTTTTTAGGAAACATTAAATTTCATATTTAATTTAAAATACCAATGTGATAAAAATGAAACTCTTACTCAAGAAAAACAGAAATGAATAATAAAATAAAACCGCTGCCACGCATATAAAGGATTTATAGTGAAAAACTTTGTTTTTACGGGTTAATTTTCTTCCTGATGACGGACGCTTGTGTTGCGATCGAAACGTCGTAGTTTTGTTATTTTTCGTTATTTTCTTTGAACCTATGTACGTGACTTTACCGAAAGACCCAAAGAATGTTCTTAACCCTTTCCCGTTCCGACACGCCTGCAAGTTGCAGGGTGCCGTGTCCTGTTCACCGCTGAATCTCGGAATGCGCCGGCGGTTCACCGTTAATTTTATTCGGAGCGGCGTAGCAGTGCCGTTGTTTTCACTCGCCGCAGAGAAAGCGTGGTGACGCTCCACGATTCAAGTTTTCAAGTTTCATTGATTAGGTATAGCCCTGTGAGCCATGCGGCTCTTGAGTCGGGTGCAACCGCAACAAACAAAATATGAACACAGAACATCTTAAAGCGACGACGCGCAACAGAAACATCCTGATTTAAAGCTTTCGTGACTGCAGGTATTCATCTTCTTGGTTCTTTCGGTAAAGTCACGTAGAAGGGAAGTAATAAAATAATAAAAATGAAACATAATAAAATAATTCTCACGACGTTTCGGCCACAACGCAAGCAGCCGTCCTCAGGTGAAAACCAAGTCTGTCGGGGAGACAGCGTCTCATTTTTATTATTTTATTACTTTACCGAAAGAACCAAGAAGAGAAACATCCTGGATAAACCAGCAAAAGAACCGCCGTTCGCCACTAAGTGGCTTCGACGTCACTACGGCGCTTGTGCCAGGCTAGGTGCACCAAACTCCACGCGTGGCCTTTTACTTACGATCCCGTTCGGAATCAATTCCGTGATCACTATGAGATCTCTTTTACCAGTGGCAAAATATAGTAGTAGGTTTTTACCCTTTTAAACTGGTACAAAACTGACACCTTTATTCAAGGCATCATGTTTGCAATAACCACAACACAAGTAGTCAAAAAAGCAAACAAAAAGAAGCAACTCTGATAATGATAATAATATGCACTGTTGCTTCTTTTTGTTTGCTTTTTTGACTACTTGTGTTGTGGTTATTGCAAACATGATGCCTTGAATAAAGGTGTCAGTTTTGTACCAGTTTAAAAGGGTAAAAACCTAGTACTAAATTCCGTGATCGTGAACGCAATCGGAAGAAGAACGTGATGACGTACGCGCGTATTCCATCGGAATGGTAAACGGTGAATACGAGCCGCGTGGCTGGGTATCTGGGCTCAGAGTGGCCGTGTCGGGCACCGGGAGCTGTACCTGGCTATCTGGAACTCCCTGGTGAGGCCCGGTTGGGATTTTGCCTCCTCCGGGAACTTCTTTAACAGCTCCACCTGCACAGCACCTTCGATTAGCACGGTTGGCTACGTTCGGTGCAAAATAACTTCAACACACACACATGCAAAGCATCGGCACAGCGACATCAAAGATACAGATCTCTGGGGCAAGTGTTGTTGGTGAGGACTTATAAGGCCGGCACGGCACACGAGGGGGTGGGTGGCCAGCACCAAGCCCAACCGCCTTTGTCTCCCCAGTAGCGATGTTTACACACCACACCAGGTACTCATTTGAGGCTGAGTTGACCTAGGAGAGGACAAGGACCGGCTCAGATGAAATCATCACTGGTGTTGGCCGTGAGCGGGAATCGAACCCGGGTCGTCGGGCTCGTAGCACAGCGCGCTAACCGCTACACCACCGCTCCTCACTACAGTGACATCTAGGGGAGCAGCACAGACATATTCGTGCCTTGACGTTATTTTTCTAAATAAAATAATTCACCAAATTATTTACCAAGACTAGGGTTGATACTTGGTTTTTTACCCTTTTATCTGGCAACAAAACTGACATCTTTTTTTTACAAGGAGTCATGTTTGCATAGACCACAATACCTGCAGTCATAATGCAAAGAAAAAACATAACTGATAATGTATGCACTGTCATTGAAGTTGATTGGTCCACACCCGAGACAGCTTTCCTTAGAGCCTAGTCTCACATGGTGTTGGACCAGATGACGCCAAAAGGCGCACCTTGGTCCAACACCATGTGAGACTAGGCTCTAAGGAAAGCTGTCTCGGGTGTGGACCAATCAACTTCAAGGACAATACATACATTATCAGAGTTGTGTTTTTGTTTGCATTATGACTGTAGGTATTGTGGTCTATGCAAACATGACTCCTTGTAAAAAAAAAAGGTGTCAGTTTTGTTGCCAGATAGAAGATTAAAAAACAATTATCATATTTTTTCTTCTGGCAAATGAGATTCCAAGACTAGGGTTCATATTCTTAGTTTTTTTTCGGTAAAGTCACGTAGGTAAAATATTAAAATTAATAAAAGTAGAATTTTAAAAAATCACGACGTTTCGGAGGCAACACAAGCCTCCGTCTTCAGGTGGAACCGTCACAGCCACGACAGCTGTATCAAGTACTTGATACAGCTGTCCGAAACGTCGTGATTTTTTTTATTTTATTCTACTTTTATTAATTTTAATGTTTTACCTACGTAACTTTACCGAAGGAACCTAAGAATATGAATCCTTGCAGTCACGAAAGCTTCAAAATGAGATTCCAAGACTAGGGTTGTCGTCGCCAAGTGCTGCTACCCGCCGTGCCACGGCTGCCCCCCCCCCTCCCCCCCGGGCCACCCCAAACTTAGCGCCACCGAATCTCGATCGCTGTCCGAGCGGGATCACCTGCTGCTCCAGCTGCCGTTGGCGGCGCCGGTGCTCGCCCTCGCGCTGCTCCGCCTGCCGCAGCAGCGTCCGCGCGTCCTCCAGGCCCCGGCAAGCGCGCTCCGTCTCCTCCTGGGCGTCCCGCAGACGAGCCTCGTACAGCCTCGACGTCCAAGAAAAACAAGACAAACAAGACAAAAAAGGCACAAAGATTTACACCAGAGCCTCAGCAGACTGTTGCAAGGCAAGTGCTGTTCGCAAGTAGCGCTCACGAAGGCCGGTAACGGGACATGAGGGGGGGGGGTGGCCAGATGTTGACTACCTCACCTGGTGTACAGGAGGTCGTGGGTTCGATCCCCACCCTGACACCTGCATTTTTTGAGTTTTGGTGTCTTTCTCTCATCAGATGTTGACTACCTCGCCTGGTACGCAGGAGGTCGTGGGTTCGATCCCCACCCTGACACCTGCATTTTTTGAGTTTTTGTGTCTTTCTCTCATCAGATGTTGACTACCTCGCCAGGTGTACAGGAGGTCGTGGGTTCGATCCCCACCCTGACACCTGCATTTTTTGAGTTTCTGTGTCTTTCTCTCATCAGATGTTGACTACCTCGCCTGGTACGCAGGAGGTCGTGGGTTCGATCCCGAACCTGACACCTGCTGCTGTATATTTGGAGTTTGCGTGTCTCTCTCTCTCATCAGCATCACGGTGGCTAGGAGATGTTAACTGCCTCGCCTGGTATGCAGGAGGTCGTGGGTTCGATCCCGACACTGACGCCTGTGTATTTAGTGAACATCAGCAATGTGTAGCCGCCCCCAAACCGAGACCCAACTTTAATTTGTGTTACCCGAGTCACATGGCGTTCAAATTTCGATTTAAAGCTTTCGTGACTGCAGGGTTGCATCTTCTTGGTTCTTTCGGTAAAGTAACGTAGAAGGGAAATAATAAAATAATAAAAATTAAACATAATAAAATAATTCTCACGACGTTTCGGCCACAACACAAGCAGCCGTCCTCAGGTGAAGAACAGGGCTGTCCGAAACACAGCGTAGTTTGTGTGCGTTCATTTCTCATCAGCATGCCGCATTGGCACCACAGTGGCCAGATGTTAACTACCTCACCTGGTATGAAAGAGGTTGTTGGATTGATCGCAACCCTGACACCTGCTGTATATTTGTGTGTACGTTCTCTCACTCTCTCCGCGCGGTCGCGTACATTTTCTTCCGGGTCCTCCGGTTTTCCCCTCCACATTCAGAATCAATGTATTTTGCCTGTTATAAATGTCCACGTGCTGATAAGCCACTTCGTTGAGCTAGCACTTGTGATGGCCAGGTCGCTTCTGGGGAAAATAAAAGATCTATATAGTCCAGTGGGCCTCACCTGGTAATACAAAAATAGTATCTTCTTGGTTCTTTCGGTAAAGTCACGTAGAAGTAAAATAATAAAATAATACAAATAAAACATAGTATGTTTTATTTTTATTATTTTATTTTATAATAAAAATTAAACATAATATGTTTTAAAATTAAAAAAATTAAACATAATATGTTTTATTGTTATTATTTTATTATTTTCCTTCTACGTAAATAAAACATATGCTGTTTAATTTTTATTATTTTATTATTTTCCTTCTACGTAAATAAAACATATGCTGTTTTATTTTTATTATTTTATTATTTTCCTTCTACGTGACTTTACCGAAAGAACCAAGAAGATGAATCCCTGCAGTCACGAAAGCTTTAAATCGAAACAAAAATAGTAATAATAGTTCTAAATCGACGTCTGTCTGGCGGTTAGCTTTGATGCACGTGCCGCTAAATGGTCATCGCGGTTGGCCACGTGGCTCCACCGTTTTTTTCCCGCTCTGGTGATCAGCACGACGAAGTCGACGGATGATTGTGCTCACTTCGACAGGGCCCCGGGCTTCAGGCCCTGCTCGTCGCTCGCCTGCGTCCGCGCCAGCTGGGCCTCGACTTCGGCGAGTCGTCGGCGCGAGCTCTCCGACTCCTCCCGCGCCAGCTCCAGCGCCAGCTCCAGCGATCGCTTCTCCCCCCGCAGCTTGTCCACAGCCTCCCTCTCCTGCGACGCGAGACGCGAGACCCGCGGGCGGGGCGGGCGGGGGAGTGAGGGCGACAGGGAGCGAGTAGCGAATTAATGGGACGACTGATGGGTAAGGTAGAAGGACAAGGAGTGAGTGAATGAGACGACTGATGGGTAAGGTAGAGGGAGCGAGTGAGTGAGTGCGGGCGGGCGGGCGGGGAAGTGAGGGCGACAGGGAGCGAGTAGCGAATTAATGGGACGACTGATGGGTAAGGTAGAGGGGTGAGGAGTGAGTGCGGGCGGGGGAGTGAGGGCGACAGGGAGCGAGTAGCGAATTAATGGGACGACTGATGGGTAAGGTAGAGGGGTGAGGAGTGAGTGCGGGCGGGGGAGTGAGGGCGACAGGGAGCGCGTAGCGAATTAATGGGACGACTGATGGGTAAGGTAGAGGGAGCGAGTGAGTGAGTGCAGGCGGGGGAGTGAGGGCGACAGGGAGCGAGTAGCGAATTAATGGGACGACTGATGGGTAAGGTAGAGGGACGAGGAGTGAGTGAATGAGACGAATGATGGGTAAGGGAGAGGGAGCGAGTGAGTGAGTGAATGATAGGAACAACTATGGGCGGGGGAGTGAGGGCGAGAGGGAGCGAGTAGTGAATGAATGAGATGACTGATGGGTAAGGGAGAGGCAATGATGAGGGACTGACGGGTAAGTTAGAGGGGATGAGGAGTGAATGAGTGGGTGAATTATTTACAGGAACAACTATGGGCGGGGGGAGTGAGGGCGACAGGGAGCGAGTCGTGAATGAATGAGACGACTGATAAAAGGGAGAGGGACGAGGAGTGAGTGAATGAATGACAGACAAAACTAAGGGCAGGGAAGAGGGACTAGCGAGTAGTTGTTGTCCTTGGTACCGCGTGTTTCATGTGTGCGTCTCTCTCCATGTGTGCGTGTGTATCTGCTGCGTGCGTCGTCACCCTCTTGATGTGCGCGAGGAGTTTCTCGTTCTCCGTGATGAGCTTGTCGACCCCGCGGCTACGCGTCTCGTAGCGGTCGCTCAGCTGCTGACCGGCCTTCAGACGCAGGGCCTGGAGCTCCGCCTGTACGGGGGGGTGAGCACACAGGGACACGCGGAGACACGCGGAGGGAGATATGATGACACGCGGAGACACACAGGGACACACGGAGACACGCAGACATGTGGGGACACGCGGAGACACACGGGAACACAGGGACACGCGGGGACACGCGGGGACACGCAGCCATATGGGGACATGCAGAGACATGCGGGAACACACAGGACATGCGGGGACACGCAGAGATATGGGGACACGCACGGCCACGCAGGGCCACACAGGGCCACACAGGGACACGCGGAGACACGCGGAGGAAGATATGGGGACACGCGGAGACACACGGGAACACACAGGGACACACGGAGGCACGCAGACATATGGAGACACACGGAGACACACGGGAACACACAGGACATGCGGGGACACACAGGACATGTGGACACACACACAGATATGGGACACACGGGGACACACGGGAACACACAGGAAATGTGGACACACACACAGATATGGGACACACGGGGACACTCAGGGACATACACACAGGGTCTCGAGACACATGGTCTCCTGGAAACTCCCCCTGTACGAGGGGAAGCATTGGGACACATGGGGAGACACGGGGATACTCGGGGGGCATGGACAACCAAGACAAAGATCCCCCGAGTAGCCTGTAACAGACTGTTGGGGCAAGTGCCGTTCGCGAGCACCTACGAAGGCCGGCACGGCACACGAGGTTGTGGGTGGCCAACACCACGCCCGGCTGCTTTTGTCTCCCCAGTGCTGATGTTCGCACACCGCATTGGGTACTCATTTGAGGCTGAGTCGACCTCGGGGAGGCCGAGGACCAGTTCAGATAATCGTCAGTGGTGTTGGCCGCGAGTGGGAATTGCGCTCGGGTCACAGCCGGGTTCGTGGCGCTAGCAGCTTACTCACCCTCTTAGTTCTTTCGGTAAAGTCACCGTGTAGGTAAAAAATGAAATAAAAATTAATAAAAATAAAACAATAAAAATCACGACGTTTCGAAGGCAACACAAGCTTCCGTCTTCATTTTTTACCCACGTGACTTTACCGAAAGAACTAAGAGTATGAATCCTTGCAGTCACGAAAGCTTCAAATCTAGAATTAGCTTACTCACCGTTGCACCACCGCCCGCCCCCCCCCCTAGGCCGCTGACACACGGACAGACGAACACACGGGCACACGGACACACGGACACACGGCGGAGTGGCGATGAGGGCGCACACGCGGCGAGGTCTACCTTGAGCTTGGCGTTGTCGGCTTCGAGGCCGGCGCTCCGCTGGGCCTCCACCACGCCCGGCGCTCGCCGCAGCTCCTCGTTCTCGCGCTGCAGCTTCTCCACGACGCGCTGCATCAGCCCCACCGTCTTCTCCAGCTCCGGCACCGTCTTGCCGCTGCGGCCCGCCTGCACCGCACGCACGCGTCGGCGGCGTCACGGATGTCGCGGTGCGATGGTGTGATGGTGTAATGGTGTGATGGCGTGATGGCATCACGGTGTGATGGAGTGGTGGGGTCGCGGTGTGATGGTGTGATGGGGTCATCCTATCACAGTGTCAGGGTGTAATGATGTGACGGTGTGATGGTGTAATGGCGTGATGGTGTGATGGTGTTACGTTGTGATGGCATCACGGTGTGATGGAGTGGTGGGGTCGCGGAGTGGTGGGGTCGCGGTGTGATGGTGTAATGACGTGATGGCGTGATGGCGTGATGGCAGTATAGTGATGGCATCACGGTGTCACGGTGTAATTGGTGTCACGGTGTGATGGAGTGATGGGGTCATCGTATCACAGTGTCAGGGTGTCATGGTGTAATGATGTGACAGCGTGATGGTGTAATGGCATTACAATTCGACGTATTGACAACGTTGTCGGTCAAACTGACGAAGAGCCACCGCGTGTCGAGAACATTCAACAGAAAAACGTTAGCGAGGATAAATATAGCGCAACGACGATACATCGCCGACTTTGACTTACAGGGCAACCCGACACGAGCTCGCGTGCACGACGGCCAGCAGAGACGACAAGAAGTGGGTATACAGGTAGTCCCCGAGTTACGACGGAGTCCGACCTACGATATTTCGATCTTACGACGGCGACAGCGATACGACAACATTGTAAAATATTTAAAATTCCGCGCGGCAGGCAAACGCAGGTACGATACTGTACGTTGGGACGCTGCCGGGATGTTACGCATCTCCCGCCTCGCGCGATGCAGATAGGATTGTTTCCTGAAAAAACTTTCTATTAAATTGCAGTTCATATCGGTCGGCTAAGAATTTACCTTGTTTTTTTTGTACTTTACATTTTACTGCGCGATACAGTATTGTAATTAATAAATACATGCAGTATATAGGTTACACAGCACGGTACTGTAAATTGCTCTGTTTTGCTAAATTATCACCATTCTTTAAGACTCCTGTGTAGGCTAGGACATCTTCGACTTATGATATTTTTGACTTACGATGGGGTCGTCGTAACGCATCTCCATCGAAAGTAGAGGACTACCTGTATATATAGAGAGAGGCCAACGGTAACGACACATACACACACGTCTACTTCAATACAGACTTAACATAGTCGAGCGCACATGATCGTTGTTGGTTACCTAGGTGACGCAATGACGCCTCTCCGCACCCGTAGGTCACGTGACAGGATGTTCTTTTTTTTTACTCGAGTAGGAAGTAAAGCCGTGAGTTTAAGATCTCTTTGTCCGCGTGTATGTCTGAATGCTGAACTCCTTTCACAACCGTACGTAGCCAACCGTGCTAACTGAAATGCGGGGGAAGGACAACAAACTATGGGTCTCTGTGAGTCTATGGGTCTCTGTGTGAGTCTATGGGTCTCTGTGTGAGTCTATGGGTCTATGTGTGAGTCTATGGGTCTATGTGTGAGTCTATGGGTCTCTGTGTGAGTCTATGGGTCTCTGTGTGAGTCTATGGGTCTCTGTGTGAGTCTATGGGTCTCTGTGTGAGTCTATGGGTCTCTGTGTGAGTCTATGGGTCTATGTGTGAGTCTATGGGTCTCTGTGTGAGTCTATGGGTCTCTGTGTGAGTCTATGGGCCTCTGTGTGAGTCTATGGGTCTCTGTGTGAGTCTATGGGCCTCTGTGTGAGTCTATGGGCCTCTGTGTAAGTCTATGGGCCTCTGTGTGAGTCTATGGGTCTCTGTGTGAGTCTATGGGCCTTTGTGTGAGTCTATGGGTTTTCAGAACTGCAAAAAGCAGTTCTTAAGAAATGAGTTTGTCAATTTATATGATTTAACAGTGCATAGCTCCGATGGCTAACTAACATGGGAAGGAAGAGCGTTCCAGACGGCCACAGAAGCCAAAAGCCACTGCGAGGATGACCGGAGTTCGCGTGACGACGGTTTATGCTCCTCGATGAAATCGGCAAGGTATTGCGGTCCATCTGTGGCAAGCGCTTTGTGTGTGTAATGAGCGCGACTGCATAATGACGTATTCCGATTCAAAGCTTTCGTGACTGCAGTGATTCATATTCTTGTTTTTTTTCGGTAAAGTCGTCACGTAGAAGGGGAATAATAAAAGAATAAAAATAAAACAATTAAATAAAATTCTCACGACGTTTCGGCCACAACACAAGCAGCCGTCCTCAGGTGAAGAACAGAGCTGTCTGAAAGACATCGTCCTCATGAACACCGCTAAGCGCGTCACGTATTTTCACATGCTCAACACCCAGCCACGTGACTTTACCGAAAGAACCAGGAAAATGACGTGTTCGTTCGGCAAACCAGAAGACACTGCCACACGTCACGAACGACGACAGATTTGGGGGGATGTGAATGTCTCACGCCTCTGACGTTGCCGAGTTTCCTCTCCATCTCTCCCTTCTCCCTCTTGAGCTGTGCGCAGAGGGCCTGAAGGTCGCTCAGCTTGTCCTTTAGAAAAACAACAACAACAACAATCAAAAACAATAACACAAGGAATAAAGAATAAGCGAGCACACGCACTACGTCGCCACCGGGCAGATGGTGGAGGGTTACACCTCGACTTGACTATACCTCGCACCGCCAATGAGCACGGTTGGCTACGTACGGTGCGAAAGAAGTTCAACGTACAGACATACATAGACTCACACAGAGACCCACAGACTCGCACAGAGACCCACAGACTCACACAGAGACCCATAGACTCACACAGAGACCCACAGACTCACACAGAGACCCATAGACTCACACAGAGACCCATAGACTCACACAGAGACCCATAGACTCACACAGAGACCCATAGACTCACACAGAGACCCATAGACTCACACAGAGACCCACAGACTCACACAGAGACCCATAGACTCACACAGAGACCCATAGACTCACACAGAGACCCACAGACTCACACAGAGACCCATAGACTCACACAGAGACCCATAGACTCACACAGAGCCCTATAGACTCACACACAGAGACCCACAGACTCACACACAGAGACCCATAGTTTGTTGTCCTTCCCCCGCACCTACGATGAGCACGGTTGGCTACGCACGGTCGCGAAAGAAGTTCCACGTACGTACACACACACACGCAAGGGGAGTGAGCTCCCTGCACCTGCAGCCTCGGCAGGTCCTTCCGCACCCTCTCCAGCTCGAAGCGCAGTTCCACGTTCTCGTCGGACAGCTCAAGGACTCGTCTCTGCACCTCCTGCTCCTGGTCCAGGCGCGAGTTGGAGCTGGGCGTCTGCGAACCGCGAGCAGCAACGACGGGACATTTTTGTTTATTTTAAATTCTAAATCTCAGACCCGCTCTTACAGGACATGTGTAAAAAATAAACTAAAGAAGAGCTTCGTAGCTCATCGGATTTGTCCAGGGTAATTAGATTCTAAAAACTAAACAATTTTTTATTTGATAATTGGTTTTTTACCCTTTTATCTGGCAACAAAACTGACACCTTTTTAACGAGGAGTCATGTTTGCATTGACCACAATATCTGCAGTCATAATGCAAACACAAAACACAACTCTGATAATGTATGTGCACTGTCCTTGAAGTTGATTGATTCACACCCGAGACAGCTTTCCTTAGAGCCTAGTCTCACATGGTGTTGGACCAGATGACGCCAAAAGGCGCACAACTCAAAGACAATGCACCATCAGAGTATGAGAGCTCGGAATAAGCATTTACACCATTGGTACCTCATTTGCCAGTAAAAAATATGATAATTGTTTTTTTACCAGGTAAGGCCCATTGAGCTGTGTATCTCTGTTTCAGAAGAGACCTGGCAACAATTGATAACCCAATGAAGTGGTTTATCACGTGGAAGTTACGTCGGCCAAATACCGCAAATGCACGTTGATTCTAAATGTGGAGGGTAAAACCGGGAGAAAAATCCACGCGACCACGACAAGAGAGACACGCAAACTCCAAATGTACAGCAGGCGTTGTCAGGGTTGCGATCGAACCCACGACCACCTGCATGCCAGGCGAGGTAGTTAACATCTCCTAGCCACCGTGGCGCCCTGATTCTGACAACAAATTAGGACGTACAAAAACAAGGCAGTGCACGCGAGACAAGAGCTCACATGCGCTTACAAAATTACGCGAGCAATGATTTGCAAAACCTAACATGACAGCTGATCGAATTAGCGGTTGTGGGGGGCTCTGTGGGGGGGGGGGGGGTGAATGATTTATATCATACTAATAGGGTTTTTCCCCTTTTTTCTGGCAACAAAACTGACACCTTTTACAAGGAATCATGCTCACATTAACCACAATACTTGCAGTCAAATGCAAACAAAAAACAATACTCTGATAATGTATGCATTGTCTTTGAAACTGATTGGTCCACACCAGAGACAGCTTTCTTTGGAGCCTAGTCTCATATGATGTTCGACCAGATGACGCCAAAAGGCGCACAGTTCAAAGACAACGCACTACCAGAGTAATGAGAGCTCGGGGTGAGCATTTGACTGCAAGTATTGTGGTTAATGTGAGCATGATTCCTTGCAAAAAGTGTCAGTTTTGTTGCCAGAAAAAAAAAAGGGAAAAACTCTATTAGTATATTTTGGTACTGGCAAAGGAGGTCCCATGATGATTTATATCATGTGTCTACAAACGGGGGGGGGGAGGGGGGGCAGTGGTGGAGACTGGCTACGCGTTCGACTGCTTTTGAGTCGACGAGGCGGAGAGAGAGTGACTCCGTGAAACTCACAGCCACAGGTTTTTGTCGACCGCACTACGACCTCGACCGGTCTGAACGCAACGCGCTGTGCCTAGCAAGCGTCAAGTCGAGCGGTCGCCCCGTGACTACTACGCCGACCCTGCTGTCGTCACGCTCGATGAAATCAAGACTCGCAAGCGGCACGGGATCGTTCTCTCGAGTGAAGCCTAAGCCCTTTTATACTGGTAGCAACCTCCTGGTTACACCAGCCCACAGGGGATTATTGTGTCCGTCCGTCCGTCGTGCAGGGAGGGGCTGGGTGGGGAGGGGAGGGTGCGGAGGGGCTGGGTGGGGCTGGGTGGGGATGGGCTAGGTGGAGATGGTGGAGAGGCGCTGGGTGGGGAGGGTGGAGCTGGGTGGGGGGTGGGAGGGGAGGGGCTTGGTGGGGAGGGGCTGGGTGGGGAGGGGCTGGGTGGGGAGGGTGGGGCTGGGTGGGGGGTGGGAGGGGTGGGGCTGGGTGGGGAGGGGCTGGTCACCCCGTGGTGCCCTTATAAAACTCAACGTTTAACCTACTCACGCCGGCTTGTGCCCGCCCTCACAGTCGGCCATATTTGCGGAATACACCACGCCGCCGTTGACCCTGGCCATTGACCGAGCAACCCAACGTTCCTACCAGCTCCCTCCGTAGGAGGAATGTGTTAACAGCTCGGACTCCTCCATCGCAATGCGCCCGATGGCGCTCGCCCCACCCCCCCCCCCTCTTTGTCCGCGCCCTCCCGGTTTAGCCGGAGGGGGGAGAAGCTACCCCAGGCAGCGAGGGCGTCGACGAGTTACCTCGGACGCCCCGTCTGAGTCGCGCGTCCCATCGCCGGTGCCGCCACTCCCCTCCCCTTGCCCACTGTCGACCCGCTCCTCGCGATTCCCCAAATCATTTCCCGGCTCCGCTCCCGACGGATCTCCCCCCGCCGGGCGGCCTTCCGGCGCGCATTCCGGCGGGCTTTCTAGCCGTGCCTCCTCCGCAATGGCCGAACCATCTCCCGCCGGCGATTCTGATTGAGTTTCGTCAGCCCCAGGCTCCTCCGGATTCCCGACGGCCTTCCGATCGTCTTCTCCTCCTCCGCTCGCGATCGCCGCGGCGGCGGCGACGTCAAATTCTTCCTCGTCTTGCTGAGCCGCGGCACGGAGCAGCCCCTTCCTGGGTTTCCTCGCCTGCATTCCCGCGACCTCCGGTGTGCCAACGCCAGGACTACCACCATCACCGCCACCGCCCACCGTCACAGCCTCCTCCTCCTCCTCCTGGTGTCCTCCCGGCGTCGCCGACTCCCCGGCTCCGCCGCCATCCCCCCGCCCGGTCTCCCCACTCGCCGTTGCTCCTGCGGCGGCAGCGCCCATCTCGACGCGAGCGCCGGGCGGTTCCCGCTCCGCTTCCGGGTTTCCGTTTGAACGGGCCTCGCTCACGGCCGTTCCTTCGGGTGGGGACGATGACGCCAGAGCTTCGTCCACGTCGGTAGAGAGTGCTGCTGTTGCTGCTGCTGCCGCTCCTGCTGCTGCTGCTGCTGCAGCCGCCACCGTTCCGTCGGCCGCTTCTGATTCGCGGAGGCGATCCGCGGGCGGCAGTTGACGCGGAGGCTGAGCTGCGACGCGGGGAGGGGGTTTTAGGGATGGGCGCTTCTGGGATTTCTAAGCGGGCGGGAACGGGCGGGCGGGCGGGCGGGATTTGAGGCGAGCACAGTCAGTGAAGGTAAAAACGAGAGGAAGGAGAGAGGAGGGAGAACAACGGAAGAAGAAGAAGCAGCAGAGAGTTGAGTTGGCGGTAGGGGTCAACCGGAGTAGCACGGAGCTGTCCGCGGTTGCACCGCGTGTCGTTCCGGCGTGATTTACGACGTTTCGATGCACATGCCGGGCAGCTTCTTCGGTTCCTGAAGGAGCTCCCCAGTGCGCGGTGCGAAACGTTGGACATCATGCCAGACAGAATGTGGTACATCCCGAAAACGCATCGGAAGAGAACAGAGAGGCCTAAGAAAGGCTCACTAAGGCAATGCTTTAAGAGGCCAAGCCTTGCTGACGAGACCAGCTGAAGTGAAATCTGCATGTACGTTGAACTTCTTTCGCATCGTGCGTAGCCAACTGTGGTAGTCGGAGGTGCGGGGGAAGGACGGCAAACTATGGGTTTCTGTGTGAGTCTATGGGTCTCTGTATGAGTCTATGGGTCTCTGTGTGAGTCTATGGGTCTCTGTGTGAGTCTATGGGTCTCTCTGTGAGTCTATGGGTCTCTGTGCAAGTCTATGGGTCTCTGTATGAGTCTATGGGTCTCTGTGTGAGTCTATGGGTCTCTGTGTGAGTCTATGGGTCTCTGTATGAGTCTATGGGTCTCTGTATGAGTCTATGGGTCTCTGTGCAAGTCTATGGGTCTCTGTATGAGTCTATGGGTCTCTGTATGAGTCTATGGGTCTCTATGCGAGTCTATGGATCTCCGTGTGAGTCTATGGATCTCCGTGTGAGCCTATGCATGTTGAACTTCTTTCGCACCATACATAAGGACAACAAACTACGTGTGAATTACGGGTCTCTGTGTGTTTGAGGTGACTTTGCTTAATCAACCGGCAAACAGGGGAAAACACCGTCAGTTAGCGAGTACCTACTGAGGCAGACAAGACGCTGCTGCGCTGGGGAGTGGCGGTGGCAGGGGGGGTGAGCGGGGGGTGAGCGGGGGGGGGGGGGGTGAGCGTGGGGTGGGGTGGTCGACGGTGGTGTGGTCACAGAAGCAGCACGCGCGACGCGATGGGCCTATACGCTATCCCGGTCTCCCCACTCAGCGAGTGGGGCTTTCTAAGGGATCGCGGGGGGGACACTCACGGCGGATCTCTCCAGAAGCCTGAGCCGCTCCTGCAGGCGCCGGTTCTGCAGCAGCAGCTCCTCCACCGCAGCCTCCTTGGAGAGCGCCGCCCGCTGCCTGAGGACAAGCCCCGGCCACCGGGCCAACGAGTGAGCATCTCGGGGCGGAAAGAGCGGCAAATTCAAGGCAAGCCACGGTCGTGGGGGACGGGCCGTGCGACACAAACTAAGGAGCGCATCGCAGAGGTCGCAATCGGGTACCCGATACCCGTACCCTACCCGATACCCGGCTACCCGTATTACCCGGCCGGGTACGGGTACCCGGGTACCTGTTTGCAACCCTGGTGCGGCCGGGTACGGGTACGGGTAGGCTGTGAGTCACTCATTTCCCAACGTCTTGTCTCTTCTCACAATTCAAGTTCCTAGAATCAACCCACCCGCGCCTGCAACATGGCTTCATCCCAGAGGTCGCAATCAAGTACCCGTACCCTACTCGATACCCGGCCGGGTACGGGTAGCCGGGTATCGGGTAGGGTACGGGTACCCGTTTGCGACCCTGGTGCGGCCGGGTACGGGTAAGGAATCAAAACCCGTTTGCGACCTCTGGCGCATCGTGAGACCCGTAGAGATATGCAGAGACACGTAGAGACCCATAGAGACACGTAGAGATGCACAGAGACCCATAGAGTTATGTAGGGAACCGTAGAGGCCCATAGAGAGGCATTGAAGACAAGCCACAGTAATGCACGACCGTGGCCCTGCGACACAAACTCTGGACCGCATCGCAAGACTTGTAGAGATACGCAGAGACGCACAGAGACCCATAGACATGCATTAAAGACAAGCCACAGTAGTGCGATTGCACCCACGCGACCCAAACTACGGACCGCATTCATAAAGCACCGTCGTCTGCGCTCATTCAAAGGAGGAGCAGCAACATCAAAACTACGCGAGCCGTCTCTCCCCTGAGGCCCTCTCGTCGTGCCGAGCAGACCGCGACGTTGGCGTCCAGCCTCTGGATGGATTGCTGGCTTTGCCTCCTCCTGGCCACAGCGGGATTGATTTCACAGCGGGGGGGGGCGGGAAGTCAAGGCATAATACAGTGATACCTCGGTTCACGAACGCTTCTGTTCACGAACAACTCGGTTCACGAACAGAAAAGTTCATAAAAATATGCTCCGTTCACGAACTCCGCTTCGGTTCACGAACAGGAGCCGCGGCCATTTTAATGCTATTTCCAGGCTGTCACGTGGTCGTGACTTCCTGTAGGAAGATCGCGGAGAGAAGAAGAGACACAGAAAGAAGTACTGTGAGTACTGTGAAGACACTTTCAGTGACTTTTTGATTTTTGGTGTGCTTTTTAGCACATACAGTACTGTACTGTACTACTGTACTGTACAATACTGTACTTACTGTATTGTACAGTTCACCCGTTTGAGTGCTTACTGAAGTCATCTCAAGCAAGGTTAGTGTTCTCTCTTTATACATTACTATACTGTACAGTACTAATGTGTATTGTAATAAAGGTCAGAACGGATTAACCGGATTTACATTGATCCCTGTGGGAAAATGTGCCTCGGTTCACGACCAATTCGGTTCGCGACCACAGTCAGTTCACGAATGAAGTTCGTGAACCGAGGTATCACTGTACGTCCCTTCGATACGGGGGAACTATTGGGGGTCCCTGTTGTCGGCTGCTTGTACCGCATGCTGGTGATGGTGTCCTCCAACTGGCGGTTGGTGTCCTGCAGCTGCTGCGCACGCGAGGCCTCCTCCTGGGCCCGTGCCGCAAGTACGTGGCCCGTGGTGACGCCTCGGTCCTGGGTCCGACGCGACACGGCGTCCCTACACGCAGACGCAAGACAAAGATACACCCCCGTAGAGCAGGGGTGTCCAAACTTTTTGCAAAGAGGGCCACATTTGATAAAGTGAAGATGCCCGGGGGCCAATAGATCCTTTTGACATTGTTTTAACCACAAAAGTTACGTGGAAAATACACACACTGTTATAAAACTATTTTCATTGTCACAATTACCTTTAGTTTTCAAATGACAATGTAACCAAATATAAGCCACTCAGGCAGACGGGAACAACTCTAAAAACGCAATTCTGCCTTTCATTCAGTCAGATAACATTGAACAAACTGTATAGAATACCTTCAATTTCCATGAGTTTTATGATGTATTTATTCTGACAGAGCTAGCGAGCCATAAATAACACATTATAAGACCGAAGCTGCGGGCCCTATGAAATCTGCCCGCGGGCCGGACTTTGGACATGCCTGCCGTAGAGCCTTAAAGGACTGGTGGGGCAAGTGCTGTTAGCGAGTAGCACCTACGAAGGTCGGCGGGTGGCCGCCGAAAACCACGCACCGCCCCCTTTATCTGCCCGGTGGTGATGTTTGCACATCGCGCCAGGTACTCATATGAGGAGGCCCAGGACATGTTCAGTAAGCGTCACTGGCATTGGCCGTGGCAGGGAACTAAACTTGGGTTATTGGGTTCATAGAGCAGCGTGCTAACCACTGTCACACACAAATACAAAGATCTCCTGTATAGCCTGAACAGACTGTTGGAGCAAGTGCTGTTAGCGAGCACCTATGAAGGCCGCAACGGTACACGAGAGGGTGGGTGGCCAGCACCACGCCCGACCGCCTTTGTCTCCCTAGTGGCGATGTTTACACACCGCACCAGGTACTCATTTGAGGCTGAGTCGACCTAGGGGAGGCCCAGGACCGGTCCAGATAATCGTCACCGGTGTTGACCGTGAGCGGGAATCGAACTCGTGTCGCCGGGTTCATAGCGCAGCGCGCTAACCGCTACACTACCGCTCCCACACACAAAGATCAAAGATCGCACTCACACACACACGCACCCGCACACACACACTCACATACACGCACACACACTCACACACACACGCCCGCACTCACACGCGTACCGTGCGATCGAGTCACGAATCGCGGCCACTTGCTTGGTCAGGGCCTCCACCTCCTTCTCCTTGTCCCTCAGCTTGCCTCTCAGTGCCTCCACCTTGGCCTGCCACCGCTTGCCCTCCTCCCAGCGTATCACCTGCTCCTTCGGCTCAGCCTGCGGACCCGCCATCACGAGAGAAGGAGCATAAGCGCCACGGTGGCGAGATGTGTACAGGAGGTCGCGGGTTCGATGCTGACCCCCGACGCCTGTATATTTGGAGTTTGCGTGTCTCTCTCCCTCCCCGTGGTTGCGTGGATTTTTCTCCGGGTCCTCCGTTTTTTTCCCACCACGTTTAGAATCAACGTCGCGCGTTCAGAGTACTAGGCTGCGATGGGTTTCGCGCTGACTCAGCAGCGTTGCCGAGCCGAGAACCAGGTGCTCCTGAAGGAGGTAAGTCCTCTGTTGCACACCAACAAGGCTTCGGAGGCTAGGAGATGTTAACTAGCTCGCCTGGTATACAAGAGGTCGTGGGTTCCATCCCGACCCTGACGCCTGCTGCTGTATATTTGGAGTTTGCGTCTCTCATCATCACCGCAGTGGCTAGGAGATGTTAACTACCTCGCCTGGTGTACAGGAGGTCGTGGGTTCGATCCCGACTCTGACGCTTGCTGGATATTTGGAGTTTGCGTCTCTCATCATCATCACGGTGGCGAGGAGATGTTAACTACTTCGCCTGGTCTACAGGAGGTCGTGGGTTCCATCCCGACCCTGATGCCTGCTGCTGTATATTTGGAGTTTGCGTCTCTCATCATCACTGCAGTGGCTAGGAGATGTTAACTACCTCGCCTGGTATACAGGTCGTGGGTTCGATCCCGACCCCAACGCCCGTACATTTTGGAGTTTGCATGTTCTCCGCGTCACGTAGACTTTTCTCCGGGTCTTCCGGTTTTTCCCTCCATATTTAGAAACGTGCGATTACACTATTTGGCTGTGATACATTTCCACACGATAAGCTACTTTTTTTGAGCTGTCATTTGTGGCCAGGTCGCCTCTGAAAAAAAGCTAGATAGCTCATTGGGCCTTACCTGGTAAAATAAAAAAGAATTCGCGAGATAAATCGTCGTGCTGATCAGGGGGTGGCCTTGCCTCTCAGAGCTATGCGCAGGGCTCACAATGGCTGTCGGAGAACCACGGACACTCTTTGGCACACCGTCCACTTCACGGTTGATGTCAGAGATCCCGCGACGGTATCCGATATAATAATAATTATATTCATGACGCGCTGAGCCAAGCTCAGAGTCGCTCGAAAGCGTGGTTGTAGAGGTGAGTTTTTAAGTGTCTCTTGAAGGAGGCGATTGAGGTGATGCTGCGAATGTGCAGAGGGATTGCGTTCCAGACTGTTGGGGCTGCCACCGAGAAGCGGAGCATAGACGTGACCATCCTGGATCTTGTTATCAAGAGGAGGTCGTGAGTCGCGCTGCGCAGAGGGTAGGCCGCATGTGGCGGTGTTACCGTAGATATTTAGCAGAGAGGAAAAAAAATACAATTAAACACAATGAATGTGATCGTGAAATGCATCAAATGTCGGGCCCTATTTCCCCTTCGTTAGCGATCAGCGTATTGTACTGGGCCCGCGTTGCGTTGCAATAAATATAAACAGAATGTAGGGCCCTCTTAAAAAACCTTGAAACTTCAGGACCACCACCCCCCCCGATTGGGAAGCTTCAACATCCGTCTCTGGCCACTGCTTGCAATAACAAAAGAACAAGCAAGCGAGCGAGTGAATGAGTGAGCAGCGAGTGTCCGTGGACGCACCTTGTCTTCCTTCGCGGCCGCTCTCTCCGCCCGCTGCTGCGTCTCCTCCAGCTGCGCCGCCTTCTTCTCCAGCTCCTGCTCAAGACGCTTCACCCGGCCCTGCAGCTCCTCCACCTGCGTCTGCCGCCCGGCGCCATCTACGCCCTTCTGCCGGCACGCGAAGCAGCCGCGGCGCCGCACCGTCACGGCCGACTCGGGCGACGGTATTAGATTGCTCCCCGTGACGACTGGAGCTCGGCTAGATTCCCTCCCCTCGCTCCGCTCCCTCCACTGGCTGCTCATCATCGCCAGCAGCGTCAGCTACGAGATCGTCTAACTGTGCTCCCTCCACTGGCTGCTCATCATCGCCAGCAGCGTCAGCTACGAGATCGTCTAACTGTGCTCCCTCCACTGGCTGCTCATCATCGCCAGCAGCGTCAGCTACGAGATCGTCTAACTGTGCTCCCTCCACTGGCTGCTCATCATCGCCAGCAGCGTCAGCTACGAGATCGTCTAACTGTGCTCCCTCCACTGGCTGCTCATCATCGCCAGCAGCGTCAGCTACGAGATCGTCTAACTGTGCTCCCTCCGCTGGTTTCTCATCATCGCCAGCAGCGTCAGCTACGACATTGTCTATCTGTGCTCCCTCCACTGGTTTCTCATCATGCGGCGGCGAGATATTAACTACCTCGCCCAGTGCGCAGGAAGTCGTGGGTTCGAACCCGACCCTGACGCCTGTGTATTTGGAGTTTGCTTGTTCTCCCCGTGGTTGCGTGGATTTTTCTCCAGGTTTTTCCCTCCACGTTTAGAATCAACGTGTGTTTTGCAGTAGTTGGCGGCTATAAATTGCCACGTGATAAGCCACTTTTTGTTGGGCTATCACTTGTGGCCACATCGCTTCTGAAAAACAGCTACACAGCTCAGTGGGCCTTACCTGGGAAAAAATAAATATATCTACAGTAAAACCTGGGATTGCGAGCTGAATTCGTTCCGGAAAACGTGTTTGTAATCCAAAGCACTCGTATATGTTTCGATTTAAAGCTTTCGTGACTGCAGGGATTCATCTTCTTGGTTCTTTCGGTAAAGTCACGTAGAAGGGAAATAATAAAATATAAAAAATTCAACATAATAAAATAATTCTCACGACGTTTCGGCCACAACGCAAGCAGCCATCCTCAGGTGAAGAACAGGTCTGTCGGAAAGACATTCAGATGCTGTCTTTCTGACAGACCTGTTCTTCACATTCAGACGCTGTCTTTCCGACAGACCTGTTCTTCACCTGAGGACGGCTGCTTGCATTGTAGCCGAAACGTCGTGAGAATTCTTTTATTTTTATTATTTTATTATTTCCCTTCTACGTGACTTTACCGAAAGAACCAAGAAGACACTCGTATATCAGTTGTGATCACGTGACGCTCGGCAGACAAAGCATATGCACGCGCTACTCGTATTGCAAGACCTCGCTCGTTTATCAAATTAATATTTACTATAAAAAATTTGCTTGTCTTGCAAAACACTCGCAGACCAAGCTACTCGCAATCCAAGGTTTAACCGTAGTTGACGTTAATAGCGGAAATTATGAGCGTTAATTCCGAATGCGAAGAAGTGAGAGCATATTCTTAGTTTTTTCGGTAAAGTCACGTAGAAGGTAAAACATTAAAATTAATAAAAGTAAAATAAAATAAAAATCACGACGTTTCGGAGGCAACACAAGCTTCCGTTTTCAGGTGGAACCGCCACAGCCACGACAGCTGCATCAAGTAAATGAGAGATTGCAAGAGCTACCACTCCGTTTATATAATGGTTGGAGAGGGGGGGGAAGGGCCAAGTACGGCACACTTTTTATTAATATGGTAAAGTGAGGCTTAAGAGGCTGAGCCTTTGTTATGGAGAGGTGCGGTTTGTGACTAAGCCTGGCCTACATAACAATAGTGTGAAAAAAGAAACAACTAAACATGGTAAGACAAGTTCTTGGTTCTTTCGGTAAAGTCACGTGACTTTACCGAAAGAACCAAGAAGATGAATCCCTGCAGTCACGAAAGCTTTAAATGGTAAAACAAGCCTGGCTGTCTATCAATAACCTGTAATAGTTGTCTGTCAAATAAGATGGTCCAAATAAGTGTAGTTAAATCTTTTTTGCATGGTTAATCACATCTTTCCAATGATTACTCAGTTTGTAAGAGAGCGAGCGACCAAAGCAGAAAGAGAGAGGGGGGGGGGCGGCAGCGGCACCTGCAGCTGCGCATTGATCCTCTCGACGCGACGACGCATCTCGTCGCGCCCCCTCTCCGCCTCCTCCTTGCCGGCGCGGAGGCGGCCGCCCTCCCTGTCGCCTCGCCGCGCCTCGCGCTCCGCCGCCTCGAGGCGCTCGCACAGCTCCCGCTCGCGCTGCCGCCACTCGCCTAGCTCGCGGCGAGCGGCGGACGCCTCTAACTGGGCGCTCTCCAAGCGGGCCTGGCGCGGAAGGGGAGTGGAAGAAAATAATAATGAAAAAATTACGAAAAATAAAAAAAGACATATTCTTGGTTCTTTCGGTAAAGTCAAGTAGAAGGGAAATAATGAAATAATCAAAATAAAGAGGACGGCTGCTTGCGTTGTGGCCGAAACGTCGTGAGAATTTTATTTTATTATGTTAAATTTTTATTATTTTATTATTTCCCTTCTACGTGACTTTACCGAAAGAATCAAGAAGAAGACATCATCAGTGCGAGAGCAGCCAAAACATTTAAACACGCTTTTATGAAATGTACTACCATATTAATAAAAAGTGTGCCGTACTTGGCCCTTCCCCCCCTCTCCAACCATTATATATACGGAGTGGTAGCTCTTGGAATCTCTCATTTACTTGATACAGCTGTCGTGGCTGTGACGGTTCCACCTGAAGACGGAAGCTTGTGTTGCCTCCGAAACGTCGTGATTTTTATTTTATTTTACTTTTATTAATTTTAATGTTTTACCTACGTGACTTTACCGAAAAAACCTAAGAATATGAATCCTTGCAGTCACGAAAGCTTCAAATCTAGAATCCAGGAAGTAGGTTCGAAGCTTGCCATATAATGTAAGGGGCCGTGGCCAATTACAGCCAACGTCAGTTGAGTGTGGACAATTAGACCCAAGCCGAAACATAAGATATAAAAAATTATGTTTAAAAATATATTTTTTATGATAGAATATAGTATTGTCATCAGTATGACATAAGTATACCAAGTTTGCAGTCGATACCACATTGGGAAGTGGGTTGAAATTGAGTTACAAAATTTGAGGATACAACAACGACAACAACAGAGTGAGTTAAATGAAAGCGTGTAACAACAGCGGCGCTACTACGCCTCTCTAAATTAAATTAACGCCGAACCGCTTGCGACGTTCCGGTATTCGGCGGTAAACGGGGACACCCACCCTGCGACCTGTGCACGCCTCGGAACGGTAAAGGGTTGAGAGGCTATACGGAGAAGGGGGGGATCTTTGTCTTTGTCCGTGTACTTTGTCTTCCTAGATTTGAAGTTTTCGTGACTGCAAGGGTCCATACTCCCTACCCTGCGGTCCTCTCCCTGGTTACTTCACTTCTTCTTCTTGTTTCTTTCGGTAAAGTCACGTAGAAGGGAAGTAATAAAATAATAAAAATAAAACATAATAAAACAATTCTCACGACGTTTCGGCTACAACGCAAGCAGCCGTCTTCACCTGAAGACGGCTGCTTGCGTTGTAGCCGACGTGACTTTACCGAAAGAAACAAGAAGATGAATCCCTGCAGTCACGAAAGCTTTAAATCGATACTTCACTTCTGTTACCCTCAGCTTAACTTAGGTTGCCCCCCACCCCCTCCCCCCCTTGGCTCCCCCCCCCTCTCGTACCCTACATAATCACGTGTCTCTAATAGCTCTGACGGAGGCTTGTGTTGCTTCCGAAACGTCGTGATTTAATTGAGTTGTTTTTCATTTTTTCATTTTTCTACCTTTCACTTACGTGACTTTACCGGAAAAAAATAACAAAGAGTATGGTACCTTGTAGTCCTTGGTGTGCTTGTCAACGAGTGTCTGCACATTGAGGCTTTCCTCCTTCTGGGCAGCTGCCGCGATGATGTTCTGCTCGGCCTGGTTCGTCATCTCCCCTTGAAGACGCAGCATCGCCTGGCTCAGACCCTGCACCGTCCCAACAGCAGCACAACCATCATCATCATCATGTCTCCTCTAATATTCCACTGTATCGTTAAAACACCTGTTGTCATTCCCCCCGTACTTCCGATTAGCACGGTTGGTTAGGTACGATGTGAAAGAAGTTTGACATACATACATACACATCATCACCATTAAATTTCGATTGAAAGCTTTCGTGACTGCAGGGATTCATCTTCTTGGTTCTTTCGGTAAAGTCACGTAGAATGGAAATAATAAAATAATAAAAATTAAACATTATAAAATAATTGTGAGAATTATTTTAATATGTTTTCTTTTCATTGTTCTACGTGACTTTACCGAAAGAACCTAGAAGATCATCACAATTGCCGTAGCCGGCACCACCACCACCATAATCTGTATTATGATGATTATCACCAGCATATCAATAATACGGTCTATGAGCAGTACACTGGTGTACAGGAGACTGGTGTGTTAAGATTACAGTGGTATAGTACAGGTAACAGGTGTTGACACTGCAATGGTATAGTACAGGAGTGTGTGAATGCTACAGTATTATTGCAACTATTTAGCCTATTTTTTTAATTTACCAGGTAAGGCCCACTGAGCTATGTAGCTCTTTTTTAGAAGCGGCCTGGCAACAAATGATAGCTCAACGAAGTGGCTTATCGCGTGGAAATGTATAGCAGCCGAATACTCTAAACGCACGTTTCTGAACGTGGAGGGAAAAAACCGGAGGACCCGGAGAAAAATCCGCACGACCTCCTGCATACCAGTCGAGGTAGTTAACATCTCCTGGCCACCGTGATGATGATGATGAGAGACGCAAACTCCAAATATACAGCAGCAGGCGTCAGGGTCGGGATCGAACCCACGACCTCCTGTACACCAGGCGAGGTAGTTAACATCTCCTGGCCACCGTGATGATGATGATGAGAGACGCAAACTCCAAATATACAGCAGCAGGCGTCAGGGTCGGGATCGAACCCACGACCTCCTGTACACCAGGCGAGGTAGTTAACATCTCCTGGCCACCGTGATGATGATGATGAGAGACGCAAACTCCAAATATACAGCAGCAGGCGTCAGGGTCGGGATCGAACCCACGACCTCCTCTACACCAGGCGAGGTAGTTAACATCTCCTGGCCACCGTGATGATGATGAGAGACGCAAACTCCAAATATACAGGCAGGCGTCAGGGTTGGGATCGAACCCACGACCTCCTGTACACCAGGCGAGGTAGTTAACATCTCCTGGCCACCGTGATGATGATGATGAGAGACGCAAACTCCAAATATACAGCAGCAGGCGTCAGGGTCGGGATCGAACCCACGACCTCCTCTACACCAGGCGAGGTAGTTAACATCTCCTGGCCACCGTGATGATGATGATGAGAGACGCAAACTCCAAATATACAGCAGCAGGCGTCAGGGTCGGGATCGAACCCACGACCTCCTCTACACCAGGCGAGGTAGTTAACATCTCCTGGCCACCGTGATGATGATGAGAGACGCAAACTCCAAATATACAGCAGCAGCAGGCGTCAGGGTCGGGATCGAACCCACGACCTCCTGCACACCAGGCGAGGTAGTCAACATCTCCTGGCCACCGTACAGGGCAACGGGCGTGTGTGCAACGCCGAAGCGGCGTTCACGTCCCCCGCACACCTTCAGCTGCTTCTCCTTGTAGGCGAGCTCCCCCTTGAGCCTCTCCACGAGGCTCCGGATACCGGCCGTGGGCGAGCGCGAGTTCGCTTCCTTCTGGGCGTCGAGCTCCACGCGAAGCAGCCGCAGCTCCTCGGCCAGCGCCGCCTCCGAGGCCCTCGCCTCCTCCGCCCGCGCCCGCTCAGCCCGCAGCTCCGACGAGTGCAGCTGCTGCAGCCTGTGACACGCGCACGCGCGTGTGGGGTACGAGAGACGCACGCACGCACGTGTCTCCACGGGCAGGGCTGGCGGGCTGGGCCACAGGGCGGGACTGTAGGGGCAAATGCTCCGGTGAGGCCGGTCTTGTGTGGGGAAATTGGAAATGTGATCGTGGTAAAAAATTAACCCGTAAAAACAAAGTTTTTCACTATAAATCCTTTATATGCGTGGCGGCTAGAGTCCTCTCGTCCTCTGGCTTGAGATGGCTGCCACCTATGGGTCAGATGATTGCCTGCCACCATTAAGCAATTGGTAATTAAATATAAAAAAAATTTGTCCTAAAAAGTGTAAAATTTTGGAAAAAAAATTTTCACGAAAATAAATTGTCACGCACAACGAGTCTGTGTGCAAAATGTCAGCTCGATTGGATCACGGGAAGTGGGTTAAAAAACGACCGAAAGATTTGCACGGTCGTAAGCGCGCAAGCAAGCAAGTGAACTTAATATAAAGGATTTAAAAAGAATAATTGAAATATTTTATAACCTCTGTGTACGCTTCAATGCTTATTTAAGCTCTCACTTGGCGTTGCAAATGTTATCAGAGTAAAATATATAATTATAATACATTTTTATCTTTAATAATTGGAGTGTTTATAATGTTAGATAGATTTATTTATAATGGATATTTTTCGTAATTGTAATAATTATAATACAAATTTCTAAATATGAAAATAATAATAGAATAATAAAACCATTTCATATATTCAATCTTGATTTAAAGCTTTCGTGTTGCGCCCGAAACGTTGTGATTTTTTTTATTTTATACCTACGTGACTTTACCGAAAGAACCAAGGAGGATTTAACATATTTTTTATTAAATAATTTTATTACCTCTAATGTGTACGCTTCATTGCTTAATCACGCTCCAGGTCCTATATTCGGCAGCCCCAAATATTCTTCCTCACCGGCGGACCACGTGTGTTTTGTGACGGTCCACGCGCGGAAACAGCGTCGTCACCAAAAGGAAACGAAAAATAAAAGCTCGTACTTAGCATACTCTTAGGTTTTTTTCGGTAAAGTCACGTAGATAAAAATAAATAATAATAAATAAATAAGCAATAAAAATAATAATAGAAATAAAATAATAAATCGCGACGTTTCGGAGGCAACACAAGTCTCCGTCATCAGGTGGGACCGTCACAGCTAAAATTTACTGTATCAAGTGAGGCAAAACTCCAAGAGACGAGCTCTTAAATACAAGTTAAGTGGGAGGGGCTTATCTGACTGTGGTAGCCAATGAATGGAGAGTGTTGGGGGGGGTGGGCGGGGCTAAGAGAGAACAATCGAGGTACATGGATTGTCATCTTTCAGCCCTCCCCACCTTCCCCCTTGACTTGCATTTAAGATCTTGTCTCTTGGAACTTTGCCTCACTTGATACAGTAAATTTTAGCTGTGACGGTCCCACCTGATGACGGAGACTTGTGTTGCCTCCGAAACGTCGTGATTTTTGTATTTTATTTCTATTATTATTTATTTATTATTATTTATTTAAATCAGGACGTTTCGGAGGCAACACAAGTCTCCGTCTTCAGTAAATTTTAGCTGTGACAGTCTCACCTGATGACGGAGACTTGTGTTGCCACCGAAACGTCGTGATTTAATCGAGTTATTTTTCATTTATTATTATTATTATTATTTCACCCACGTGACTTTACCAAAAAAACCTAAGAGTACGAATCCTTGCAGTCGCGAAAGAAGCTTCAAATCTAGAGCTCGTACTTGGCGGTCTCGGCGCGATGCTCCGTCAGCTGCTGCAGCAGCTGCACCTTGTGGCGCTGGGCGTCAGCGACCGTCGCCCTCAACCTCTCCGCCAGCGCCACCATCGCCTCCTCCTGCTCGACGCTAGTCTGCTCGAGCTCGGCGAGCCGTGTCAGCTGGGCGGCGCTCGCCGGCGCCACCGCGACCGCTGGCCGCGAGTTCAGCGTCTCCTGGCGGGGGTTTTGCCGCGTGGCCACCGACAGAGGAAGGGGAATCTTAATTTTGGAGCTTTCGTGACTGCAGGAATTATTCTTTGGTTCTTTCGGTTAAGTCACGTAATCAACCGGGCTATGCGTTAATTGTGTGTTGACCGACTCTCTGTGTTGCATTACATTATATTTCGATATTTTACTAGGTTATTTAATTTTAGTGTGCCTTTCTCCTGATTTTCAAGCTTGCGTTGGCGTGCCGTGTCGTCATCTTACTTGCAGCAGCATCACGTTGCCGTCCACTCATTGATATGCTAATTTTTTATCTGCCCCCTCCCTCTCTCCGCCCCCGCCCCCCTCCCTATATTTAAGGCCCCGTCACAGAAACGACCTCTCTCTTTGTGCCGATATGTGTTCTCTCTCTGTGTGTCCTTGTGATGTCTGTCTGCTTGTATGTCTGTCTATAGTTTTCTAGTTAGATTTTTGTTGCTATTTCTTTTATGCCTGATGATGATTGCTTGTGTTGCAATCGAAACGTCGTAATATGCTTTTATTTAATTTATTATTTTATCTTTAGACGTGACTTTACCGAAAGAACCAAAGAATAAGAGGAAGGGGAGCGCGGGTGAGGGAACAGACGAGGTGGACACGACGTTCGGCGGAACTGGCGGTGATTGAAGTGGCATTGATTTGGCAGCGGCAGCAGCATTGGCAGCACCAGCAGTAGCAGCAGCAGCAGCATTGTTGTCGATAGCAGCGGTGCTATTCTCAACTATATTATTTTACCAGGTAAAGTCCACTTTTTCAGAAGCGACCTGTCCATCATAAATGACGGCTCAAAGAAGGCGGCTTGTCATCACGTGGAAACTTGTAGTGCCCAAATACTCTAAACGCGACGTTGATTGTAAATGTGGAAGAAAAGAAACCGGATAATCCACGCGACCACGGGGAGAGAAAACATGCAAACTCCAAATGTGCAGCGAGCGTCAGGGTCGAAATCGAAACCGGGCGAGGCAGTTAACGTCTCGTCACCGCGGTGACCAAGTAGTACCAACATCAGTAGCATCAGTAGCCGTTGTGAAAAGCAGAATGATAATAGGCATACTCTTAGGTTTTTTCGGTAAAGTCACGTAGGTAAAAAATAAACAATAAAAAAATAATAGAAAAAATAATAGAAATAAAATAATAAATCACGACGTTTCGGAGGCAACACAAGCTTCCGTCTTTAGGTGTAACCGTCACAGCACAATTGCTGTATCATACAGCAATTGTGTTGCCTCCGAAACGTGGTGATTTATTATTTTATTTATATTATTTATTCTTATTTATTTTTATTACCTATTTTTTTTACCTACGTGACTTTACCGAAAAAACCTAAGCGTACGAATCCTTGCAGTCATGAAAGCTTCAAATCTAGAAAGAAATGATAATACGCACCCAGATGCAGGCACACACGGCCCTCCCTTTTTAAATCCTTTATATTAAGTTCGCTTGCTTACTTACGACCGTGCAAATCTTTCGGTCGTTTTTTAACCCATTTCCCGTGATCCAATCGAGCTGACATTTTCCACACAGACTCGTTGTGCGTGACAATTAATGTTCGTGAAAATTGTTTTCCAAAATGTTACACTTTTTAGGACAAAAATATTATATTTAATTACCAATTGCTTAATGGTGCAATGCAATCATCTGACCCATAGGTGGCAGCCATCTCAAGCCAGAGGACGAGAGGACTCTAGCCGCCACGCATATAAAGGATTTATAGTGAAAAACTTTGTTTTTACGGGTTATACTTGTTTACAATATCGCCACGGGATACATAACGTCCACCTGTGAAACGGACGGCGGGAGTGTGTTTCTTGTCGGTTAGCGCCACGCACCGCGCTGCATCAACGCGGCGGACAGACGCGCCGTCGCCGAAACTTGTCGACCTTCGTGTGCGTCGCCGTTACCAGCACGGCCTGCTTGAACTTGCTGAAGGTGGCGTTGGACTGCGCGTTGAGTTTGTGGTGCACCGCCTTCATCTCCTCGCCATGCTGCCGGTTCAACTCCTCCAACTCCTGAGCCACGGCAGGGAACGTGAGAGAGAGAGAGAGAGACAGACACAGACCGGTGTTACCGACACAAAGACAAAGATTCCCCGTATAGTCTTAACCAGGGGTGTCCAAACTTTTTGCAAAGAGGGCCACAATTGATAAAGTGAAGATGCCCGGTGGCCAATAGTTCCTTTTGACATTTTTTTAACCACAAAAGTTACGTGGAAATACACACCGTTATAAAACAAATTTCATTGTCACAATTACCTTTATTTTTCAAATGACAATGTAACCAAACATAAGCCACTCAGGCAGACGGGAACAACTCTAAAAACGCAATTCTGCCTTTCATTCAGTCAGATAACATTGAACAAACTGTATAGAATACCTTAAATTTCCATGAGTTTTATGATGTATTTATTCTGACAGAGCTAGCGAGCCATAAATAACACATTGTAAGACCGAAGCTGCGGGCCGTATGAAATCTGCCCGCAGGCCGTGATTGGCCCGAGGGTCGGACTTTGGACATGCCTGGTCTTAACAGACCATTGGGGCAAGCGCCGTTCCTCCTCTTCCTCATCATCATCATCACGATCTATGGGCAGATTGGCCGTTGGATTCCACTGCACATTTTGGCATTTTTTAACACTTTCCTCTGTCTGGTGTCAATATTCTCAAGTAGTGCGCACAGATTTCTGGTACCGATCTCTAATTTTGCCATAAAGCCGTTCTCTGTTAGGTCTTTTCTCTCTTTGCGATTCCTTCAATTTTTCTCAAACAACACACTTTTAATTTCCCTGTTGTTTCTTTTCTTACTTCTACCCTGAGTCACTCTCTGGGTCCAGTTTAGATGCGGTAATCCTTCCATAGCAGTACATTTCGAGTGCCAATATCCTAAGTGCTCCATAATAGATGTTATTTTGGGTTAAATCGCGTGAACACAAATGTGTCGTGAAACTCGCCACCACCCGACACAGCCTATTATCCAGGTTTGTCACGTAAAGAAAACATGCCACTTTGTTACTAGTTCAGCACACCGGTGTGTTGGACAGTAAACCCACAACATTTACAATTCGAGTACCATGACATTTCACCGGGAATTACAACCAGCATCATCAGGTGACAGTTGAATTGCTGTTAGTGAGCACCAATTAGCCAGCTATGGCTGCAGGGTTTGGTGGTACGTGTTGTTTATGTCGTTTATTGTGAAAATGCGGTCACAGTTCCTGTGATCACTGTTACATTGCTTTTATTGCTTTATTTTGGTGATTTCGAAAAGTTTTTTGGTTTGGCCATGTTTGTTTGTTGTAGTACGGAGTTAGACTGATGGCCTTCATCTAAGTTGTCTTGTGGTTGTTGTTGTTTGACTTGCATCCCACTGGGATTTTTGCACACAGCGTTGGTGTACGGTACTTTTTCTGCAATATTTTGCTGTCATTTCCTTGGATTTTCTGTTTGCACATAGTCACATAGTCACTTTAAGATGTTTTCTTGTCCATGTTTTTGTTCTTTGTTTGTTGCGGTTGCACCCGATTCAAGAGCCGAATGGCTCACAGGGCTATACCAAACAAATGAAAAACTGAAACTGAAGGTTGAGGAGACGGTGCCCCCAATGCGCCCACCTGCTGCGCCTGCTGCAGCTGCCGCTGGTACTTGTCGACGAGCTGCTCCTTGTGGTCCAGCCGGGCCTGGAGGTTGGCCACGGCACGCTGGGTCGCGACCAGGGCCCCACCACCTTCGCTGGAGCCACCACCGTCTGCCGCCGCCGCTGCCGCTGCCAGGAGCTTCTCACGCTGAGCCGACGCCGGGAGGCGCAGGCGCAGCTCGTTGATGACGCGCTCGCGAGACAGCACGTTGGCCTCGGCGCTGTGCAGAGCGTCCTGCTTCTGCTGCAGCTGCTGCTCGTTGCGGCAGAAGCGGCAGGGGGGAGGGACAGATAGAGAGAGCGAGAAGCCGTGGTGACAAGTGTGGGTGGCGGTGTAAGGGAAAGGGGGCGGCAGTGAGAAAAGGGGGCGGCAGTGAGAAAAGGGGGCGGCAGTTGGAAAAGGGGGCGGCAGTTGGACAAGGGGGCGGCAGTTGGAAAGGGGGCGGCAGTTGGAAAGGGGGCGGCAGTTGGAAAAGGGGGCGGCAGTTGGAAAAGGGGGCGGCAGTTGGAAAGGACGGCAGTGGGAAAGGGGGCGGCAGTTGGAAAGGGGGCGGCAGTTGGAAAAGGGGGCGGCAGTTGGACAAGGGGGCGGCAGTTGGACAAGGGGGCGGCAGTTGGACAAGGGGGCGGCAGTTGGAAAGGGGGCGGCAGTTGGAAAAGGGGGCGGCAGTGGGAAAGAGGGCGGCAGTTGGAAAGGGGGCAGCAGTGGGGAAGGGGGGCGGCAGTGGGGAAGGAGCCACAAGTATAAAAACTGACAGCCATTGAAAATGATGGCAACCCTTATAGAAAGAGGAGGTAGTGGAGTCAGCGGACGGCAAGGAGAAAGGAGGTGGGCAGTTGGATAAAGCTGCAAGACGCCGGTGTTGCGGAACCGGGGTTCACGTTGTTGTTGGCGTGTGTGCGACCCACACCTCCTCGAGTGAGCGGCACTGCGCCTGGCTCTGCAGGATCGTCTTGACATGGCCACGGATCGTCGTGATCGCCTTTTCCAGCTGCTGAGCCACGGGCAGGCCCGTGTCTGGCACCGTGCCGCCAACCTCTTCAAACTGCGTCCACAGAAGGCAACGGCGTTAACCCTTTCAACGTTCCGAGACGTTTGTAAGTTGCAGGGCGTGGGTCACGTTCACCGCCGAATCTCAGAACGCGCCAGTGGTTCAGAGTTGTTTAAAAATTAACCCGTAAAAACAAAGTTTTTCACTATAAATCCTTTATATGCGTGGCATCGGTTTTATTTTATTATTCATTTATGTTTTTCTTGAGTAAGAGTTTCATTTTTATCACATTGGTATTTTAAATTAAATATGAAATTTTTTTTTTCCTAAAAAGTGGAAAATTTTGGAAAAAAATTTTCACGAAAATAAATTGTCACGCACAACGAGTCTGTGTGCAAAATGTCAGCTCAATTGGATCACGGGAAGTGGGTTAAAAAACGACCGAAAGATTTGCACGGTCGTAAGCGCGCAAGCAAGCAAGTGAACTTAATATAAAGGATTTAAAAAGACATTGCAATCACCGCAGAGAGCCGTAGCAATACGACCGCACTCTGTGACAGCTGGTGCCAAGCTGTGCCGTACGCCCTCCCATACCGATCGAGTTATTTTACTTTATCCGATGGCAAACGTCATCGGAAACGGGAATTGGAAGAAAAACTGATGACGCACACGTACGTCATTGGAGTAGAAAAGGGTTCAAACTTAATTTGGAGCTTTCGTGACTGCAGGAATTACTCTTTGGTTCTTTCGGTAAAGTCACGTGCAAAGATAAAATAATAAATTAAATACTAGCATACGACGTTTCGATTGCAACACAAGCAATCATCATCAGGTATAAATGAAATAGAAACACAAATCTATTATACTTAGAAATGTAATGTAATACAGCAGAGAGTCGTTATGTTATCCGACTCTCTGTTGTATTACATTAGATTTATAAGTATACTAGATTTGTATTTCATTTATACCTGATGATGATTGCTTGCGTTGCAATCGAAACGTCGTATGCTAGTATTTAATGTATTACTTTATCTTTATACGTGACTTTACCGAAAGAACCAAAGAGTAGAAAAGGGTTAACTCCAAATATTTGTGATAATCGTTTCAGTACAACTGCACGGTGCTACTTCTTGTCCTCTATAGCTCTCCGATGTGTCCTGTACCGCATGGGTACACGATGTCCCAACGTTTCGCTCTGCGTGCTGGCAGCTTCTTGAAGTTCCCCACATGTTTCGATTTAAAGCTTTCGTGACTGCAGGGATTCATATTCTTGGTTCTTTTGGTAAAATCATCACGTAGAAGGGGAACAATAAAAGAATAGAAATAAAACATAATAAAAAAATTCTCACAAATTCTCTCTTTATTATGTTTTATTTTTATTATTTTATTATTCCCCTTTTTAAGTGACTTCCCCACATGTGTAAGGGGTGGTCGCGGTTAGTGCACTGCCACTACGAATCATGTGCCCGCGATTCGTGACTCCATCGCAAGGTACGCGTGTGAGTGCGGGTGCGTGTGTGTATGTGTGAGTGCAATCTTTGATCTTTGTGCGTGGGAGCGATAGTGTAGCGGTTAGCGCGCTGCGCTATGAACCCGGCGACACGAGTTCAATTCCCGCTCACGGCCAACACCAGTGGCGATTATCCGAATCGGTCCTGGGCCTCCTCTAGGTTGATTCAGCCTCAAATGTGAACCTGGTGCGGTGTGTAAAAACATCGCTACTGGGGAGACAAAGGCGGTCGGGCGTGGTGCTGGACACCCACCCACCCACTCGTGTGCCGTGCCGGCCTTCATAGGTGCTCGCTAACAACCCTTGGTAGTGGAGTGCTACGTGCCTTGCGTGCCGCGGAGAGCATCTCCTTCTGTTGCCGTTCGTGTGCCTCCACCTGCTTCTCCAGCTCCAGCTCCCTCTGCTCCCACGCGAGCTGACTCTCCTCGTGGAACTGACGGACACACGCACAACGACGACGACGTCGACCAACAACGGGGACGCAGCAACGTACACTAACACAGCATCCCCCACCGTAATGTAACAAACATATGAGTTGATAACTGGTGAGTGAGAAGAGGAGCACCAGGTTAAATGTTCCTTCCGTAGGACAGGCTGGCATCATGCAGTTATATTATAATGGTGTGGACGAAGATGCAGACAGAGGAGATGGATTGATGGGCTGGCCTATAAGTTATATTACGTTGGTGTGGCCGGACGGTGAGAGGGGATGAACGGAGAGGCTGGCGACTGGCTGGACATAGGGATAGAGGCTGGCTACTGCTTGGCTGCCGGCTGGATGTGGGGTTACAGAGGCTGGCTACGAGCTGGATGTGGGGTTAGAGAGGCTGGCTATGAGCTGGATTTGGGGTTAGAGAGGCTGGCTACGAGCTGGACGTGGGGTTAGAGGGGCTGGCTGGACGTGGGGTTAGAGGGGCTGGCTGGACGTGGGGTTAGAGAGGCTGGCTGCCAGCTGGACATGGGGATAAAGAAGCTGGCTGCTGGCTGGACGTGGGGTTAGAGGGGCTGGCTGCGAGCTGGACGTGGGGATAAAGAGGCTGTCTGCTGGCTGGTGGCTACCACCGCCACCTTGTTGAGCTGCAGGATCTCGTGCTCGAGGAGGGAGCGCGATCTCTCGTGTTCCTCCACGGCGGCGCGCAGGCGGGACGCCTCGTCCCGGTGGCGTGTCGCCTCGCGCTCCGTGCGCCGCTCGCTCACGCGCAGCTCCTGCATGCGCCTGTGCCACTCGCACACCTGTGCAGACGCACGCGAATCGTCGTCGTCGTCAACATTGTCATTGTCTGTAGATGTGAAGCTTTCGTGACTGCAAGGATTCATACTCTTAGGTTTTTTCGGTAAAGTCACGTAGGTAAAAAATTTAAATTAATAAAAGTAAAATAAAACGAATAAAAAAATTCACGACGTTTCGGAAGCAACACAAGCCTCCGTCTTCAGGTGTGATGGTTCCGCCTGAAGACGGAGGCTTGTGTTGCTTCCGAAACGTCGTGAATTTTTTTATTCGTTTTATTTTACTTTTATTAATTTACATTTTTTACCTACGTGCCTTTACCGAAAAAACCTAAGAGTATTGTCATTGTCATCGTCAACATGAGTGTGAAGGGTCTCTCGTACGGCTGGGGTTCATATATGGTGCTTCTCAGAGCAGGACCGACTGTCGGGCCTTCTCGAGTGTTGCCCCAAGGATCTGGAAGGCCTTGCCAGCGGTGATCCGGCACGCTACGAGCCTCACCGTGTTTAGGAGTGAGCGCAAGGGTCACCATTTTCTCATGGATTTTACTTCAACACTGTTTTATGGTCTTTGGATTGTATTTTAGTGTGCAATGTTTTGATGTCCCTTTGAGTGGAGGCGATATTATATTTAAAACAAATACGGCGTTCAGGTTTACGGTCTGTCCAAGAACCACTCACGCGCCTGTCGACACTCAGAACCCATGATCATCAACATCGTCATCAAGACCATCATCAACATCATCATCAACACCATCATCAAGACCATCATCAACATCATCATCAACATCGTCATCAACAACAGCGTCATCAAGACCATCATCAACATCATCATCAACACCATCATCAAGACCATCATCAACATCATCATCAACATCGTCATCAACAACAGCGTCATCAAGACCATCATCAACATCATCATCAACACCATCATCAAGACCATCATCAACATCATCATCAACATCGTCATCAACAACAGCGTCATCAAGACCATCATCAACATCATCATCAACACCATCATCAAGACCATCATCAACATCATCATCAACATCGTCATCAACAACAGCGTCATCAAGACCATCATCAACATCATCATCAACACCATCATCAAGACCATCATCAACATCATCATCAACATCGTCATCAACATCGTCATCAAGACCATCATCAACACCATCATCAAGACCATCATCAAGACCATCATCAACATCATCATCAACACCATCATCAAGACCATCATCAACATCATCATCAACATCGTCATCAACAACAGCGTCATCAAGACCATCATCAAGACCATCATCAACATCATCATCAACACCATCATCAACATCGTCATCAAGACCATCATCAACACCATCATCAAGACCATCATCAATATCATCATCAACATCGTCATCAAGACCATCATCAACACCATCATCAAGACCATCATCAACATCGTCAACATCGTCATCAACACCATCATCAAGACCATCATCAAGTGAGGAGCAGTCTGCTCAGTTTGTAATAATCCACATGCGGCTCTATTGAAGGGGCATAACGTAGAACGTACAACTATCACAGTAGCAGCAAAGACTAATGAATGTCTCCCGTGCCGTGACGAAAACTGTAAATATATAGACACATTTTCTATACACACTCTTAGGTTTTTTCGGTAAAGTCACGTAGGTAAAATAATGATAAAATAAAATAATAATAAATGAAAAATAACTAAATTAAATCACGACGTTTAAATTTAGCTGTGACGGTCCCACCTCGAGACGGAGACTTGTGCTGCCTCCGAAACGTCGTGATTTAATTGAGTTCTTTATCATTTATTATTATTATTATTTTATTTTAAACGTATAGACTCACACAGAGACCCATAGACTCACACAGAGACCCACAGACTCACACAGAGACCCACAGACTCACACAAAAACGTATAGACTCACACAAAGACCCACAGACTCACACAGAGACCCACAGACTCACACAGAGACCCACAGACTCACACAGAAACGTATAGACTCACACAGAGACCCATAGACTCGCACAGAGAACCATAGACTCACACAGAGACCCACAGACTCACACAGAGACCCACAGACTCACACAGAGAACCACAGACTCACACAGAGACCCATAGACTCACACAGAGACCCATAGACTCACACAGAGACCCATAGACTCACACAGAGACCCATAGACTCACACAGAGACCCATAGACTCACACAGAGACCCATAGACTCACACAGAGACCCATAGACTCGCACAGAGACCCACAGACTCACACAGAGACCCATAGTTTGTTGTTCTTCACCGCCCCCCCCCCACCGCACCTCTGATTATCACGGTTGGCTACGTACGGTGCAGAAGAAGTTCACCACACATACATACATAGAGGCATACTCCGTCAATTATTCTTGGCCGTTATTTTTGACCGTCGGTCATCGTCCCCGTTCCGGCCGTGGCTGCAGGTTTGGTCGTATGTGCTCTGTATATCATTTATTGTTATATTTTAAATCGCAGCTACTATGATTACTGTTGTTACATTGTTTTTATAGCTTTATATTGGTGATTCGAAAACATGGTTAATCTAAATTGTCTAATGGTTGTTGTTGTTGTTGGCTTGCACCACTGATTTTTGTACACAGCGTTTTAATACTTTTTTTTGGGGCAATATTTGCTGGTTTATTCCAGGATGTTTCTGTTGGGCGTCATCACTTTAAGATGTTCTGTGTTCACATTTTGTTTATTACGATTGCACCCGACTCAAGAGCCGCATGGCTCACAGGGTTATAACTAATAAATTCAACTTGAACTTGAAGATACTTTTGACGGGAGCGTGCGATCCGCGTGCGATCCGCGCGCATACACGAATCCGAGAGTCGTGTACGCGCGTGCGCGGTTGTTGTGGCCGTACCTTCTGCGCGCCCCGTGCGTCCTTCAGCGTAGACACGAGTTCCTCCAGGCCCTTGGACTTGATCTCCAGCTCGGCAAGGCGGTCCTCGGCCAACCTCCGGTCTTCGCGGCACTTGCGCGCCTCCTGCGTCCGCGGCGAGAGAATGTACGGCGGCGAATGACGACGCGCGCGCATCGCGCCTCGCACCCCACCCGTCCCGCCGCCGTGTGTCACGCTTGGCAATGAGCTAAGCCTCGTATCTAATAACTAATTTTCTTGGTTCTTTCAGTAAAGTCACGTAGAAGGGAAATAATAAAATAATAAAACATAATAAAATAATTCTCACAACATTTCGGCCACAACGCAAGCAGCCGTCCTCAGGTGAAGAACAGGTCTGTCGGAAAGACGCTATTAAAACATAATAAAATATTATAAAACATAATATTTTATTATATAATTATGTTTCATTTTTATTATTTTATTATTTCCCTTCTACGTGACCTCACCGAAAGAACCAAGAAGATGAATCCCTGCAGTCACGAAAGCTTTAAATCGAAAAATAATAACTCATTATGTTTTTATTATTTAAATTTAATATAAAGTAATCAAATTTATTGATTACATTTAATCGTGGCTGGTGTGAGGGAGACGAGAGAGAGTTGAGGAGGGTTATTGTGTTGGACGACTTTCACTTGCAGTACAGTTACTAAAGAACAGTCACTACACTTGGACACAAAATAAAAAACTGCTTTACGCACACACACACGTGGTCACAACACTGTATTGTAGTAAACAGTGTACGCTCGCACGGATGTTGACTATACGAGCGAGGCACGCCGACTGAGACCGAGCATGGGAGACGATTACCCACAATCCCGCAGCGAGAGAGAGGAACCATCGGCTCAGTTGTGATCACGTGACGCTCGGCAGACAAAGCATATACTGTACATACTGCACTACTCGTATTGCAAGACCTCACTCGTTTATCAAATAAATATTCATTTAAAATATTTGCTCGTCTTGCAAAACACTCGCAGACAAAGTTACTCGCAATTCAAGCTTTTACTGTAGATGTGAGAGATTATCGTGTCAACGCGAGACGGTCCCAGCCGCTGTTCCCTTTGCGCGGCACGAGCCGCCCGCGGCGCCTCTCACCTCTGCGGCCGTCATCTCGTCGTCCTGCAGTTGCGCCAGCGTGCGGTGGAAGCGCTCCTGCTCAGCGAGGGGCACGGCGCCGGCGTAGCGGTGCCGCAGGGCCTGTAGCGCACGGCGCAGGTGGCCCGCGCGGCTGTGGCCCTCGGCACGCGCGTGGATCAGAGTCTGCACCGGGGCGGGGGGGGAAGGTGGATCGATTCAACACGCGTCGTTACGGCAACCAACTACTCCGTCCCGTCGCGTTAAGCTTTTTGTATCGGAGGTGTGCCTTTGCGTTAGCGTGGAGGGATGCGCGCGGGATGCAATTGCGGGTTTTGGAAAGCCTTCGATCAATTTGACTGGTTTTTCGACGGTGTTACTTAGCTGGATTCCTGTCTGTCTGGGTCAAATCTTGTAATTACAATTTCGTCCACTTCCCGTTGTCCAATCAATTTCATATTTTGCACGCGTACTCAGATCCGGTGATAATGCATGCCTGTATCAATTAATCAATTAATTCGCTACTTTAAAGCATATTCTTGGTTCTTTCAGTAAAGTCACGTAGAAGGGAAATAATAAAATAATAAAAATAAAACAATTAAATTATCACGACGTTTCGATTGCAATCGTGAGAATTTTATTATTTTATTTTTATCATTTTCATATTTCCCTTTTACGTGACTTTACCGAAAGAACCAAGAATATGCATCCCTGCAGTCACGAAAGCTTTAAATCGAAATTTACTTTTAAAAAAATTACACTTTGTATGGAACGCCTTATTATTCATATATATATATATATTTGTGTGTAGGTCAAAAACGCCGTGGTCCCTAAACTGTGGAATCGGCTCGTACAAGAAGCAGGTGCCGCGTGTCTCTCAGGCGCCATTGACGTACTCCTCGACCGTGAGTTAAACAAAGTTGTTAATTAAACCGTTGTTTTAAAAAACTTGTTTAAACGAGTTTATTAGTAAGTTAAGTCTCCAATAGCAACAAAACTTTGTATTACACAATTGGAACCTCATTTGCCAGTAAAAAATATGATAATTGGTTTTTTACCATTTTATCTGGCAAACAAAACTGACACCTTTTTTACGAGGAGTCATGTTTGCATAGACCACAATACCTGCAGTCATAATGCAAACAAAAAACATAACTCTGATAATGGACAGTGCATACATTATCAGAGTTATGTTTTTTGTTTGCATTATGACTGCAGGTATTGTGGTCTATGCAAACATGACTCCTTGTAAAAAAGGTGTCAGTTTTGTTGCCAGATAGAAGGGTAAAAAAACTATTATCATCTTTGTATTACAGTTGAATGAACATTGTATCATCTTTATAAGAGTTATGATGACGAATGCCATGGACGGATGGCCAGAACTAATGCACCAACGCTTCGAAACTCAGTTGGAAAGCGTGAAAGAAAATAACACGTGGATTACACGAACACATTGTTATAGACTGTTAAGAAAAAGCTTGCTTGGACAAAAGGGGTGATAGCGTGTGGTCAGGACTAATGAAGGAGTGCCAGCCAAAGGAGGCAATACCCTAGAGAGAACGTGAACCACGGAGATGGAGCTAATATGAATCATGTCCATCCGGTGGACCACGAGGGACGGGACGAGCTGGCAATACCTTCACCCAGCAGCGGATTGATCACGGTTGATGACAATGACGATGACGACGTGGCCGTGTGGCACTTGCCTGTTCTCGCTGATCCAGCTGCTGCTCCAGGCGGAGGCCCCAGGCCTCGGCCCTGCTGAGCTTGGCGCGGGCGGTCTCCAGCTTGCGCAGCGCCGTCGCCTCGCTCAGCTGCAGCGCCATGATGTGCTGGTGCAGCGTGCCCAGCAGCGTCTTCTCATCCGAGCGGCACTGCCCGCGATAAAACAAACATTTTCCCACCCGTATGGCCTTTAACAGACTGTTGGGGGGGAGGGGCGAGTGCTGTTAGTGAGATGCACCTACGAAAGGGTGGGTGGGCCAACACCATGCCCGGCAGTCGTTTCTCTCCCCAGTGGTGATGTTTCACACACGGCACCAGGTACTCATTTGAGGCCGAGTCGAACAATCATTCGTGATAGCCACGTCACTTCTGACAAAGAGCTCTCTAGCTCAGTGGAGCCCTTACCTGGTCAAATAAAAAAGTAAAAATAGTACAGTGGAACCTCGGTACACGACCGCTTTGGAATAAGTCGGATTTGGTATACGTCGTGTTTTTTCGAGAGAAAAAAATGTCTTGGGATACACGGGACCAGTTCAATTATTCACCACCGTTAAAAGTCGTGAATGGGTATCAACCTCGGGTCACATTGCGTTAGCGACTGCACTGCCGCTCGAACAACAACCGCCGATCGCCACTCGGCGGTGGCGACGTCACCACGGCACCTGTGCCAGGCGAGACGCACTTTGAGGGCACGTGCAGTGTCGAAGGCTCGCTGGCAGGAGATCGCAGGACAGACCCAGGTGTCGCGGGTTGGCTGAGATGACTGGCAGATGCACCACTTGTGCCCCCTACTGTGCAAATTGTCGCTAGCCGCATACATACAGGCGGTCACTTGATGGGATCTCACACCGCGTTTTCCACGTGGGAACTTACCATGATGCGCCGGAACCAAACCGTGCTGCGCTGGCCTCACAAAACGACAACTGAACTTGGCTCGGGGTCAAGCAGGGTCAGGGGTCGGGGCTAATGATGCATTCATCGATTGCATGTGGTGTGAGTCAGTACGCTGTGAGGACACGGCTACCACAAAACTCTGCGCAACCAGTTGAACACGTAGGCTTTCGCGATCAATATTACTCTTAATAAACGTTTTTGGGTGAGATCGCGTTATTTATAAATGTGCCGTAACCCTCCAACACCCGACACGGCCAATCAGTAAAAAAGTGCCACGTTGACAAAAGACAAAATAGTTCACTACTTTAGCCCACCGGTGTGTTGAAGAGTGAATCCACAACACCATTCTGGCGAATTGCCCGACGATGCTGGATGTAATTACCAGCGAAACGTCGTACTACTCACAAATTGCAAATGTTGTGGTTTCACTCGACTGGTAAATAAAAAAAAGTTAAAATAGTAATTAAAAAAAACGTGTACTTTCAAGTAAATTCTGGACATCTCGCTGCCTGTAACCGGCACACGGTGACCCCTCCTAACCTGCAGGTCGGAGAGCTGGCGCCGCAGAGACTCAACCTCTTTCTCGTGCGAGTGCTGGCGGGAGGCCCATGACTCCGCTTGAGCCCTGGCCACCTCCGCCACGTCGCGCTGCCTGCACGCACGCACGCACGGACACGTGCGTTGAATTTCTTTCGCACCGTACACAGCCAACTGTGCTAATCGGAGGTGCGGGGGGGGGAAGGACAACAAACTAAATGCAAAAAGCAGTTCTCTCCCTCCCTAATCCCTCTCTCCCTAATCTCCCCCATGAACACAACTGACGTGATAATTGTTTTTTTTACCCTTCTATCTGGCAACAAAACTGACACCTTTTTTACAAGGAGTCATGTTTGCATAGACCACAATACCTGCAGTCATAATGCAAACAAAACACATAACTCTGATAATGTATGCACTGTCCTTGAAGTTGATTGGTCCACACCCGAGACAGCTTTCCTTAGAGCCTAGTCTCACATGGGTTGGACCAGATGACGCCAAAAGGCGCACAACTGACGTGCTTGAGTCCGTGGACGGAATTCCTTTCCAGCTCAGACCCCGCCTGCTTGCCCATCGCCACGTATATAATAACCTCTTGTAGTAACAGCTCTCTCGCTGGTTCAGCAGATTCCACTGCTGGATGATATTTTTCCCGCCTAAGGACGACCGCTTGTGTTGCGATCGAAACGTCGTGACTTATTTTATACCTACGTGACTTTACCGAAAGAACCAAAGAGTATACGGTTCTAAAGAATTTCGATTTAAAGCTTTCGTGACTGCAGGGATTCATCTTCTTGGTTCTTTCGGTAAAGTCACGTATAAGGGAAATAATAAAATAATAAAATAAAACATAACAAAATAATTCTCACGACGTTTCGGCCACAACGCAAGCAGCCGTCCGACAGACCTGGTCTTCACCTGAGGACGGCTGCTTGCGCTGTGGCCGAAACGTCGTGAGAATTATTTTATTATGTTTTATTTTTATTATTTTATTACTTCCCTTCTACGTGACTTTACCGAAAGAACCAAGAAGGTTCTAAAGAAATGAGTTTTCAATCTAGATTTCAAAGTGCACAGCGCTATGCATAGCACAGTGCTGGGTTATGAGGTCAGTGGTGGGCGTCGGTGCAGGGCGTCCGTACTTGGACACCTCCATCCTGAGTGCGGCCTGCGACTCCTCGAGCTGCCGAATTTGCCGCCGGTCGGCCTCGCTCACGGCTCGGCTCACACCCCCCGCCAACTCGTCCCGGAGCTCGGCTTCCACGCGCTGCGCCTCCAGGTTCATCCTCGTCAGCTGAGGCGTGCAAGGCAACAACAATGATGAGTACGGCTGGCCACGTACTGCGCGAAAGAAGTTCAACATACAGAAGAAAAAAGAATTGCGTTTGCTGTCCTCCCCCGCACCTCCGATTCGTACGTTTATTTTTATATTGGGCGAAATTGCGAACAACAACCAATATCGGACATTGGTACATCTATCTAAAGTCACGTAGAATAAAAATAATAAAATAATAAAAATAAAACATAATAAAATTAAACAATTCTCACGACGTTTCGGCCACAACGCAAGCAGCCGTCCTCAGGTGAAGAACAGGTCTGTTGAGAAGACAGAGTCTGAATGACACACTCCAGGTTTGGAGTGACCATTTAAGCTGGGATGGAGGGGAGAAGGGCGCCTTGACAAAATAATTTGCATATCAAGAGGAATTTAGCATATTTATGGGCAATGCAGATATAAATCGAAATTGGTACATCTAATCGGCATGAGCATCGGATCACCGCAAGCTCAAAGACTGAGTCCCCTACAGGGTGTGTGGTGAAGTTAGGACATGTGTGTGCTCGGCACGTGAACGCCTGAAGACCAGAATCCGTTATTTCAACGACAATGTGTTCATCAGGGAGCTTCCATCCAGGGAGCTTGTTCTGTTCACGACGTACGGCGTGAAAGAATTTCAAAATACATAGAGACGAACTCCCAAGCAGGAACGCATTCTCCCTCACGCGAGACACACTATGTTGACCTGCACTTCTCAAGATAAACTTTGGGGTGCGTCTTATTATCCAGTTACGTGACCTTTGCTGCCACCGCGGCCACTTCCACCATTACCATGTTTTTTTTCTTCTTGGTTCTTTCCGTAAAGTCACGTAGAAGGGAAGTAATACACTAATAAAAAATAAAACGTAATAAAATAAAAATGAAAATAATTATTATGTTTTATTTTTATTATTTTATTACTTCCCTTCTACGTGACTTTACCGAAAGAACATTACCATGTTCTCCGTATTATCATCATTCAGCGTTCTCTCCATAGACAGGACCGGTGCACAATTTTCTCCTCCGTGTCCCCTCTTGTCTTTCGCTGTTTCCCTTCATCTTGTCCTTTCGTCGTTCATTATACGCACGTATGTAGAGCTTCTCCCGCATCGTACGTAACCAACCGCGCCAATTGGACGTGCGGAGATGCTAGACGTTGTCGAGAATCGCCATTGTGTTTTGTTCTTTCTCCGCGCCTTGATAAAAAGGCACTTTTTCTCCCCCAGTATTCACTCCATACTTTGTAAACTTTACACTTTGCACCCAGATAAATGTGCTACATCTATTTCAAAGCAGTCCCAAAGTTTGAGGTGAGTCTTACTTTCCCGAGCATCTCATTATCTGGACAATACAGTAACAGTAACACAACTTAGTGTCGCGAGGATATTTTTTGGAGTTTCAAGATTTTGTTGTGTTTCTGTGTACGGTGGTCGCCTATCCAAGCACTGCCCACAGGCTCAAAACCTGCTTGGCTTCCCAGATCGGGTGTTAATTCCGGGAACGACCAAAACCATCGCTGACGGAACGAGCTTGGATCGTAATGGCCGTGTCGGAGACGTTAGGCTGCTGTCACCGCCACCACCGCCACTGAGATTCTGGGTCCAAAGCTGAAAAGCGCACCATCACTGTCCCACTAATTTAACATTTCACCTGCACTCCACGACCACCACCACCAAAAACAAAGATCCCCCATATAACCTGAACAGACTGTAGGGGCAAGTGCTGTTAGCCAGCAGCACCTATGAAGGCCGGCACGGCGCACAAGGGGGTAGGTGGCCAGCACCGCGCCCGGTCGCCTTCATCTCCCTCGTGGCGATGTCTACACACCGCACCAGGTGCTCAACTGAGTTGACCTAGGGGAGACTCAGAACCAGAGGTCGCAATCGGGTACCCGATACCCGTACCCTACCCGATACCCAGCCGGGTACGGGTACCCGTTTGCGACCCTGGTGCGGCCGGGTACGGGTACGGGTAGGCCGTGAGTCACTGGTGAGTCACCGTTTGTCACTCATTTCGGGTAGGGTACGGGTACGGGTAGGGAATCAAAACCCGTTTGCGACCTCTGCTCAGAACTGGTTGAGTTACTCGGAACGGGAATCGAACTCGGATCGCTGGGTTTGTATCGCAGCGCGCCAACTGCTACACTACCGCCGCCACCACTGCCGCCTGTCACCACCACCGCCGCCGTCCGTCACAAACCTGCGCAAACTTCTCCTCGAGCTGCTGGTTACGCTCGTGCGCGCGAGCCAGCGCCTCCTCGGCGTGCCGCTGCATGTGCAGCGCGTGCTCCGCTCGCTGGCGCTCGTTCAGCTCCCGCATCTCCAGCACCGTCAGCCGCCGCGACACCGACTCATCAGCATCGCCGGCGCCAGTGCCGACGGCCGAGGTGGTGAAGCCTTCACAACGCAGCAATGCGTGGAGAGAAGGGATGTGGGGATGACGTGTGGGTCCCTGTAACCGCTGCTGGAGGCTTGGATGGCTCGTAATGGCCGTGTCGGAGCGTAAAAGGTCACAGTGCTAAGGTCACTGCATTTAAGCGATGATGTTTGTCTCAGGGTGCTGCGATGGCCAGATGTTAACTACCTCGCCTGGTATACAGGAGGTCGTGGGTTCGATCCCAACCCTGACGCCTGCTGCTGTATATTTGGAGTTTGCATGTTCTCCCCGTGGTCGTGTGGATTTTTCTCCAGGTCCTCCGATTTTTCTCTCCATATTTAGAAACATGGATTGAGAGAATTTAGCTGCTGTAAATGTACATTTGATAATAAACCACTTTGTTGACCTATCATTTGTGTCCAGGTCGCTTCTGAAAAAGAGCTATTCAGCTCAGTGGGCCTTACCTGGTAAAATAAAAATTGTTTAAATAGTTTAAATTTTAGTAGTGTTCATAATGGCAGTGTCGGAGCCACAAAGTTGACGGCTTTAAGATCCTGAGGTGAGATTCTGAGGGTGGATGTCTCGGTCTCAGGATGGTCATAATGACTGTGTCAAAGACACAGAACCACTTCCAGCCCTGTAAGAGGTTTACAATGGCCAAGGCAGACACACTAAGATCTTGGGACTCTAACACTGGGATCGGGTGTCTCTCTCTGGATTTGGGAAGGCCACGTCAGAGGTAGAGATGATGGCCAGCGGTCAAGACTAATGACAGGAGTGGTGGCCAAAGCAGGGAAAGAGGACCCGTGAAACCGTCCACCGCCGAAATGAAGCGATGAAATCAGTTCGAGGAGTTGATCTATCCAGTAATCCCTCATGGGATCGTGAGGGATGCTGATGATGCTGTTGAAGAAAATTATTGAGTTCAATGGGCGATGGTGGTGATGGTGGCGATGGTGGCAATGGTGGTTGATGGTGGTGATGGTGGCGATGGTGGCGATGGTGGCGATGGTGGTTGATGTTGGCGATGGTGGTTGATGGTGGTGATGGTGGCGATGGTGGTTGATGGTGGTGATGGTGGCGATGGTGGCGATGATGAAGATGGTGGCGATGACGGCGATGGCAGCGATGGTGGCGATGGTGGCCATGGTGGCAATGATGGCGATGGTGGTGATGGTGGCGATGGTGGTGATGGTGGCGATGGTGGCCATGGTGGCGATGATGGCAACGATGGCGATGGTGGCGATGGTGGTGATGGTGGTTGATGGTGGTGATGGTGGCAATGGTGGCAATGTTGGCGATGGTGGTTGATGGTGGTGATGGTGGTGATGGTGGCGATGGTGGTGATGGTGGCCATGGTGGCGATGATGGCAACGATGGCGATGGTGGCGATGGTGGTTGAACGTGGCTGATGGTGGTGATGGTGGCGATGGTGGCTGATGGTGGTGATGGTGGCGATGGCGGCGATGGCAATGATGGTGGCGATGGTGGCGATGGTGGTTGATGGTGGTTATGGTGGCGATGGTGGTTGATGGTGGTGATGGTGGCGATGATGGCAACGATGGCGATGGTGACGACGACTCCATGTTATGGCACGTGCCCACCTTGTTTTGCAATTCTCTCATTCGCCTGCTCCAGGGTGTGAAGTTTCTCTTTGCAGATCTCCAGTTCCTTGCTCACCATTGTAACCTCTGCCCGAAGCGCGGTGTTCTCCTCCTGCACGGACAGAGGAGACACAGAGAGAGAGAGAGAGAGCTGGGGGTCTTGCTCTTCACGTTCCCACAACCACTGGCACCCGTGCAAGCTTGCTACTCCACCCGGCCTGGAACTCGTGTTGTTTATACGATTGTCGGTTTGCCATACATATCGAAATGTCTAACAACGTGAATAAAAAGTCCGTCCCTGTGCGTCTCTCGAACGTGCCGTGCGGGTTTGATCGTTGTATTATTAACTATTAAACTAAACAGTTGTTTACTTAACCAGGCAAGGCTATACAGCTCTATTTCAGAAGCGACATGGCCAGAAATTATAACTCAACGAAGTGGAAATTCGTTAATCTCTCATTTAAATTTCGATTTAAAGCTTTCGTGACTGCAGGGATTCATATTCTTGGTTCTTTCGGTAAAGTCACGTAGAAGGGAAAAAGATGGAAGGACAGGCAGACAGACGACAACTGCATGTTTGTTTCTAAATGTGGAGGGAAAAACTGGAGGAGAGAGACATGCAAACTCCAAATATAGAGACGTCAGGGTCCGGATCGAACTCACGACCTACTGCATACCAGGTGAGGTAATTAACATCTCACCACCGTGGCAGAGCTATTGGCAGGCTATAGCCAAGCCTGCATGTACACATCTGCCGTGTTAATGCTGAGGCTATACGTTTCTCTTACGGTTACACGAGGGCCGACCGGTTCTTTTGGGTCACCCTTTGATCAATTTGGCCAGGTTTTCAATATGTTAATTCTCTGATTGCAGCACAACGTTGTACTAGAGTTTTGTTGGTATTGGATTATCTTTACGAGAGTTAGAGTGGCAACCCGTTACAGACAGAACAATGGAAGGACAGGCAGACAGACAGATAGAAGGATAGACAAATGGACAGATGGCCAGACGAACAGACAGACAGACAGACAACAGAGGGACAGACATATGGACAGATAGCCAGATGGATGGACAGATAACGAACAGATAGACAGGCAGACAGACAGAGAGGTAGACAGATGGAGGGCAGACAAGACAGACAGACTGATGGACCGACTGACACACAGACAACAGAGGGACAGACAAATGGACAGATGGATAGACGGACAGACAGGCAGATAGAGAGTTAGACGGACTGACAGATGAATGGACAGGCAGATGGAAAAACGGACGGGCAGACAAGGCAGATACAGTAAAACCTTGGGTTGCGAGCATAATTCGTTCCGGAAACGTGTTTGTAATCCAAAGCACTCGTATATCAAAGCACTCGTATATCAGTTGTGATCACGTGATGCCCGGCAGACAAAGCGTGTACACGTACTACTCGTATTGCAAGACCTCGCTCGTTTATCAAATTAATATTTATTAAAAAATTTGCTCGTCTTGCAAAACACTCGCAGACCAAGTTACTCGCATTCCAAGGTTTAACTGTAGATGAACAGACTGACAGGTCAGAGCTATTACATAAGCACATTCGACCGTAGTTTAAAAGCGCTGTTGAAACGTGTGTGTGCATGTATGTGTGTGCGGCGGGGAGCGATAGTGTAGCGGTTAGCGCGCTGTGCTATGAACCCGGCGACACGAGTTCGATTCCCGCTTACGGCCAACACCAGTGACGATTATCTGAACCGGTCCTGGGCCTCCCCAAGGTCGACTCAGCCTCAAATGAGTACCTGGTGCGGTGTGTAAACATTGCCACTAGGGAGACAAAGGTGGTCGGGCGTGGTGCTGGCCACCCACCCACCCCCTCGTGTACCGTTCCGGCCTTCATAGGTGCTCGCAAACAGCACTTTCCCCTACAGTCTGTTAAGGCTATACGGGGGATCTTTATCTTTGTGTGCGGCGGGGACCTTGACGTGCTCCACGCTGGAGGCTCTCTGCGCCAGCACATTGTCCCTCTGCAGGAGGTCCCGGTACTTGGCCGTGAGCTCGTTGTAGCGCCCGTTCGCCACCTCCAACTCGGATGCCGGGACGCTGTCTGCCAGCGCCTTCTGCAGTGCCGCGATCTTGTAGCTCGCCATGTCCTTCGCACAAGCACGGACCGCACGCGAGTGTCAAGGTAGGCCCATTGCAGCTTTAGCGGCAATTGCGATCTGCAACACGGTAATCTGGAATACTTTTAACTGTTCGTGAAGACAGCTTCTCTGCCCAGCGGCATAGTGTGGTTTGCCATGGGCCCTGGTGATGGTGGTGATGATGGTGATGATGGCGATGGTGGCGATGGTGGCGATGGTGGCGATGGTGGCGATGGTGGCGATGATGGTGACGATGGCGACGATAGTGACCATTCGACTGTGGCGATGGTGGGGACGGTGGCGATGATGGTGATGATGGTGATGATGGTGATGATCGCGATGATGGTGATGGTGGCAATGATGGTGATGATGGCGATGATGGCGATGGTGGTGACGGTGGCAATGATGGGGATTATGGTGATGATAGCAATGGTGGTGACAATTGCGACGTTGGCTAAACAGGGCGTTCTCCCCCCGCCCCCCGCCCCACCAAACACCTTGTAGCGCTGCAGGTAGCCGATTCTCTCAGCCACCGCGGCCTCCATGTCCGTCACGTCGGCGTGGAGCCTGGCATTCTCCCGCCGCCCGTGACTCTCGGCCTCCACCAGCGCCGCGTGGCGCCTGCTCAGCGCCAGCTCGTTCACGCGCAGCACAGTCATGCGCCGGCTCATCTCCGAAAGCTTCCGGGTCAATTCGCCAGCGTCCAGCTTCGACGCCTCCAGCAGGTTCTGGATCCAAGAAGACGCGGCACCAGTGAAGAGCGCAGCGACGCTGAGATGTTAACTCCCACGGAGTTTGCATCTCTCATCATCATCACGGTGGCTAGGAGATGTTAACTACCTCGCCTGGAATACGGGAGGTCGTGGGATCGATCCCGACCCTGACGCCTGCTGTATATTGGGAGATTGCGTGTCTCTCTCTCCCGTGGCCGCATGAATTTTGTCCTCTGGTTTATCCCTCCACATTAAAAAGTCCACGCGATAAGTCACTTCGTTGAACTATCATTTGTGATGGCTAGGTTGCTTGTGTAAAAGAGCTTTTCAGGGTGTTTTAAAAAGCTGGACCCAATTTCAAAGCAGTATATTTCACGATGGCAACATGTTACAATTACACAAAAAGTTACAAACGGTTTAATGAGTTATCAAGTTTTACTAACCATTTTATAAATGCTCTATGTGCCCTCCACCTGCTGTACGGACAACATCGAGACGATTGTTGAATTCGTCCCAAACGCCTCTCAAAGTGTCTTCTTCCACTGAAGTCACCGCTGCGGTGATTCTGTTTTTGAGGTCATCCAGATTAGTTGCTAATGGTGGCACAAAAACAACACGGTCTTTAACGTATCCCCACAAGAAAAAGTCGCAGGGTGTGATGATGTCTGGGGATCTTGGGGGCCAAGAGCGTAGCGCCAAGTCTTGGGGTCCCGTGCGACCTATCCAACGTTGAGGCGGTGCGTCTTGCGAATGACTGAGGCTAGGGGCTGTTTGTGCGCTGGGAGAAGCATCTAGCGGTAACCATTTGAAACTCTATGCCCCACCCTCTCTCTATGCCCCGCCCTCTCTATGCCCCGTCCTTTCAAGCGGTAAGAGTTTCATTCATGGGCGGTTCGTGGTTGCAGAGATATAGCGATTTCAAATCGGGTCCATTACTTTCAAACACCCTGTACTAGCTCAGTGGGCCTTGCCTGGTAAAATAAAACATAGCTTTTTTATCTTCTTGGTTCTTTCGGTAAAGTCACGTAGAAGAGACGGCTGCTTGTGTTGTGGCCGAAACGTCGTGAGAATTATTTTATTGTTTTATTTTTATTATTTTATTACTTCCCTTCTACGTGACTTTACCGAAAGAACCAAGAAGATGAATCCCTGCAGTCACGAAAGCTTTAAATCGAAAAATAGCTTTTTTAGTTTCAATCGTTTGTTCTCAATACCCTTATCCCGGTAAGGGTCGTGGCGGCAGCATGTTGAGCAGGGTGGTCCAGACCTCCCTTTCCCTGGCGACAAGACTCTAGCTCTTCCTGGGGATTTCCCAGGCATTCGCAGGCCAGCAGAGCGACATAGTCCCGCCTGCGTGTCTTGGACCGACCCCGGGGTCTTCGCCCAGTGGGACGTGCGGCCCGGTAAGAGTTCCAGGGGGAGTCTAGCGGGGGGGCATCCTTAGCATGTGCCCGAACCACCTCAACTGGCTGCTCTCGATCCGGAGGAGCAGCGGTTCGAATGCTCTCCCGGATTACCGAGCCCCTCACCCGATCACAGAGTGAGCCCGGCAACCCTGCGGAGAAACCAAATTTTGGCCCCTTGATTTAGAAGAATTATAAATATTTTCTTTAATCTTGCACATGCTGGGCTTCTGCAACACTTCCCAACACGCTCATTGGTCCTCAAGAGATATTTAATGGGCGATAATGACTCTACGTTTCGAGACGAACAGCCAGATGATATTAAAACGTTTAACTTAACCTTGAAACTATTTTTTTTACATCACCATATAAGGTCCCACTGAGCACTATGTAGCTCTTTTTCAGAAACGACCCGGCCACAAATGATAGCTCAACGAGGTGGGTTATCGCGTGGAAATGTATAGCAGCCAAATGCTCTAAACGTGCTTTGTCGATTCTAAATGTGGAGGGGAAAAACTGGAGAACCCGGAGAAGAATCCACGTGATCATGGAGAGAGAAACACGCAAACTAAAAATATACAGGCGTCGGGCTCGGGCTCGAACCCTCGACCTCCTGCATACAGGGCGAGGGAGTAAAGATCTCGCAACCGTGGCTCCGCACGTGATGTTATACGGGAGGGATATGTCCGTGTCTCCCCGCTCGGATGAATGTGGGGCGATGCTCATCTCCGTTAGCGGTGCTGAACTGGGAGTGGACATTCCATATTCGCATGGCAAGCGTTAAGTTTGCTGAATAGTCAGAGATGTCAGAAGGACGTGACGAAAAAAACGTCGCAGATAATGTGCATCAAGGACAGTCGGTGAATGGACACCGCACTTTTAACGATAATTTCCCGCAGCAACCGCGACAGCCACTCCTTACGTTGTACTCCTGGACGTGGATGGAGTTCTCTTGGTTCTTCTCCTCCAGGGACAACTTCTCCCTGTCCAGTCGCTCCCTCTCCTTCTGCCACTCCTCCCGCTCGCTGCGAAAAAATCGGGAACGGGACACACGTGAGGCCAGGTGGCTCAGCTGTCGAGAGAGCAGAAGGCAAACGAAAAGTTTGAGATATAAATGTGTCGTAACCCTCCACCACCCGACACGGCCAATCAATAAAAAAGTGTCACGTTGACAAAAGACAAATTAGTTCACTGCTTTAGCCCACCGGTGTGTTGAAGCGCGAAACCACAACATTTACAATCTGAGTACGACGTTTCGCTGGTAATTGCATCCAGCATCATCTGGCGAATTGCCCGTACTCATATTGTAAATGTTGTGGTTTCGCGCTTCAACACACCGGTGGGCTAAAGCAGTGAACTAATTTGTCTTTTGTCAACGTGACACTTTTTTACTGATTGGCCGTGTCGGGTGGTGGAGGGTTACGACACATTTATAAATAACGCCATCTAAACCCAAAAACGTTGATTATGAATAATATTGGTCGCGAAAGCCTACGTGTTAAACTGAAAAGTTTGAGAGTTGGAAGGATGCGGTTTGCTGCTATAAATTGTCACACGCGATAAGCCACTTTGTTGAGCCAACCCTTGCTGGTGTCTCCAAAGCACTGGGCCGCAGGCCATGTGCACCAGCATGGCCGCCACGCGATGCTTGCTGTGTGTGAACGGACGTGAACCGTGAACCCTCCTCGCCTGTGGAAATCCTGGTAGAGAAGGCTCTGCTGGTGACAGGCGACGGCAAACTTGCGTTTCAGCTGCTCCAGAGATTCGCTCACTCGCTCCAGTTCCGCGTCCTTGCCGCTGTTGTCCTGCAATGGCGCACGACGCAATAACACACGAGGCAGTGACGCACGACGCAATAATACACGATGTACAAGATAGGTAGACACAGGGAAATGATGCACAATGATACACAGTGCACAGTGCAATAGTACAACACTCAATGCAAAGATACGCTGGCAACATGCAATGGGGTACAATTCAACGATACGCAACGCAAAAATAAACAACGATTCAACGATACGGAACTATAAACAACGATTCAACGATACACAACGCAACTATAAACAACGATTCAACAATACGCAACTATAAACGATTCAACAATACGCAACGCAACTATAAACAACGATTCAACGATACGTAACACAACAATAAACAACGATTCAACGATACACAACTATAAGCAACTATAAACAACGATTCAACGATACGCAACACAACAATGAACAACGATTCAACGATACGCAACACAACTATAAACAACGATTCAACGATACGCAACGCAACTATAAACAACGATTCAACAATACGCAACGCAACTATAAACAACGATTCAACGATACGCAACACAACTATAAACAACGATTCAACGATACGCAACATAACTATAAACAACGATTCAACAATACGCAACGCAACAATAAACAACGATTCAACGATACGCAACACAACTATAAACAACGATTCAACAATACGCAACGCAACAATAAACAACGATTCAACGATACGCAACACAACTATAAACAACGATTCAACAATACACACCGCAACAATAAACAACGATTCAACAATACGCAACGCAACTATAAACAACGATTCAACAATACGCAACACAACTATAAAAACGATTCAACGATACACAACGCAACAATAAACAACGATTCAACAATACGCAACGCAACAATAAACAACGATTCAACAATACGCAACACAACTATAAACAACGATTCAACGATACGCAACGCAACTATAAACAACGATTCAACGACACGCAACACAACTATAAACAACGATTCAACGACACGCAACGCAACTATGAACAACGATTCAACGACACGCAACACAACTATAAACAACGATTCAACGACACGCAACACAACTATAAACAACGATTCAACGACACGCAACGCAACTATGAACAACGATTCAACGACACGCAACACAACTATAAACAACGATTCAACGATACGCAACGCAACTATAAACAACGATTCAACGACACGCAACGCAACTATAAACAACGATTCAACGACACGCAACGCAACTATAAACAACGATTCAACGATACGCAACACAACTATAAACAACGATTCAACGATACACAACGCAACAATAAACAACGATTCAACGATACGCAACGCAACTATAAACAACGATTCAACGATACGCAACGCAACTATAAACAACGATTCAACAATACGAACACAACTATAAACAACGATTCAACAATACGAACACAACTATAAACAACGATTCAACGACACGCAACGCAACTATAAACAACGATTCAACAATACACAACTATAAACAACGATTCAACGATACAGAACAATAAACAACGATTCAACGATACGCAACGCAACAATAAACAACGATTCAACGATACGCAACGCAACAATAAACAACGATTCAACGATACGTAACGCAACTATAAACAACGATTCAACGATACGCAACGCAACTATAAACAACGATTCAACGATACGTAACGCAACTATAAACAACGATTCAACGATACGCAACGCAACTATAAACAACGATTCAACGATACGTAACGCAACAATAAACAACGATTCAACGATACACAACTATAAACAACGATTCAACGATACGCAACGCAACAATAAACAACGATTCAACGATACGCAACTATAAACAACGATTCAACAATACGCAACGCAACAATAAACAACGATTCAACGATACGTAACGCAACTATAAACAACGATTCAACAATACAGAACGCAACAATAAACAACGATTCAACGACACGCACGGACGCAATGCGAAGCTGCACACGGGGCTCACCTGCAAGACCTGCACCAGGTACTCGTTGAGCGCGTTGATGACGTCGCTGCTCGACGGCACCATGGCCTCGGGCAGCGGCAGCGTGGGCAGCGCTGTGCCTGTGGCCCCAGACGTCCTCAGCAGTGCCAGCTCCCCCTCCAGGCGAGACATCTGGCACGGGCACACCAAGAGGGGTGGTTTCAATGCAGTCGGCATTCGACAGTCAAGCGGGAAGCAAACTAAACACAAGCCACTCTTACCTTGAAAGAAGTAGTCCTCTAGTAAAGCAGTAATAGGTTTTTACCCTTTCAACTGGTACAAAAACTGACACCTTTATACAAGGCATCATGTTTGCAATAACCACAACACAAGCAGTCAAAATGCAAACAAAAAGAAACAACTCTGATGATGATAATGATATGCACTGTCCTTGAAGTTGATTGGTCCACACCCGAGACAGCTTTTCTTAGAGCCTAGTCTCCACTGGTGTTGGACCAGATGACGCCAATGGAGACTAGGCTCTAAGAAAAGCTGTCTCGGGTGTGGACCAATCAACTTCAAGGACAGTGCATATCATTAATCGACGTGACCACGGGGAGAGAGACACACAAACTCCAAATATACAGCAGCAGCATCAGGCGTCAGGGTCGGGATCGTACCCACGGCCTCTTGTATACCAGGCGAGGTAATTAACATCTCATAGCCACCGTGATGATGATGAGAAACGCAAACTCCAAATATACAGCAGCAGGCGTCAGGGTCGGGAACTAACCCACGACCACCTGTATACCAGGGGAGGTAGCTAACATCTCATAGCCAGCGTGATGATGATGAGAGATGCAAACTCCAAATATACAGCAGCAGGCGTCAGGGTAGGAATCGAACCCACGACCTCCTGTACACCAGGCGAGGTAGTTAACATCTCCTGGCCACCGTGATGATGATGAGAAACGCAAACTCCAAATATACAGCAGCAGGCGTCAGGGTCGGGAACTAACCCACGACCTCCTGTATACAAGGCAAGGTAGTTAACATCTCCTATCCACCGTGACACCCACTCAGTCGCCGTGGTCTCGTGTCGCGGGCACTGTTGCCGCCACTGTGGTCGCACCTTATCGAAGGCCCGGTCCTTTGTGGACGACGCGGCCAGCGCCTCCGATCGCGTCGCGCGCAGCTCATCCCTGAGCTCCTGGTTGCGCCCGGTCAGCTGAGCAAGCTGCTCCTTCAGCTGAGCCACCCCCTCATGCGGCCCGCCAGACCGCCGGGCCTCCAGGACCTGCAGAGGAGCGACGTGTTGACGACGACGATGATTTATAATATTCGATTTAAAGCTTTCGTGACTGCAGGGATTCATCTTCTTGGTTCTTTCGGTAAAGTCACGGAGAAGGGAAATAATAAAATAATAAAAATAAAACATAATAAAATAATTCTCATGACGTTTCGGCCACAACGCAAGCAGCCGTCCTCAGGTGAAGAACAGGTCTGTCGGAAAGATGTCATTAAGACGCTGTCTTTCCGACAGACCTGTTCTTCACCTGAGGACGGCTGCTTGGGTTGTGGCCGAAACTTCGTGAGAATTTTATTTTATTGTGTTATTTTTATTATTTTATTATTTCCCTTCTACGTGACTTTATCGAAAGAACCAAGAAGATGTATAATATGTTTTCGTTTGCTCCAATAAAGAGAGAACTAGTCAGTCAGAACCGGGCATCAATAATTGTCCAAACACTGTTGTCCTAAATTTTGATTTAAAGCTTTCGTGACTGCAGGGATTCATATTCTTGGTTCTTTCGGTAAAGTCACGTAGAAGGGAAACAATAAAATAATAAAAAGAAAAAACAATAAAATTATCACGACGTTTCGATTGCAACACAAGCAATCGTCATCAGGTGTGAAAACCACAGCAAGAAAATTTGAAAAGTTTTCTTGCTGTGATTCTGGTTCCTGTGTGTGTGTGTGTTAGCGTGCTGCACTGCGAACCCGGCGACCTGAGTTCGATTCCCGCTTACGGCCAACATCGGTGACGATTATCTGAACTGGTCCTCTCTTAGGTCGACTCAACCTCAAATGAGTACCTGGTGTGATGTGTAAACATCGCCACTGGGGAGACAAAGGCGGCCGGGCGTGGTGCTAGCCACCCATCCCATTGTGCGCCGTGCTGGCCTTCACAAGCTGCTGCTCGCTAACAGCACTCGCCCCAACAGTTTGTTCCAGGCTACACGGGGGGCATCTTTGTCTCCGTCTTTGCGTCACACCGTGAGCAGCCGTTCGAGCGAGGGCAGGTGGATTGCGGTGCTGCCACCACCGCCGCCGCCGCCGGCACCAACGCCCGGCCCCCCCGGCCCCCCAGGAGCACTCTGCGCCGCCCGCACGGCCGCCGACACCTCCCTGAGCCCGGCCTCCAGCCCCGACACCTCCGCCTGCAGCTCCGACACTACGGCACGCAGCAGCAGCAGCAGCAGGGTGATGCAGTAGTAACGAGAGAAGCAGTTGGAACAGCAGCGTAGCGAACAGCAGCAACAGCAGGGTGATGCAGTAGTAACGAGAGAAGCAGTAGGAACAGCAGCGTAGCGAACAGCAGCAGCAGCAGGGTGATGCAGTAGTAACGAGAGAAGCAGTAGGAACAGCAGCGTAGCGAACAGCAGCAGCAGCAGGGTGATGCAGTAGTAACGAGAGAAGCAGTTGGAACAGCAGCGTAGCGAACAGCAGCAGCAGCAGGGTGATGCAGTAGTAACGAGAGAAGCAGTTGGAACAGCAGCGTAGGAAACAGCAGCAGCAGCAGCAGGGTGATGCAGTAGTAACGAGAGGAGCAGTAGGAACAGCAGCGTAGCGAACAGCAGGAGCAGCAGCAGGGTGATGCAGTAGTAACGAGAGAAGCAGTAGGAACAGCAGCGTAGCGAACAGCAGCAGCATCAAAAGAAACAGCAGAAGTAGTAGCAGGTGAGAGTTCAACAACCAGCAGCACAAACACACAGTAGTAGTAACAGCGGCAGTAGTAGAAGCAGCAGCGGCAGATGGGACAATAGTAACAAAGGGAACGGCAGGAGATGGAGTGTCAGCATCGGCAGCAAAGGATGACAGGAGCGGCAGTGGCAGGACCAGCAGGTAGCGCAAGGGGCATCAGGAACGGCAGGCAGGAGAGCGTCAGAAACAGCAGCAGGAGAAGCAGGCAAAGCATCAGCAGAGGGAAACAATGTAGCAGCAGCAGCATCGGCAGAAGAGGAAGAGATTGGGATAGACTGTGAGCAATAATACGAGAGAGAGACGTGAAGATACTTGTTATTGTGTTTCAAACGCCCTCAATGAACTAAAATTAAACTATTTTAATTTTACCAGGTAAGGCCCACTGAACTATTAGCTTCTTTTTCAGAAGCAACCTGGCCACAAATGATAGCTCAACGAAGTGGCTTATCACGTGGAAATTTATTGCAGCCAAACACTCTAAAGGCAGGTTTCCAAATATGGAGGGAAAAACCGGAGGAACCAGACAAAAATCCACGCGACCACATGGAAAACACGCAGACTCCAAATATACAGCAGCAGGCGTCAGGGTCGGGATCGAACCCACGACCTCCTGTACACCAGGCGAGGTAGTTAACATCTCCTAGCCACCGTGATGATGACACACGAAAACTCCAAATATTCAGCAGCAGGCGTCAGGGTTGAACCCACGACCTCCTGCACACCAGGTGAGGTAGTTAACATCTCCAAGCCACCGTGATGATGATGAGAGATATGAAAACTCCAAATATACAGCAGCAGCAGGCGTAAGGGTTGAACCCACGACCTGCTGCGTACCAGGCGAGGTAGTCAACATCTGATGAGAGTGAGACACGCAAACTCCAAATATACAGCAGCAGGCGTCAGGGTCGGGATCGAACCCACGACCTCCTGTATACCAGGCGAGGTAGTTAACATCTCGCCACCACGGCACCACGGCCCACGTGCGTAAGCGCCCCGTGTCGCCCCAGCCGGCCTGTGGCCCCAGTGCCATACCTTGATGCCGGAGGCTCGCGCCTTCCTTGGACTTCTCGGCCAGCTCCTTCTCCCTGTGCTCCAGCTCCTGACACAGCTGCTCCACCTGCAAGTAATGGGTCCATGATGGCAGGGAAGTGGCACGGTGGTGTGACGTGCCCAGCCGGGGGGTTAAAGTCCCACTGTTACCGCTGTCGCTGCCGTCTACACGGTCGACGTGATGATCGTTGTCACCGCCGATACCAGTTACAACGGCTACATCGTCATTTTTTACATCATCGTCATCATCATATGGAAGATGTCGACACCAATTACATATACCATCTACATTATCTATATCTTCAACATCATTAATATGGACGATGTCAAAACCAGTTACATATACAATCTACATCATCTACATCTTCAAAACATCATCATCATATGGACGATGTCAACACCAGTTATATATACCATCTACATTTCAAACATCATCATCAATATGCATGATAGCAACAGTTTAATATAGCATCTACATCATCTACATTTTTAACATCATGATGTCAACACCAGTTACACCGGCTACATCATCTACATCATCGAGCATACATATATACAAGCAACAAAGACGAAGATCCCCTCCCGTGTAGCCTTGACCCAGAGGTGAACAGATTATCACTCGTCCCATGTGGTCGTCATGACCGAGAATCAAACCCAGGTAGCCAGGTCTGTGGCGTAGCGCCCCAACCACTACCACGGCCACACCACCCACTTGTGCGCCGTGCCAGCCTTAATAGGTGCTCGCAAAAACACAGCACCTGACCCAAGAGTCTATGTATGGGTATACGGGGCATCTTTGCCTTTGTTAAGAATCACCTATACACACCAATAAACAAAACAAACTAGACAGCTTTTTTTTTTATTTCACAAGGTCAGGCCCCACTGAGCTATATGGATCTTTTTCAGAAGCGACCTGGCCACAAATGATAGCTCAACGAAGTGGCTTATCGCGTGGACATTTATAGCGGCCAAACACTCTAAACGCACGTTGATTATAAATGTGGAGGGAAAAACTGGAAGCCCTGGAGAAAAATGCACATGACCAAGTGATTATGAGAGAGAGACATGCAAACTGCAAATATACAGCAGGCGTCAGGGTCAGGATCGGACCCCATGACCTTCTGCATGCCAGGCGAGGTAGTAAACATCCCGCCACCATTACGCCCTTGCACATGCTCACAACAATCGCCATTCGCCACTAAGTGGCGGTGACGTCACCACGACGCTTGTGCCAGGCTATGTGCACCTTGAGGCCACGTGAAGTGCTCACAAACACCCACACACACTCACCTTCCTGCTCAGTCGCTCCATGTCGGCCTTTGTCCAAACGCTTTCCGATTTCTTAGAAGTCGTTCCACCCTCTGCCAAGTCATCGCTCAGGTTCAAGTCGTCTGCCAGCAAGCCTGCCGGCGGGAGGGACAGCACGTGAATACTTAAGACACACGTGTACACGCAAAGACAAAGTTCCTCCGGATAGCCTTTAACACATTGTTTGGGCAAGTGCTGTTAGCGAGCACCTACGAAGGCCGGCACGGCGCACAAAGGGGGGTGGGTTTGCAGACACTACACCCGACCGCCTTTGTCTCCCCAGTGCTAATGTTTACCCAATCCAGCAATTAATAATTTAAGTCTGAGTCTACCTAAGGGAGGCGCAGTAAAGGTTCAAACATTATACTCTTAGTTTTTTCGGTAAAGTCACGTAGGTAAAAAAATGAAATTAAAATTAATAAAATAAAATAATAAAAACACGACGTTTCGGAGGCAACACAAGTCTCCGTCATCAGGTGGGACCGTCACAGCCAGATTTGCTGTATCAAGTGACATTCACCACCGTTTTATTGGTCTGAATCAAACTCGGGTCGCCGGGTTCGTAGCACAACGCGCTAACCACTACACTCCCGCTCCCCACATTCCACACATGCACACACACACCAAAGATGCTGCCGATTGGCACAAAGCCAAGTATTCTCAATATGACAATCAGGACCATATTGAAGGGAATCCGGAATTAAAGCACAAATGCTTGCATTGCAAACCTGTCCACCTAAGCCTGATTTCCATCCACATCTGTGAAATAAGAGCTTCATAGCTCATCAGATTCCTCCAGCCTAAATAAACACATTCCTGCGGAGGGAGCTGGTAGGAACGTTGGGTTGCTCGGTCAATGGCCAGGGCCAACGGCGGCGTGGTGTATTCCGTAAATATGGCCGACTGTGAGGGCGGGCACAAGCCGGCGTGAGTAGGTTAAACGTTGAGTTTTATAAGGGCACCACGGGGTGACCAGCCCCACCCCACCCAGCCCCACCCTTCCCACGACCCACCCAGCCCTACCCTCCCCACCCAGCCCCTCCCCACCCAACCCCTCCCTGCATGACGGACACAATAATCCCCTGTGGGCTGGTGTAACCAGGAGGTTCCTACCAGTAAGATTACGTTTCTGATAACATCAGTGGTGAGTGATATCATAACCAGACTCAGAATCAGAATATTTATTTTCACTGGAGGAATCCGATCAACTATAAAACCCCTTTTTCAAAGATGTCCAGTGGGGGCGGATCAGAAAGTTACAACAACAAACGATACAACACAATTGATAATAAACGTTTTTGGGTGAGATCTCATTATTTATAAATGTGTCGTAACCCTCCACCACCCGACATGGCCAATCAGTAAAAAAGTGTCACGTTGACAAATAACAAAATAGTTCACTACTTTAGCCCACCGGTGTGTTGAAGCGTGAAACCACAACATTTACAATTTTTGAGTACGACGTTTCGCTGGTACGGCCGGGTACGGGTACGGGTAGGCCGTGAGTCACTGGCGAATCACCGTTTCTCACTAATTTCCCAACGTCTTGTCTCTTCTCACAATTCAAGTTCCTAGAATCAACCCACCCGCGCCTGCAACATGGCTTCATCCCAGAGGTCGCAATCGGGTACCCGTACCCTACCCGATACCCGGCCGGGTACGGGTAGCCGGGTATCGGGTAGGGTACGGGTACCCGTTTGCGACCCTGGTGCGGCCGGGTACGGGTACGGGTAAGGAATCAAAACCCGTTTGCGACCTCTGCCCCCCCCCCCCCCCGGCCCCCCACCCCAGCTCACCAATGGAGGCTGCTCTCTGACCCCTGTCTTGCGCGAGCTTTCGTATTTGTTTCTTGTGCGTCAGCCGCTCTTCCTCCAGCCGCTCGATCTGCGAGCACGCGGACAAAGCAGAGCGACCGACGTCATTCGAGGAAGCCACTGGGGCCTATGCACTTCTGTAACTACTGCTAACTGAATTTCGATTTAAAGCTTTCGTGACTGCAGGGATTCATAGTCTTGGTTCTTTCGGTAAAAGTCGCGTAGAAGGGAAATAATACAATTATTAAAAAAATAAAACAATACAATTCTCACGACGTTTCGATTGCAACACAAGCAATAATCATCAGGTGTGAAAAGCACGGCAAGATTTTCTTTTATTCATTATTATTTTATTATTTCCCTTCTACGTGACTTTACCGAAAGAACCAAGAATACTGCTAACTATGATTTTTATTTTTTATTTGACCACGTAAGGACCACTGAGCTATTAGCTTCTTTTCCCGAAGCGATCTCGCCACAAATGACAGCTCAACGTAGTAGCTTATCGCGTGGAAATGTATCGCAGCCAAATACTCTAAATGCACGTTTCTGTATATGGAGGAGGGACAAACTGGAAAACCCGGAGAAAAGTCCACGTGACGCGGAGAACATCCAAACTCCAAAATGTACGGCCGTTGGGGTCGGGATCGGACCCACGACCTCCTGTGTACCAGGCGAGGTAGTTAACATCTCCTAGCCACCGTGATGATGATGAGAGACGCAAACTCCAAATATACAGCAGCAGGTGTCAGGGTCGGGATCGAACCCACGACCTCCTGTATACCAGGCGAGCTAGTTAACATCTCCTAGCAACTGTGATGATGATGAGAGACGCAAACTCCAAATATCCAGGCGTCAGGCTCGGGATCGAACCAATGACCTCCTGTACACCAGGCGAGGTAGTTAACATCTCATAGCCACCGTGATGATGATGAGAGACGCAAACTCCAAATATCCAGGCGTCAGGGTCGGGATCGAACCCACGACCTCCTGTATACCAGGCGAGGTAGTTAACATCTCCTAGCCACCGTGATGATGATGAGAGACGCAAACTCCAAATATCCAGGCGTCAGGGTCGGGATCGAACCAATGACCTCCTGTACACCAGGCGAGGTAGTTAACATCTCATAGCCACTGTGGTGATGATGAGAGATGCAAACTCCAAATATCCAGCAGGCGTTGGGGTCGGGATCGAACCCACGACCTCCTGTATACCAGGTGAGGTAGTTAACATCTCCAAGCCACGGTGATGATGATGAGAGACGCAAACTCAAAATATCTAGCAGGCGTTGGGGTCGGGATAGAACCCACGACCTCCTGTACACCAGGCGAGCTAGTTAACATCTCATAGCCACTGAAGCGGTGTTGGTGTGCAGCAGAGGACTTACCTCCTTCAGGAGCACCTGGTTCTCGGCTCGGTAACGCTGCTGAGTCAGCGCTTTATTCTTCCTGATCTCTGTGAGGTCAACCACAGACTTGGACTCCAGACCTGGCACGGGAGATGGGCGCAGACACACGCGACAAAGATCACCCCGATAGCCTTAACAAACTGTTGAGGCAAGTGCCGTTAGCAGGTAGCACCTATGAAGGCCAGCACGGCGCGCGAGGGGGTGGGTGATCGCACATACACAGACACACAGAGAGACACACACACAGACACACAGAGAGAGAGACATACACACACAGACAGACACAGGCAGACACACAGACACATAGAGTCACAGAGAAACACAGAGAGACACATACACACACACACAGAGACACACAGACACAGAGAGAGAAACATACACACACAGACAGACAGACACACACAGACAGACACACAGAGCCACAGAGTGACACAGACAAAACAAAGACACACAGAGCCAGAGACACACAGAGAGACACAAACAGACACAGAGACACACACACACAGAGAGACAGAGACACACACGGACAGACACAGAGACACACACACACAGACACAGAGACACACACACAGAGACACACACACGGACAGACACAGACAGACACACGCAGACAGACACACAGAGCCACAGAGAGACACACAGACACACAGACACACACACACAGAGGCAGAGAGACACACACACACAGACACAGAGACACACACACAGCGACAGAGAGACGCACACACACAGACACAGAGACACACACACGGAGACAGAGAGATACACACACAGAGACAGAGACACACACAGACACAGAGACACACACAGACACACAGACACAGAGACACAGAGAGACACACACACACACAGAGACAGAGAGACACACACACACAGAGACAGAGAAACACACACACACAGACACAGAGACACACACACACACAGCGACAGAGACACACACACGGACAGACGGCTGGTCACCGAGGCGGGAGCGCAGCTCATCGTTTTCATCCAGCATGTCGTTGAGCCGCATCTCGAGGGCGTTGAGGTCGCGCGTGAGCGTCTCCACGGTGCCGTCGCGCGTGCGCACCTGTTGCTGGCACACCTTGATGTCCGCCACGGCCTCCACAAGGCCGTACTCTCCCTGCAAAGACAAAGATCCCCCCCCCTCCGTGTAGCCTTAACGTAGAATATAATTACAATAACACACATTACAACTGATTACTAATCTACAACTCGCATCGTAACAATTGCCCGATTCACTGTGAGATCTCTTTTACCTACGACTATATTTTGCCACTGGTAAAAGAGATCTCGTAGTGTAAATGCTTACCCCGAGCACTCAATACTCTGATATTGCACTGTGTTTGAGTTGTACGCCTTCTGGCGTCATCTGGTCCAACACCAATGGGGACTAGGCTCTAAAGAAAGCCGTCTCGGGTGTGGACCAATCAACTTCAAGGGCAGTACATATTATTATCATTATCAGAGTTGTTTCTTTTTGTTTGCTTTTTTGACTGCTTGTGTTGTGGTTATTGCAAACATGATGCCTTGAATAAAGGTGTCAGTTTTGTACCAGTTTAAAAGGGTAAAAACCTACGACTATAAATTGCCTGATTACTAATCTAGTATATAATTACAATAACCCGCCTAAAATCGTTGCACCTGATGAGTTAAATGATGATGTCAATCTGCTGCTGCTGCTCTATTTAAGACCGGGAGCCAGAGCAGAGCCTCACCATTCTGGCGAATTGCCCGATGATGCTGGATGCAATTACCAGCGAAACGTCGTACTACTCAAAAATTGTAAATGTTGTGGTTTCACGCTTCAACACATCGGTGTGGGGCTAAAGCAGTGAACTATTTTGTCTTTTGTCAACGTGACACTTTTTTTGCTGATTGGCCGTGTCGGGTGGTGGAGGGTTACGACACACTTATAAATAACGCGATCTAAACCCAAAAACCTTGATTATGAATAATATTGGTCGCGAAAGCCTCATACGTGTTAAACTTAACAGCCTGTTCGGGCAAGTGCTGTTAGCGAGTAGCAGCACCTATGAAGGCTGACACAGGAAGAGGGTGGGTGGACAGCACCACGCCCGATTGCCTTTGACTCCCCAAGTGGCGATGTTTACACACCGCACATGGGTACTTATTTGAGGCCGAGTCGATCTAGGGGGAGGCCCAGGATCGGCGCAGATAATTGTCGCTGGTGTTGGCCGTGAGCAGGAATCAAACTCGGGTGGCCGGGTCCGTAGTGCAGCGCGCTAACCGCTCCCTACACGCACACACACGCAAGGATATTCCTAGGGCTATGTGCGTGTGTGAGATTGAGAGCACAGACTCACAGAGATATCCGTATACCTAATGAAGAACAATCCCTCACATGTGACCCGTAGGCTCACACAGAGGCCCACATACCCATGTAAGTATCATAGACTCACATAAGGATCAGCAGACTCACACGGACATCCATAAACCCACATAGGGATAGACTCACATATGTATGTATGTTGAATTTCTTTCGCACCGAACGTAGCAAACTGTGGTCATTGGAGGTGCGGGGGAAGGACAATAAAAAAAAAGGTCCCGTAGACTCGCACACAGTCCAATATAACCACATAGGGATCCGCAGATCCACTTAGGGACCCGCAGACTCACACAAACACCCGTACGCGAGGCAAGGGATCTCTCTATGTGTGTCTGGACCTCTCAGTGAATCTATGGGGGTGTCTGTGCGAGCCTGGGGGGGAGGGAGGGGGGGGGTCTCCCCGAGTGAATCTGTGGGTCACCCGTTTCTGCACAGCGCCAAACGCGAGCCGGTTCGCATCGGGGAACGCCGCACAGCACAAAACCTGCACTCATTTGCGCGTTTTGCATGTCGTGCGTGTCGTGCGCGTCGTGTCTCGGGGAGGCTTGGGAGGCGTATTCGCGGGACGCACGGCCTCGTATTGGCGCATGCGGGCCAGCGCGTCGATGAGCTGCCGGTCCTTCTCTGCAGCGTCCGCGTCCGCCGCTCGCGCCACCTCCTCCGCCTGCCGCAGCCTCCCCTCCAGCTCCGCCAGCCGCCCGCGCAGCGTAGAGTTCTGGAAAGCCTGCGACGAGGGCGCAGCTGTGGCAGCAGTAGCAATAGCAACAGCAGCAGCGGTAGCAACAGAAGTAGCAATAGCAAGATCAGCAGCAGCGAGAGGAGTAGCAATAGCAGCATCGGTGGCAACAGTAGCAGCAGAAGTATAAGCAGCAGGACCAGCAGTGACAAAATCATAAGCGGAAGCAGCAGAAACAGGCATAGTAGCGGCGGCAATGGAAGATGCAAAAGCAGTAGCAAAGTAGCAATAGGAGCAGCCACAGAAGAAGCAACAGCAAGAGTAACAGAAGCAGCAGCAGCAACAGCGGCGGCGGCAACCAATGAATGATAGTCAGTTAAGTCAGCCATTTGTAATATAATCACAAGCATCAACAGCAATGGCAGCAGCACCATCGGCAGTATAAAACACAAAAATCATGCACCCTGTGTGCCGCTCTTAGCAAGATGTGCATCTGCACTGGCCCCCCCCCCCCCCCCCCATACTGCGCTCTGTAATGCCCTCCTGTTATGCCTCAACCAGATTGCCTCCCTGTGTTATCCTCAGTACTGCCCCGTACTGCTTCCCATCGTGCAGGCCCCTATACTTCCTGCTTGACCTCTCCTCCATATCGCCCTTCCGTACTTGTCCTCATTTGCTGCCCCATACCCCCCCCCCCCGCCCCCTCTCCTCACCACCATGAGGCCTGAAACATGCCTTCCCACCATGCTGCCCTCGCACGTTGCTTCCCCGCGCTGCCCTCAGTAACTGCCCCCTCCCACCGACCCCCAGAGGTCGCAACCGGGTACCCGATACCCGTACCCTACCCGATACCCGGCTACCCGTACCCGACCGGGTACGGGTACGGGTAGGCCGTGAGTCACCGGTGAGTAACCGTTTGTCACTCATTTCGGGTAGGGTACGGGTAGGGAACGGCTACCCGTACCCAGCCGGGTATGGGTACGGGTACCCATTTGCGACCCTGGTGCGGGCAGGTACGGGTACGGGTAAGGAATCAAAACCCGTTTGTGACCTCTGCCGACCCCTCCCTTCCGTACTGCTCCATCGCACCGCGCTCCCATCCCACGCTGGCACCGCCCCCCCCCCCCGCCTCCCCCCGGCCACGTGTAGCCCACCCTGGTGCTGCTGCAGCTGGTCCCTCATCTCCTCCATGACGGCGGCGTTCCTCTCCATCTCGGCCGTGTGCTGCCCCATCTGCTCCGCGAGGAGCTCCACCTGCTGCTCACGAACTTGCAGCGCCTGGCAGATGAGGGCGGTCGGGCGGGTGGGTGGGTGGGCGGGTGGGTGGGCGGGTGGGTGGGCGGGTGGGTGGGTGGGCGGGTGGGCGGGTGGGCAGGTGGGTGGGCGGGTGGGCGGGCGGGCGGGTGGGTGGGCAGGTGGGCAGGTGGGTGGGCGGGTGGGTGGGTGGGCGGGCGGGTGGGTGGGTAGGTGGATGGGCGGGTGGGTGGGCGGCCGCGGGAGACAGACAGAGAGACAGTTTTTTGTTTGGCCCCCGTAGAATTCGCAGCCCGGGGTCATGATAATAACAATTATTTTAACGCCACGGTTCAAATCCCGTTGCAGTGATGTTAACACGTCACACCAGGTACTCATTTGAGGCTGAGTCGACCTAGGGGAGGCCCAGGACCGCCTCAGATAATCGTCACTGGTGTTGGCCATGAACGGGAATCGAATTCGGGTTACAGTAGAACGGACTTTGGATTTATTAATCAATAAATGCACTAACATTTATGAATAATTATGAATAAATCATGCATTTAACGATCTCCAGTATGTATGTTGGACTTTTTCGCACCAAACGTAGCCAACTATGCGAAATAAAAATGAAATTTATAATAAGATATGCATTCAGTCCACGACGTTTATTGATTTATTTAAAGCTTTCGTGACTGCAGGGATTCATATTCTTGGTTCTTTCGGTAAAGTCACGTAGAAGGGAAATAATAAAAGAATAAAATATAAAACAATAAAATTCTCACGACGTTTCGGCTGCAACACAAGCAATCATCATCAGGATTTCACATCTGATGATGATTGTTTATTTTATTTAGAGCAGTTTTAAATTTTAACACTGCACAGTATAAAATGTAACCTTATTATTTTCATTTTAAATTGTCTTTGTTTGCAATGTGAACGGTAAGATTCTAAATGTGGAGTGAAACACCGGAGGATCCGGAGATAAATCCACGCGACCACGGGGAGAGAAACATGCAAACTCCAAAAATACAGGTGTCAGGGTTACGATTGAATCCACGACCTCCTGCATGCCAGGCGAGGTAGTTAACATCTCGCCATCACACACAAAGTCCTTGCCACAAATGAACCACGATACCTCGCTGAGCTCGTCAAGGAGCATAAACCATCACACAAACTCCGGTCATCCTCGCAAGAGCGGCTTTTGGCTAGCTATCCAACAAAGGCGGTCACCGCATCGTGCGCTTTCGCGGCCGTCTGGAATGCTCTTCCTTCCGAAATTGGGAAGCCACTGAAGCTATGCACTTTGAAATCATCTAGATTGAGAACTCATTTCTTTAGAACTGATTTTTGTATTTAGTTTGCCTGTCCTTCCCCCCGCACCTCCGATTCGCACGGTTGGCTACGTACGGTGCGAAAGAAGTTCAACATACATCAGCAATATTTAAAAAACTTTTTTTAAAACATGCTTTAATGAAATGTACATTCTCAGCATCACCTTAATCGCCTCCTTCAAGAGACACTTAAAAACTCACCTCTATAACCACGTGCTTTCGAGCGATTCTGAGCTTGGCTCCGCGCCTCTGAGTTGCGGCCGTTACATCCGCAAATTTACGCGCGTTGCAAATTGAATTATTATTATTACTCGCTGCGACGTAGTTCCATTCGCACGATCGCGCTGCATATCCAATCCGCGTCCGCGCAACACAAAAAGAACGCGTTCCCTACCACGCTCGTCGCGTTACGTATCCGATCCGCGCGATGAAACACTTTGCAGTGTTACGGGAGAACAGACGGAAACACGATACGGGCCACGGAGGGAGGTACCTGCTGCAACGCGACGATGCTCTGCTTGTCCGAGTCGAGCTGTGTGGCCTTGAGCCTCTCCTGGAGGTCGCGCACTCTCTTCTGATACTCGAGCAGCTCCTCATCCTTGCCCACCAGAAGCGACTGCAACAAACCGCACGGAAGAGGGGGGGGGGCGCAAGGCGGCACACGCATGGATGGGTGAGCAACGTTCAGCAGCAGCCGCAGCAGCAGCAGCAGTCACAACGGCAGCAGCAGCAGCAATATCATCTCTTTGGTTTTTTCGGTAAAGGCACGTAGGTAAAAAATAAAATAAAAATAAATTAACCCTTAAAAACAAAGTGTTTCACTATAAATCCTTTATATGCGTGGCGGCTAGAGTCCTCTCGTCCACTGGCTTGAGATGGCTGCCACCTATGGGTCATATGATTGCCTGCCACCATTAAGCAATTGGTATTTAAATATCATTTTTTTTTCCTAAAAAGTGTAAAATTTTGGGGAAAAAAATTCACGAAAATTCATTGTCACGCACAACGAGTCTGTGTGCAAAATATCAGCTCGATTGGATCACGGAAGTGGGTTAAAAAACGACCGAAAGATTTGCACGGTCGTAAGCGCGCAAGCAAGCAAGCAAGCGAACTTAATATAAAGGATTTAATAAATTAAATCACTGTGTCAAATAATCTTGCTGTGACGGTGCCACCTGAAAACGGAAGCTTGTGTTGCCTCCGAAACGTCGTGATTTAATTTATTTTTATTTAATTTTTTACCTACGTGACTTTACCGAAAAAAACAACGAGTATTGACCCTTGCAGTCACGAAAACTTCAAATCTAGAAGCAATATCATCATCATAGCCTTTCATAAAATCGTCCAGAATCCGTCCGATCTCGTCAGAGTTCGGAAGTTAAGCAGGATTTTGAGCCTGGATAGTGCTTCTATGGGTGCACCAGCGGATGTGGTTCCATCATCACCAACGTCTACAGTTGAGACATCAACAATAGCAGCAGCAGCAGAATCATCATCGTAATCCTCAACAGCAGAAGCAACAGCTGCAGCATCGGCAACACAACTGCCAGCATCGGTGGGCACCATTATTATCGTCATCATCTACAGCAGTATCAACAGTAGCATCATCATCCGCATCTATACTTTCATCCCCACTATTATCACCCACAGAAGTAACATCACCAGCATCACCATCATTCTTAATTTTGGAGCTTTCGTGACTGCAGGAATTATTCTTTGGTTCTTTCGGTTAAGTCACGTCTAAAGATAAAATAATAAATTAAATAATAGCATATTACGACCTTTCGATTGCAACACAAGCAATCGTCATCAGGCATAAAAGAAATAGCAACAAAAATCTAACTAGAAAACTATAGACAGACATACAAGCAGACAGACATCACAAGGACACACAGAGAGAGAACACATAGACGTGACTTAACCGAAAGAACCAAAGAATATCACCATCATTCACAGCAGCAGAACCACCAATTCCAGCAGTCGCATCATCATCAGCAGCAGCAACATTATCATGATCAGCAGCAGCCTCATGATCACCATCACAAGCCCAAGTATAATCATCATCACCATGCATCATTTAAGCGCGTGGACCTCTGGCGAGTGTTTGCTTGTTAATTATAACGACAATGAAAGCAGCAATGGAGAATGTGTGAGACCTTCCACTCTTCTATCTTGGAGTTGACGGCCTGCATGATGGGGTCATCTTCCTCGGAGCGCACTTGCAACAAAGTATTCAGCTCTTGCACCTGTGGGGCAGAGGAAGTGGCTCATCAAAAGCAAGCAAACACAGACATTAACCGATACTCATGGCCCATCCACTCAGCAACTCAGCCACCCACTTACCAAACAAGCAGCCAGCCACCCCAACCATCTATCTACCCATACATCAGACCACTAAGTCACCTACCCACCCAGCCAACTACCCACCTACCTACTCACCCAGCCACCCACTCTCCCACCCATCCAGCCAGCCACAGAGCAGGCAACCCAGCTAATCAGCAACTCAGTCACTCACCGTACAAGCAGTCAGCCACCCCAACCATCTATCTACCCATACATCAGACCACCAAGCCACATACCCACCCACCTACCCACCCAGCCACCAAATCCCCCATCCAGCCAGCCACAGAGCGGGCCACCCAGCTAAGCAGCAACTCAGTCACTCACCGTACAAGCAGTCAGCCACCCCAACCATCTATCTACCCATACATCAGACCACCAAGCCACATACCCACCCACCCACCCCGCCACCCACTCTCCCACCCATCCAGCCAGCCACAGAGCGGGCCACCCAGTGACTCAGCAACTCAGTCACCCACTCACCCATCCTCCAAACAAGCAGCCAGCCACACAGTCATCTATCCATACACCTGCCCACCAAGCCACCTACCCAATACCAATACCCGCTATTCGCCACTAAGTGGTGGTGACGTCACCACGGTGCCTGTGCTAGGCCAGGTGCCAACTTGCTGCATTTTAGCCACCTGGCACTCCGCTCGTGGTTGTGAGTGTCGCTCCTCTGCCCTCCGTTGATGTTCAGAGGGGCGACTGCCTCTAACTACCCAGTAGCGTCCTTCACGAACCTCCCACCACAGTGACACACTCTATACGCACACTAATACACACTCTACACAAGAGAGAAAGATCCCCCATATAGCCTTAACAGACTGTTGGGGCAAGTGCTGTTAGCGAGCACCTATGAAGGCCGGTACGGCACATGAGTGGGTTGGCGGCCAGCACCAAGCCCGACTGCCTGTGTCTCCCCAGTAGCGATGTTTACTACACACCGCACCAGGTACTCATTTTGAGGCTGAGTCGATCTAGGAGAGGCCTAGGACCGGTTCAGATAAGCATCACTGGTGTTGGCCATGAGCGGAAATCGAACACGGATCACCGGGTTCGTAGCGCAGCGCGCTAACCGCTACACTACCACTCCCTACACAGTGACACACACACTCGACACACACACATTGGCATTTTCTGTTTACGTGACAAACCTTAATAATTGGCTGTCGGATGGTGGAGGGTTTAACGACACATTTATATTTACGCTATCTAACCCAAAGAAACAACCTGTATTATGGATGACATTGGTCGCAAAAGCCTACGTATTAAACACACGCACACTCTACACACACACACACTCACTCTACAGCAGAGGTCACAACCGGTACCCGATACCCGTACCCTACCCGATACCTGGCTACCCATACACGGCCGGGTACGGGTACGGGTACCCGTTTGCAACCCTGGTGCGGTCGGGTACGGGTACGGGTAGGCCGTGAGTCACTGGTGAGTAACCGTTTGTCACTCATTTCGGGTAGGGTACGGGTAGGGAACGGCTACCCGTACCCTGGTGCGGCCGGGTACGGGTACGGGTAAGGAATCAAAACCCGTTTGCGACCTCTGCTCTACAGACAGTGACACACACAAAGTGATACACACTCTCTACACACACACCCACACTCTACAGACAGTGACACACACAAAGTGATACACACACTCTACACACACGCACAGCGACACACAATCTACAAACGCGGACCTGGAGGGCCAGGTGCTCCTTGTCTCGGCGGAGTTGATCCACGACGAGGTCGCTCTGCTGGACGAGCACCCTCATCTGCGCGTACTCCTCCGCCATGCGCTCCATGTCCACGGCGCTCTGCTCCAGCTCCTTCTGCAGCTGCTGCGCCTGAGTCACCAGCCGCTCGTTCGTCTCCGTGAGGTTCTACGACAGAGGCCGGGGGGGAAGGGGGGAGAAGGGCGAGGGTGTGTACGGTACGTCTGTGAAAAAAATGCTTTATAGCACATCGGATTCCTCCAGTAGACATAAATATTCATGACTCCTTGTAGAAAAAGGTGTCAGTTTTGTTGCCAGATAAAAGGGTAAAAAAACAATTTTTTCTACTGGCAAAGGAGGTTCCAATGGTGTAAATGCTTTACCCCGAGCTCTCATACTCTGATGGTGCATTATCTTTGAGTTGTGCGCCTTTTGGCGTCATCTGATCCAACACCATGTGAGACTAGGCTCTAAGGAAAGCTGTCTCGGGTGTGAACCAATCAACTTCAAGGATAGTGCATACATTATCAGAGTTGTGTTTTTTGTTTGCATTCCGACCGTAGGTATTGTGGTCAATTTAAACATGACTCCATGTAAAAAAGGTGTCAGTTCTGTTGCCAGATAAAAGGGTAAGAAACCAATTATCATATTCTGCTACTGGAAAAAGAGGTTCCAATGGTGTAAATGCTTCACCCCGAGCTCTCATACTCTGATGGTGCATTGTCTTTGAGTTGTGCGCCTTTTGGCGTCATCTGGTCCAACACCATGTGAGACTAGGCTCTAAGGAAAGCTGTCTCAGGTGTGGACCAATCAGTTTCAAGGACAGTGCATATCATTATCAGAGTTGTGTTTTTTGTTTGCATTCCGACCGCAGGTATTGTGGTCAATGCAAACATGACTCCTCGTAAAAAAGGTGTCAGTTTTGTTGCCAGATAAAAGGGTAAAAAACCAATTATCATAAATATTCTTATTCTGACATACTACATCGACAACAGCTGCCGTTCGCCACCGAGTGGCCGTGACGTCACCACAGCGCTTGCCTTGTGCCAGGCTAGGTGCCTGCCGAGGCCAGGAGAAGTGGCCTCGAGTGAGGGGAGGCTCGCTGCAATAACTCCGTGGACCTTTAGGACCAGACCTCGCGCGTGCTCCCGTGCACACGCGTACATCGGCTAAAAGTATTTAGCGACAAGCGGACTCGCTCGGAGATCCGAACACCATTTTTTTCCGGTGAAAAAAAAACATGAAATACCTGGATGTCGTCAAGGTACTCCATCATCTCGCGCTTCATTCGCGAGATCTGCGCCTTCAGATCGGCCCCATCTTCGGTGCGGGACCGCTTGCTCTCTCGCTGAGAGTCCATTTGGCGTTGGTAGTCCACGATGTCTTGCCGCAGGATGTCGTTCTGTCAAGGGAGCCGTGAGAAGAAAAAACGCTTAGAGGTAACCGATTTTGGTGATGATGCTGACGAAGGTGACGACGATTTCGTATGCGCCAAGTGAAGAGCGTTGTTACAGATTCGGTTCAAAGCGAAGTTAGCCATTCAATCGCTTTGGTCGGAGAGTTGGTGACTTGCAGATACACCCAGCCCACCCACTCGCTGACTCACTCATCCACTCGCTCACCCACTCATCCACTCGCTCACCCACTCATCCACTCGCTCACCCACTCATCCACTCGCTCACCCAACCCACTGCAATCAAATGTATATTTGGGGCAGCGTGAAGTTACACGGTTCTGTGGTTTAGTGTTCATAGTAGCAGTCGCACATGTATTTAATTTTTATTCTCCACTTGTAAATGTGTCCGCAACTTCCGTTGTGTGTGCAGATCCGGTTAAGTGCTGCCCATTGTTTAAGTACAAGATGGAAGCCGGGCAGGGTCATGGTGGGCTCGCTGATAAGCTGTGTATTGTGGAAGCCGGGCAGCAGAGGTCGCAAATGGGTTTTGATTCCTTACCCGTACCCGTACCCGGCCGCACCAGGGTCGCAAACGGGTACCCGTACCCAGCCAGGTACGGGTAGCCGGGTATCGGGTAGGGTACGGGTATCGGGTACCCGGTTGCGACCTCTGCCGGGCAGTGTGATGGTTGGGTCGTTTCACCCTACACTACACTTCAAAGGCAAAGATCCCCCATATAGTCTGAACAAACTTTTGGGGCAAGTGTTGTTAGTGAGTAGCACCTATGAAGGCCGGCAGGGCAAACAAGAGGGTGGGCGACCAGCACCACATACAACCACCTTTGTCTCCCTCGTGACAACGTTTACATGTTGCACAAGGTACTAATTTGAGGCTGAGTGGACCTAAGGGAGGCCCAAGACCGGTTTAAATATTGACCACTGTCATTGGCCGTGAGTGGCAATTGAACTCTAGTCGCAGGGTTTGTAGCGCAGTGTGCTGACCACTACATGACCGCTTCCCACTACACTACAAAAATGAATATCCCCCATATAGCCTTAACAGACTGTTGGGGAAAGTGCTGTTAGCGAGCACCTATGAAGCCCGTCACGGCACACGAGGAGGTGGGTGGCCAGCACCACGCCCGACCGCCTTTGTCTCCCGAGTGGCGATGCTCACGCACCGCACCAGGTACTCATTTTAGGCTTCGTTGACCTCGGGGAGGCCCAGGACTGGTTCGGAAAATCATCACTGGTGGTGGCCGTGAGCGGGACTCAAACTCGGGTCACCAGATTCGTAGCGCAGCGCAGCGTAGCGCTAACGACTACACTACAGCTCCCCCACTACACGCTACAACACACGCACTCATGAGGGCTCATTGAGGCTCACTCAGATGATCACGTATCTACCGCCGAAGGGCTTACCAGTTTTTTCACATTTTTTTTCTTTTCCACGGGAATTTAACACAAGGCGGAGGGAGGAAGGCGGTCAAGAGAAACCAAGGAGAAATTTAGGAGCAATCAGATGGAAAAAAAACGAGCACAAACCAAAACACGGTGAAATTAACAACATGGACAAGACAGAAATAAATAAGAGTATGAAGAATGTTGTGTGCGCCTTTATGAATTGACACATTCCTGCGGAGGGAGCTGGTAGGAACGTTGGGTTGCTCGGTCAATGGCCTGCAGGGTCAACGGCGGCGTGGTGTATTGCGTAAATATGGTCGACTGTGAGGGCGGGCACAAGCCGGTGTGAGTAGGTTAAACGTTGCGTTTTATAAGGGCACCACGGGGGGACCAGCCCCTCCCCACCCAGCCCCACCCCTCCCACCCCCTCCCCACCCTCCCCACCCAGCCCCTCCCCACCCAGGCCCTCCCCATCCACACCTCATCCTCCCCACCCAGCCCCTCCCCACCCTCCCCACCCAGCCCCTCCACACCCAGCCCCACCCTCTCCACCCAGCCCCTCCACACCCTCCCCACCCAGCCCCTCCCTCCCCACCCAGCCCCTCCCTGCACGACGGACACAATAATCCCCTGTGGGCTGGTGTAACCAGGAGGTTCCTACCAGTATAACATCATAATCCACCAACGGATGAAGGCCTCCCCCACACCGTGTCGGTCGAGGAGGTTGTTTGAACATACTTCACCTCTCTGGTTTATACGGCATTGGCGGAGGCAAGCATCGGTTCGTACATCACTCGCCACTGATGTTAGCCGTGGCTTGCAAATCAAGCTCAGCTCGCAGGGTTCATTGTGCAAGTGCGCTACCAAATGCGTCGCCACTCCACCCCCCAAATAATAAGCATGTAATTGTCTCGACAGGAAAAGATCTGACAGGGCACACTCTCGCTCAGACGCAGAGCTGCTCTAGCATGGACTACTTTTTGTGTTTAGTCCTTACCCAGCACCTCCGATAAAACATGGTTGCTCTTTGGTTCTTTCGGTAAAGTCACGTATAAAGAGAAAATAATAAATTAAATACTAGCATACGACGTTTCGATTGCAACACAAGCAATCGTCATCAGGTATAAATGAAATAGAAACACAAATCTAGTATACTTAGAAATGTAATGTAATACAGCAGATAACATAACAGTCAACACCCTGGTATGTTATCCGACTCTCTGTTGTATTACATTACATGTCTAAGTATACTAGATTTGTGTTTCAATTTCATTTATACCTGATGTTGATTGCTTGTGTTGCAATCGAAACGTCGTATGCTAGTATTTAATTTATTATTTTCTCTTTATACGTGACTTTACCGAAAGAACCAAAGAGTAATTCCTGCAGTCACGAAAGCTCCAAATTAAGTTGAAAGCATGGTTGGCTACGTACGGTGCGAAAGAAGTTCAACATACATACGTACGAAACATTCTCGCAGACACAATGATAAACACCCTTGGACAACATTTTCTAACATTCTCTGCCCATGATCTAAGCAGTCTCCCTTCCCATGTAACGTGCTGGCTACCATCATACCAGCCGCTCTATGCAGCCCCTATAAACGCTCCCTTCCCATGTAACGTGCTCGCTACCGTCGCATCAGCTGGGCATCGCCCATGCAAACGAGATGCACCATTCTAGATTTGAAGCTTTCGTGACTGCAAGGATTCATACTCTTAGGTTTTTTCGGTAAAGTCACGTAGGTAAAAATAAAAGAAAACAACAAAAATAAATAACTAATACGAATTTATAACTTCAGCATTAGTTTCTTGCTGTGGTTGTCCCACCTGATGACGGACACTTGTGTTGCGCCCGAAACGTCGTGATTTATTATTTTATTTCTATTATTATTTCAACAATTTTATTATTTATTTTTATTTTTACCTACGTGACTTTACCATCTCAACGGATTTTCCAGATGACATTTTTCCATGATAGTAATTTTAAATAAGACACTGAAAACACTCAAATATTGATGCATTATCCCACGTGTGTGTGCCCGTGTGTGGCCTTACCTCTCTCTTCAGCTTAGAAATCTCCCCTTCAGCCTCTTCCATTTTCTTGGAGAGCTGAAAAGGCACAGCGTTGGGCCGCACAAAGTTTAAGCGGACCGTGAATCACTCGCGGTGACGCAGCCAGGCCGCCTGCTAACAAGTTCAAGTTCAAGTATTAGGTATAGAGCCCTGTGAGCCATTCGGCTCTTGAATCGGGTGCAACCGCAACAAACAAAAAAACAAAAACATGAGCAAGAAAACATCTTAAAGTGACTAAGTTAAAGTTACAAGTTCATTTATTAGGTATAGCCCTGTGAGCCATTCGGCTCTTGAATCGGGTGCAACCGCAACAAACAAAAAAACTAAAACATGAACAAGAAAACATCTTAAAGTGAATATGTGACTGAGTGCAAACAGAAAATCCAAGAAAAGACAGTAAAATATTGCAGAAAAAGCACCGTACACAAAAATGTGCAAAAATCCCAGTGGGATGCAAGTCAAACAACAACAACCACAAGACAACTTAGATTAAGGCCATCAGTCTAACTCTGTACTACAACAAACAAACATGGCCAAACCAAAAAACTTATCGAAAATCACCAAAATAAAGCCATAAAAGCAATGAAACAGTGGACACCTGTACCGTGGAACCAACCATTAGCAAAATACCTCTACTGTGAAACCGACCGCTCACAAAACACCGGTACCGTGCAACCGACCGAAACCCAAAACACCGGTACCTGCTCACTCCACTTTTTCTCTTTCTCCAGGTTCTGTTCCACGGCCGCCAGCTCCTGATCCCTGCGCTCCAGGTTCTGCTCCAGCTCTTGGATCTCTCCGCGCATGAGGCTCGCGTTGCGACCGCCGCGACCTGGGACTTGCGTCTGCGTGGACGAGGGAAAGCGGGCGGTGGAGGGGGGGGGGTATGTGGGGGGCGGGGGGGGGGTTGTGAGGGGGGGAGTAGGCGGGGGCAGTCACGAGTCACGGACTTCTCTCACCAGACGCCGTCACCTGCAGCACACCTCCACTGATCAGAGGTCACAACCGGGTACCCGATACCCGTACCCTACCCGATACCCGGCTACCCGTACCGGGTACGGGTACGGGTACCCGTTTGCGATCCTGGTGCGGCCGGGTATGGGTAGGCCGTGAGTCACTGGTGAGTAACCGTTTGTCACTCATTTCGGGTAAGGTACGGGTACGGGTAGGATACGGCTACCCGTACCTGGCCGGGTACGGGTACCCATTTGCGACCCTGGTGCGGCCGGGTACGGGTACGGGTAAGGAATCAAAACCCGTTTGCGACCTCTGCCACTGATTCACCGCAGCCGCCGACGCTCCCGTTGACAAAACCACAGACGGCTCTCCTCACTCCACTTTGTTGAGCGGCTATCATTTGTGATGGCCAGGTCGCTTTGAAAAATAAGTGAATACCTCAGTGGGGCTCTGTCTGGTAGGATGGGGATGGTTTCGATGTATTTGTATGTTGTTTGGGTAGTTTGTTTACCTTTCTTGTACTTTGCATGACTGTCGCGTTTTTGTACTGTTTGTTGTTGTGACGTTCTAACCCCGTGCCCCGACTGGACATGTGTGAATAAAGAGCTTAATAGCTCATCGGATTCCTCCTGCCATATAAATATTCTTCTTTGTAAATTCAAATCGTTTGTACCAAAAATCCTCCACCCCTAAAAAAAATTAACAGTGGCTCAAATGAGTAATTAGGCGATGCCCTTATATTTGCAGCGCTGAGCCACTAGTGAAAATTCTACATTACTATGACGAGGCCGGGTCTATCCATAAGGTAACCACTGATGAGGCAGTGGTGGAAATTCTCCATTACTATGACGGGGGCGGGTTCATCCATAGGGTAACCACTGATGAGGCAGTGGTGGAAATTCTACATTACTATGACGAGGCCGGGTCTATCCATAAGGTAACCACTGATGAGGCAGTGGTGGAAATTCTACATTAGTGTAGAGGTGATACGCGCTGGGATTAAGGATCGTATGCACAGTGCGTGATGATTGGCTGTGTAGGTGGTGACGCGCGCTGACGGTGGAGGATCAGGGGTCAGCGCGGGGTCGTGGGTTACGGGGTACCGATTGGCTGTGGGCGGTGACGCGCTGAGAGGGAGTGATCAGGTGGCAGCGCAGTGTGATTGGTGGAGTAATGTTAACACGCGCTGGGGGAAGCGGATCGTAGAGAGAGTGCGTCGTGATTGGGTCATTGAGGAACGACGCTCACGTCGACGCCGCATCAGCTCCGTCCCTCGTGAGCAGGGGCTATAAAAGGGGATGCACACAGGCGTAAGGGCAGTGTGTAACCAGCGAAGAAGGAAGACGGGGATGAAGACCTAGAGCCCTGCGGTACCTAGCCCCGCTGTCCTAAGGGGACCGGGACTCTGTGTAACCCAGAGGCGAGTGTAGTGGGTGTAGCCATAGGTCTACACGAGCCGAATGTACTATGTGTAGCCAGGGCATAGGGCTTACACGAGTCGAGTGTATTGTGTAGCCAGAGGCATAGGGCTTACACGAGTCGAGTATATTGTGTGTAGCCAGAGGCCTAGAGCTTACACGAGATTAGTGGAGTGTGTCGGAGGAAGAAGAGAGACCACACGTTGTATTGTGATACCTAAAGGATTTAATAAAAGTGTGTTACCCGTCAAGAAGTTCCTGCCGTCAATTCCCATACTTCAACTGGTGTCAGAAGTGAAACGGTCCTCCAAGCATGGATACAAGGAGGAACCGTCGGACCCACGGGATTGACCACGAGGACAACCTCGACGACGCGGGCCAGCGGGCATCAGGGGGTGAGGAAGAGGAGCTGCCCACGGGGCAGGATCCACCGACGGCGCCGGTCGAGCGACGGGGGACTGACACCGTGCTTCGCGAGGCACACTCCCGTCTGGCGGAGCTGCTGCTCGCCGCCGCGTCCATCTTGGCGGAGATCAGCTCGTCGGGAGGAGCGGGGACGGCGGCCGACGTGCTACAGGGTCGCCCTGCAGATTCCCGCCAAAACGATTTGGCGATTCCCGCCATTTCATCCGCTCCAACTTTTGGCGGGAACGGCCATCACCACGTGGCAGCGGTTCTCCATGCGCGGCCGCTGACGTCACCAACGCGCGCGGCGGACCGCCATCACACACCCGCCACTGGGGCCGCCATCTTACACACCGACGGGGGGGCAGAGAGGAAGCACGAGGAGGAGGACGACTTTATCTTTCAGCAGCGCCTTCCCACGTTGTCAGCATTCAAGGCGGAAGGCGGGGATTGGAGCCAATTTCAGCGCAGATTTTTGGCGCATCAAGAGATGTCCGCCTGGTCCGACGCTACGGCACTGCGGGCACTGCCTGCCATGCTGGACGACAACGCGCTCGCGGCCTTCACGTCCGCACGCAGGTCGGACCGCTCCACGCTCAAGGATGCGCTGGCTCTCATGGCCAAAGTCTACGGTCCTCCCTCGGCGTGCCGCCATCATTTCTACGCAAGACGGAAGGCGGACACGGAGACCGTGCTCGCCTACCGCACGGCGTTGCTCGCTCTCGCTGACGCCGCGTTCCCTCGTATGGACGAGGAGGGCCAAGATGCGATGGTTTTGGAGCAGCTGCTCAAGTTGGCGCAGGACCTGGGGGTCCCCATCAACACGGCCGACGACACCGATATTTCTTCATTACGGGTCGCCACGAGCATGCAAGCGCACGAGGTCCTTCAACGAAAGCAGGGGGTCGTCTGCAACGCTGCCGTGGCCTCAACTCCGGGTCCGGTTGACACCGTGCCCCAAGTCGTCAGCCCACGAGAGGACGCGTTCATCGCGGGACGAGCGGGGGACTGGAGGTCGGGGGGTCGTTCGCCTCTGCGAGCGGCCCGCAAGCTGGAGCAACCGAGATCTCCGACTACTGTCATCACCTGCTATAACTGCGGCCTTCGTGGCCACGTGGCCTCCGGTTGCCGCGCCCCACGTCAGCGCGCCATGGGACCTCGGCTGGACGACGACCAAGGCCCCAAGTCATCACTGCAAACCCCGGCAAGTCGCGGCACCTCACATGCTTGGCCCGCATACTCGACACGTATGGGTCGTCGCGTTGCGACGAGGGAGAGCCGAGTAGAGTTCGGGGATTCGGTTCGGAGAGGGGGGTTCGGCCGGGACCGGGGAGACATTAAATGGTCGGAATTGGGGCACAGAATAGTGGCTGCCTCAGCGGGTTCATCCGTCGTTACCGGATCGATTGATGGGGTCGAGGTCAGGGTGTTAGTGGACACGGGGGCATCGGCGACTATTATTTCGGATCTCATTTTTAATATTCTCCCGGTACAATGTCGTCCGCTTCTTCCGGTGGATGTGCCATTTTACGCCGCTAACGGGGGATCGTTGGGCATTATCGGTCAGATTAGGGCGTCCATTTGCATTGGTGATATCAAATTGTCGGGACCCGTTTTCGTTTCATCTTCCCTGGCGGTTCCTTGCCTATTGGGCACTGATTTTTTGGCGAAAATGCCCATCAAAATTCTCATTGATCAGCGTTGCATTGAACTACCATCGGGTCGCCGTATTTCATTTTTGACGAGCCCTAATGTAATTCGGACGGCGTGCGCTACCATTCAGGCGTTAGCAACACAGACCGTGCACGTGCCCCCGGGTTCACAAATGTTGATTCCCCTCCGGTTACGGAAGCCATGGGGGAAGGAGGCCTCGGAACAGGCCATGCTTTTGGGTCCTTCTAATAGGGCTGTTGGAGGTCTCGATTTATCGGTGGCTCACACTTTGGTTGGGGCAGACAGGGATCCGTTTGTCATGGTTTTAAACGCTGGGGCGCGGCCGGCCGTCATTCAGCAGGGCACCGTGCTGCTCACGCGGCACGGGTCCCTGCGGAGGAGAGGCTGGTTGCGCAGGCTGATCCGAGCCCCACGAATAGCGTACCATCAAAGGAGGACCTAGATTGGATTGATATGCTGTGCGCGGACTCTGACGATTTGTCAGCGCTACAGTTGGGTGCGTTGCGCGGGTTGCTGATTGAATTTTCGGATGTCTTCAGTAAACATAAGTATGATATCGGATGCACGGACCTGCTACGCCACCACATTGAAACGGGCGATGCGGCACCGGTCAGGCAAAATCCCTTCCGACTGAGTCCTGCTGAGAAGGAACATGTTCAGTCGGCAGTTAACGATATGCTGGAAGCCGACATTATTTCGCCTTCTTCCAGTCCTTGGGGAGCACCTATTGTGCTCGTTAAAAAGCAGGACGGGTCCCTGCGATTTTGCGTCGATTTCCGCCGCCTGAATAAGATCTCGGTGGCCGACGCGTATCCGCTCCCCAGGATGGACGAGTCTCTCGATGCATTGTCCGGTGCGTGATACTTTTCGACTCTTGATTTATTGTCCGGATTTTGGCAGTTGCCACTCGACGAGGAGTCTAAGCCTAAGACTGCATTCCGGACTCCAGGGGGCCTGTTTCAGTTTAACCGGTTACCCATGGGACTTCACTCCTCTCCTGCGACGTTTCAGCGTCTTATGGAATTGGTTTTGTCGGGCTTGCAGTGGGAGACGTGCCTCATTTACCTTGACGATGTCATTGTTTTTGGTAAAACGTTCGAAGAACACCTCCAGCGATTGAGAGGGGTGTTCTTGCGAATGCGATCGGCTAAATTAAAGTTTAAACCGGCCAAATGCCATCTTTTTCGTAAATCCGTGAGGTACTTGGGTCACATTGTCGACTCTTCGGGGATTTCTACCGATCCTGCGAAGACGGACTGTGTCAGTTCGTGGCCGACGCCCACGTCAGTGTCAGACGTGCGCAGTTTCATCGGTTTTGCTTCGTATTATCGCCGATTCGTTGAGCACTTCGCCACCATTGCAAAGCCCTTGCACGCTTTAACGGCGAAAGGAGTGAAGTTCCGGTGGGGACCGGAGGAGGAGGCTGCATTCTGCTCCCTCCGGGACGCCTTGGTAAGGGCCCCACCCTTGTGCTATCCGGACTTTGAGAGTCCCTTCTTGCTAGACACGGATGCTAGCAACACGGGCATTGGGGGAGTGCTGTCCCAAGTCGTTGGAGGGGTCGAACGGGTGGTCGCCTATGGTAGCAGGGTGTTGTCGCCGGCAGAGCAGCGCTACTGCGTCACCCGTCGTGAACTACTTGCCATTGTTTTTTTTGTACAACAATTCAGGCCATATCTCTATGGTCGTCATTTCACGGTCCGGACGGACCATGCGGCGCTCCAGTATTCATTACGGGTTGCCCAGCCCTCGGGCCAATTGTCGCGGTGGTTGGAAGTCCTCCAGGACTATCAGTTCACGACTACGTACCGTAAAGGGTTGCGACACACGAATGCCGATGCCCTGTCGCGGTTGTTGCCTTGTCACAAATGTGCGTGCTTATCGGGATCGGCGCGCTGTAAACCTCCGGTTACGGAAGGTAGGGAGGCGTTGGTTGCGACCGCGAGCACACCAATTGGGGATGGTCCCGCTACCCCAGGGGGTCAGGACTCGCTGCTCTCACTGTCGTTGATTGAGTGGGGCCGTCTCCAAATGGCGGACAGCTCCCTGCTGGCATTGCGCCGAAAGACGGAGGGTTCCGAAGGTAGCCACGACCGAACTGGCTCCTACGAGCTTAAGCAGGGCCTGTTGATGAGATGGGACAGTTTGTCCCGGCGGCATGCGATTGTGGTGCCTTCTGCTGTGAGGGGGAAGGTTGTCTTGGCCGCACACGAACGCCTCTTGCATTTGGGAGTTAACAAAACGCTTGCCCTGCTTCAGCGTGACTATTATTGGCCGGGAATGGGGGGTGACGTGGTGAATATTCTGAAGGGTTGTGTTGAGTGCGCCAGACGGAAACCACCGCCCGTGGCAGCTAATCCACCGCTGCAATCTATTCAGGTCTCGCGCACTAACGAGCTCGTTGCACTCGATATTCTGGGGCCCTTTCCGGTCACGCCTAGGGGTAATAAGTACCTGTTGGTGGGGGTCGAATATTTTACCCGGTGGCCTATGGCGTGGCCACTCGCCAACCAGTCGGCGGCGGCTGTGACGGACGCCTTTGTCCAGGGCTACGTCCTGGACAAGGGGGCTCCCGAACGCTTGCTGACTGACCAAGGGAAAAATTTTTCGAGTAAATTACTGCAGGAGGTGTGCGACCTGTTGGGTACCAAAAAGGTGCGTACCTCCCCGTACCACCCGCAGACGGACGGGATGGTGGAGAGGCTTAACAGGACATTGACCTCTATGCTGTGCCAGCAGGTGTGTGAGTCGCATGTTGATTGGGACCTGCAGGTCCCTGGGGTCCTTGCCGCGTATAGAATGGCCCCCCATGCAGCTACGGGGTTTTCCCCGTTTTTTCTAATGTACGGTCGGGAAGCCGACCCGCCCATGGAAACGCAGCTGGGTCTGCCCGCACCACGAACTAATTCTAAATTGGCAGAGCATATTAAATTTAATATTCATAAACTGACAGAGGCAAGGGAGGCCGCACGGCTTAATTCGCGGGCTCGCCAAATTGCGAACGAGCGGTTGCGGGCACGGAAGGTGTCCGTGCACAATTGGGAACCAGGTGACAAGGCCTGGCTGCATTGCCCTCAGGCACCTTTGGCCACGTCGCCTAAACTGTTGAAGCCGTGGCGGGGACCCGTGGAGGTCGTGCGGGTGGCACGCCCCCAGTGCGTTCAGATAAAATGGGGGAAACGCCGTTGGTACGTCCACCCCTCCCGACTGAAACCGTTCTCGCCTCCGTATGGCCTCCCCTTGTGTCGTGAGGGCCGAGCATGTGACGTGACCGACGACCCTGAGGGGGAATTGTCCTTGCCTGCTCCTCACATGTCTCCGCCTGATCCGCTCCCAGGTGTCTCGGAACTGACTGCTGCCGACCACCGGCGGCCGGATCTTCACGGCGGGGCCGGTCCTTCCAGGCCCGACCCGTGCCGTCTAGAGCTGCCGGAGACACCGGACGGTCGCCAACGTCCCGTTCCATACGACGGACCGGCCAGACGGACTCGCGCTAGGTCGCGCTACTTTGTGTAACCTACCATGTGCGGAGTCGAGGCAGCCGGAGCGCCTCGGCACTGCGTGGGTCACAGTGACACATGGCGCGTTCGTTTTACGGTGTTCGCTTTTATTGTGTTGTTCGTCGGGCTGTATATTGCTTCATATTTAAGGTTGTGTTATGTTGTTGTTGTTGTGTTACGGGGCACACTGGGATGTGGAGTTCTTTATTACTGCGTTGCGTTATGTTGTGTTGTAGGTTAACAGCCGGGCCGGCTGCAAGCTATGTGGGAGGGGGTGATGTAGAGGTGATACGCGCTGGGATTAAGGATCGTATGCACAGTGCGTGATGATTGGCTGTGTAGGTGGTGACGCGCGCTGACGGTGGAGGATCAGGGGTCAGCGCGGGGTCGTGGGTTACGGGGTACCGATTGGCTGTGGGCGGTGACGCGCTGAGAGGGAGTGATCAGGTGGCAGCGCAGTGTGATTGGTGGAGTAATGTTAACACGCGCTGGGGGAAGCGGATCGTAGAGAGAGTGCGTCGTGATTGGGTCATTGAGGAACGACGCTCACGTCGACGCCGCATCAGCTCCGTCCCTCGTGAGCAGGGGCTATAAAAGGGGATGCACACAGGCGTAAGGGCAGTGTGTAACCAGCGAAGAAGGAAGACGGGGATGAAGACCTAGAGCCCTGCGGTACCTAGCCCCGCTGTCCTAAGGGGACCGGGACTCTGTGTAACCCAGAGGCGAGTGTAGTGGGTGTAGCCATAGGTCTACACGAGCCGAATGTACTATGTGTAGCCAGGGCATAGGGCTTACACGAGTCGAGTGTATTGTGTAGCCAGAGGCATAGGGCTTACACGAGTCGAGTATATTGTGTGTAGCCAGAGGCATAGGGTCTACACGAGTCAAGTGTATCGGGTGTAGCCAGAGGCCTAGAGCTTACACGAGATTAGTGGAGTGTGTCGGAGGAAGAAGAGAGACCACACGTTGTATTGTGATACCTAAAGGATTTAATAAAAGTGTGTTACCCGTCAAGAAGTTCCTGCCGTCAATTCCCATACTTCATTAGTATGACGGGGGCGGGTCTATCCATAAGGTAACCACTGATGAGGCAGTGGTGGAAATTCTCCATTACTATGACGAGGCCGGGTCTATCCATAGGGTAACCACTGATGAGGCAGTGGTAGAAATTCTACATTACTATGACGGTGATGGGTCCATCCATAGGGTAACCACTGATAAGGCAGTGGTGTAAATTCTACATTACTATGACGGGGGCAGGTCCATCCATAAGGTAACCACTGATGAGGCAGTGGTGGAAATTCTCCATTACTATGACGAGGCCGGGTCTATCCATAAGGTAACCACTGATGAGGCAGTGGTGGAAATTCTCCATTACTATGACGGGGGCGGGTCCATCCATAGGGTAACTACTGATGAGGCAGTGGTGAAAATTCTACATTACTATGACGGTGACGGGTCCATCCATAGGGTAACTACTGATGAGGCAGTGGAGGAAATTCTACATTACTATGACGGGGGCGGGTCCATCCATAGGGTAACCACTGATGAGGCAGTGGTGGAAATTCTACATTAGTATGACGAGGCCGGGTCTATCCATAAGGTAACCACTGATGAGGCAGTGGTGGAAATTCTCCATTACTATGACGGGGGCGGGTCCATCCATAAGGTAACTACTGATGAGGCAGTGGTGGAAATTCTACATTACAATGACGGGGGCGGGTCCATCCATAAGGTAACCACTGATGAGGCAGTGGTGGAAATTCTACATTACTATGACGGGGGCGGGTCTATCCATAGGGTAACCACTGATGAGGCGGTGGTGGAAATTCTACATTACTATGACGAGGCCGGGTCTATCCATAAGGTAACCACTGATGAGGCAGTGGTGGAAACTCTCCATTACTATGACGAGGACGGGTCTATCCATAGGGTAACCACTGATGAGGCAGTGGTGAAAATTCTACATTACTATGACGGTGACGGGTCCATCCATAGGGTAACCACTGATCAGGCGGTGGTAGAAATTCTCCCACTGCAATGGCGGGGGATGAGTTTATCCACAGGATAAACCACGGTTTGGCCTCGCCACAAAGCTGTATTCATTTTAAAGACCTCGCAGCGATGGAGGGCTGAGTCAACCCAAAGCCCAACCTGGACTTGAATTTGTGTCCTTATCGCAGGAGGCTCATCCTGACCAGGACGCTTCAAAGTCGTAACCCATGTCAAAAGTCTTCTTGGTTCTTTCGGTAAAGTCACGTAGAAGGGAAATGATAAAATAATAAAAATTAAACATCATAAAATTATTCTCACGACGTTTCGGCCACAACGCAAGCAGCCGAAAGGTCGTGAGAATTGTATTTTATTATGTTTTGTTTTTATTATTTTATTATTTCCCTTCTACGTGACTTTACCGAAAGAACCAAGAAGATGAATCCCTGCAGTCACGAAAGCTTTAAATCCATGTCAAATGGTCCAAAAGAACCTGCGGTGTAGATGTTTGCGTTAACGTGTTGTTCAATCGGTTGGAGGGTTGTCTCCCCTTATCCCTGATGGGTGTCTGCTTGCGACGATTGCAAACAACATGGGTGCAGAGCACGCGCGTACCAGCTCATTCTGCAGCTTGTCGATCTTCGCCTTGTACTGCCGCTCTAAGGGAGAGAGGGGGAGGGAGACCGCGCGTCGAGAGGTGGAGACGTCATCACGTGGCATCTCTTCGAGACTGATTCGAGTAGAGTGCGCATCTAGGACACAGAGTAAAACTAAGCGACAGCTCCTAAAACACTTGGGTGTTGTATGTATGTGTATTTGTGTGTGTGGGGCTATCCACTCCCTAGTGTGCCATTTCGGTCATCATAGGTGCTCACTAAAGTCACTTGCCGCTAGAGTCTGTCCAGGGGATACGGTAGTATCTTTGTCTTTGTGTGTGGGGAGCTCTAGTGCAATGGTTAGCGCGCCGTGCGATGAACCCGGCAACCCGAGTTCGGTTCCCGCTCACGGCCAACACCAGTGATGATTATCTGAACCGGTCATGGACCTCCTCTAGATCGATTCAGCCTCAAATGAGTACCTAATGCGGTGTGTCAACATCGCCGCTAGGGAGACAAGAGCGGCTGGGCGTAGTGTTGGCCGACCCACTCCCTCGTGTGCCGTGCTGGCCTTCATAGGCGTTCACTAACAGCACTTGCCCCAAACAGTGTGTGTATAATACACGTGGAATCTTTGCATTTTGAATCGGAATGTCCCACGCAGTGACTGATCAGTCCAGCCATAGGTGTCTTATTAAGGCCGCCCACGTTGACCAATCACGTTCTTGGAACACGCCGTGCGGTTTGAACTTTGGCGCATGCCAATCGGTTTAACAGCCACTAACGAATGCGGTTGAGTTTCCGTCAGCGTGTTGCGTTTGTTGTGTTTTTTGGGGAGCCACGGTGGCTGGGAGATGTTAACCACCTCGCCTGGTATACAGGAGGTCGTGGGTTTGATCCCGACCCTGACCCTGCTGCTGTATATTTGGAGTTTGCGTGTCTCTCTCTCATCATCATCATCACGGTGGCTAGGAGATGTTAACCACCTCGCCTGGTATACAGGAGGTCGTGGGTTTGATCCCGACCCTGACGCCTGCTGCTGCATATTTGGAGTTTGCTTGTCTCCCTCTCCACCCGTGGTTGCGTGGATTTTTCTCCGGGTCTTCCAGTTTTTGCCTCAATATTTTGAATCAAAGTCACGCATTAAGTGTATTTGGCCGCTGCAAATTTCCACGCGATAAGCCACTTCACTGAGCTATAATTTGCGGCCAGGTCGCAAATGGGCCTTACCTGGTCAAAATAAAAAATAGCAAAAAGTAAAAATAGTTTCCGCGTTCAGCTACCGTCACTGTGCCGAGTTATCGTCGCGAGCGAATGCGTCGACGATTCTCGAAAAATCGGGGTGGGCATTCCTCCCCTGGTGTGCCGTGCGTTGTGTACCGACTTTGGCTTGTTCGGTTCCCGCCCTCTCAACCTCCTCCATGGCAAACGCAGCCTCCTGCGATTTCAGCTGGGGCAAAGATTGCACATGACATGGATTGCACGCAATTCGGATTACGTATGAATGTGTGATTCGGATTGCAGATTACTGATTACACGCGATTCAGATTACATATTATTGTGTGAATCGGAATGCTGATAATTAATTACATGCGAATCAGATTACATGCGATTTGGATTACATATTAATACGTGATTCCGATTACAGATTACTGATTACACGCGATTCACATTACATATTATTGCGTGAATCGGAACGCTGATTATTAATTACATGAGATTCAAATTACCAGCGATTCAGATTACACGCGATTCAGATTACGTGAGATTCAAATTACCAGCGATTCAAATTACCAGCGATTCAGATTACACGTGATTCAGATTACACGTGATTCAGATTACATGAGATTCAAATTACCAGCGATTCAGATTACACGCGATTCAGATTACATGAGATTCAAATTACCAGCGATTCAGATTACATGAGATTCAAATTACCAGCGATTCAGATTACATGAGATTCAGATTACACGTGATTAAGATTACATGAGATTCAGATTACCAGCGATTCAGTTTACAAGTGATTCAGATTACACGCGATTAAGATTAAACGAAATTGAGATGGCACGCGATTCAGATGATACGCGATTCAGGCCACGTGACCGCTGCTAGCGATGGTGAAGGTGGAGCACATGGCATGCACGCGCTCTTCACCTGCATGAGCGACTGCGTGAGGGAAAACAGATGGATGAGCTTGTCCGACGTTTCATCTTTTAAACTCTTCACCTCCACCTGTCAAGGCAATACAAAGCGTTCCAAATACATCACCATCATTGCTTAATAATAATAACAGCACCGTGCTCCCCATGCAGTATACTCCACAGCGCTCTGCAGTAGGGGAACCCTACCAGTGGCAGCTCTCCCTGTGTGGAGTGAGCGGAACGCAGCACCGGCCTACGAGTGGCCATTAGTCTGCCGGTAGGGTGGGCAATGCTGTGACTTGGCTGTCCCAGCTAGGCAATTTGCGGGTACATTTTTAAATCAAATTTGGCAAATAGGAACCGTGATGCTGACGGGCATGGCCTACCCTCTCTGGAATAACGAAGTCAAAAGTGACGAGCAATGAGGCAGTGCTCATCTCCTGTTTGCAGCCCTGACGTCGGTCGTGGAGATTCCACATTCCTATGGCGCAGACGATTCTCCTTCTATAGGACAAGCACCCTTGACTTCCCCCGTCGCAAACCGTTACTCTGTTTAATTTATCTGGGAAACCCTACTGCGGAAAGTCCTGAATTGCGATGTTTGGCCAATTCCTCTCCAATAAGTGTATCACGCGTTTGTTGTTCTACTCCCACAAGTCCGATTAGCCACGGTTGGCTACGTAACGTGCGAAAGAGGTTCAACTTAAACACGTATTTTATCTAGATTTAAAGCTTTCGTGACTGCAAGGATTCATATTGTTTGGTTTTTTTCGGTAAAGTCACATAGGTAAAAAATTTAAATTAATAAAAGTAAAATAAAAATCACGTTTCGGAGGCAACACAAGCTTCCGTCTTCAGGTGGAACCGTCACAGCACGATAGCTGATACAGCTGATACAGCTATCGTGCTGTGACGGTTCCACCTGAAGACAGAAGCTTGTGTTGCCTCCGAAACGTCGTGATTTTTGTTTTATTTTTATTTTACTTTTGTTAATTTAAAATTTTTACCTACGTGACTTTACCGAAAAAAACCTAACAACACGTATTTTATCGACCCTGGAGGGGATGATGATGGGCTGAGTCAACACCCCAAACCAGGATTTTGAACCCGCAAACCTTTGAATTGCGAGCCGCTCGCTCTATCTGCAGCTGAGCCACCTGGCCGGATAATGCACATGCAAAATTAACAAGGGTGGTCTCTGGGCTTGAACCGCGAACCAAATGCAACAAACGGCAAAACACACTTCCCCCTGCACATGTTTAGTGTACATGCCGAACAACATGTTTGGAATCGACAGGAGAAAAGTTAGACTTAAGAATAAATCGAGTTATTAACAGACCTTTGGAACATAGCTCGTTCGTAAGTAGCGGAGTCCCTGTATCATTATAATAGGTTTTCCCTTTTTTTCTGGCAACAAAACAGCTGTGTTAAGATGTTAAAACACCAAACTGAAACCTTTTACAAGGAATCATGTCTGCATTAACCACAATGCTTGTGGTCAGAATGCAAACAAAAAAACATACTCTGATAATAAATGCATTGTGCTGTAACACGTTCCTACGGAGGGAGCTGGTAGGAACGTTGGGTTGCTCGGTCAAAGCCGACGTGAGTAGGTTAAACGTTGAGTTTTATAAGGGCACCACGGGATGACCAGCCCCTCCCCACCCAGCCCCACCCATCCTACCCCCAACCCTCCCCACCCAGCCGCTCCCCACCCTCGCCTCCCCACCCAGCCCCTCCCCACCCTCCCCACCCAGCCCCACCCATCCTACCCCCCACCCTCCCCACCCAACCGCTCTCCACCCTCGCCTCCCCACCCAGCCCCTCCCCACCCTCCCCACCCAGCCCCTCCCCACCCTCCCCTCTCCACCCAGCCCCACCCCTCCTATTTTGGATGCACGACGGACGGACGGACACAATAATCCCCTGTGGGCTGGTGGAACCAGGTGGTTCCTACCAGTATAATGTTTTTGTATTGCTTGTTGTTGTAACGTTCTTACCCAGCGCCCCTACTGGACATGAAAACATTGCTTTATAGCTCATCGCATTCCTCCTGCAGTGCAAATAAATATTCTGACCTTCGAAATAATGTCTTCGATCTGGTATGCGACGTCCACCTCTCTCTCCAAGGTGTTGGGGTCACACTTGAGCAGGATCTCCCACGCCACGTTCGGTGCCATTTCCAAAGCTTTCCTGTTCACAGACTGACCAGCGCACGCAACATTGAGGCCCCGGGTGGTGGAGCGCACCGATCAATCCTTTTGCAAGATTTAGTATCTAGAGCAGCGGTCGGGAACCTATGGCTCACGAGCCATATATGGCTCTTCTGGTGACGGCATATGGATCCCAGACAATTTTGAGTTGAAAAAAAAATAAAAAAAATAAGTTTAGAACTGATTTAAAAATACTTGTGATATTGCTTAATAATACTGTGTCATTTTAAAGTAAACAGAAATTAGTTTTGAAGATAAATTTGACGGGTCACGGGGCCTCAACGGCTGCACGAAGCTCAACCTGACCACGTACGAACCAGACTACAAGGCCATCAGCAAAACCATGCAGCACCAGAAGTTGCATTAAAAGTAAGACATATTTAATTTATTATACGTTAAAAATACTATATGGCTCTCAATGCAATATATTTAGAAATATTTGGCTTTTATGGCCCTCCCAGTCAAAAAGGTTCCCGACCCCTGATCTAGAGTGTATCTGTTTCTCGTCAAGGAGCATTTAGCATCTGAGTGAACTCCGGTCATCACCGCAGTGGCAGCGGCTTTTGGCCGAGCCATCGAACAAAGTCGGTGGATCATCGCATCGAACGGCGCTTTCAGATGCGCTTCTGCGGCCGTCTGGAACGCTCTCTTCCTTCCGATATTAGGAAGCCACTGGAGCTATGCATTTTTAAATCCTTTATATTAAGTTCGCTTGCTTGCTTTCGTGCTTGCTTGCTTACGACCGTGCAAATCTTTCAGTCGTTTTTTAACCCACTTCCCGTGATCCAATCGAGCTGACATTTCGCACACAGACTCGTTGTGCGAGACAATTAATGTTCGTGCAAAAAAAAAATGCAAAAATGTTACACTGTTTAGGGAAAACAAATTAAATATTTAATTACCAATTGGTTAATGGTGGCAGACAATCATCTGACCCATAGGTGGCAGCCATCTCAAGCCAGAGGACGTGGACTCTCGCCGCCACGCATATAAAGGATTTATAGTGAAAAACTTTGTTTTTACGGGTTATACTTATTAAATCGTCTCAATTGAAAACTCATTTCTTTAGAACTGCTTCTTGTTGTGTTTGGTTTGTTTTCCTTCCATCCGCACTTACGATTAGCACGGTTGGTTGCGTACGGTGTGAAAGAAGTTCAACATACAGTACATACGTGATGTTGGTGCATTCCGTTTGGTGCCCGTGTCAACCCACCGACTTATCCCACGAATGAGGAACGTTAATAACACTGCATTCACCTTAAACATGACACTCAATGTGCATTATAGTATCCACGAGTTGTTTTGGGTTAGATCGCGTAAATATATAAATGTGTCGTTAAAACCCGCCACCCCCCAACACAGACAACTAGTAAGGGTTGCAACGTAAACAGAACGTGGCCAATTCGTCACTAGTACAGCACTAATGTGTAGTGTAGTGTGTAGTGTATAGTAGTGTATAGTGTAGTGTATAGTGTAGTGTATAGTAGTGTATAGTGTATAAGTGTAGTGTAGTGTATAGCGTAGTGTATTGTATAGTAGTGTATAGTGTAGTGTATAGTGTAGTGTGTAGTGTATAGTGTAGTGTATAGTGTAGTGTATAGTGTAGTGTACTAGTACAGCCACACCGGTTGTGTGTTGGAGAGCCAAGCCACAACATTTACAGAAATCTGGCTGTCGCCTGATGAAGCTGGTTGTAATTACTGGCGAAACGTCGAACTCAGATTGTAAATGTTGTGGCTTGGCTCTCTAACACACAACCGGTGTGGCTGTACTAGTATACTACGCTATACACTACACTATACACTACTATACACTGTACACTACACTATACACTACTATACACTACACTATACACTACTCTATACACTACACTATACACTACTATACACTACACTATACTTATACACTACACTATACACTACTATACACTACTATACACTACACTACACACTAATGCTGTACTAGTGACGAATTGGCCACGTTCTGTTTACGTGACAACCCTCACTAGTTGGGCTGTGTTGGGTGGTGGCGGGTTTTAACGACACAACATTTATACATTAACGCGATCTAACCCCAACAAAACCTCTATCATGAATATTGGTCGCGAAAACCTCCTGCGTGTTAAACTGCATGACAGTACTTCGGGTTCAATTTCGATGTAAAGCTTTCGTGACTGTAGGTCTGTCTTCTCGACAGACCTGTTCTTCACCTGAGGACGGCTGCTTGCGTTGTGGCCGAAACGTCGTGAGAATTATTGAATTGTTTTATTTTTCTTCTTGGTTCTTTCGGTAAAGTCACGTAGAAGGGAAGTAATAAAATAATAAAAATAAAACATAATAAAATAATATAATAATATAAAATAATATAATAAAATAATATATATATTATTTTTATTATTTTATTACTTCCCTTCAACGTGACTTTACCGAAAGAACCAAGAAGATGAATCCCTGCAGTCACGAAAGCTTTAAATCGAAATGTTATTATGTTTTATTTTTATTATTTTATTATGTTTTATTTTTATTATTTTATTATTTCCCTTCAACGTGACTTTACCGAAAGAACCAAGAAGATGAATCCCTGCAGTCACGAAAGCTTTAAATCGAAATGTTATAATGTTTTATTTTATTATTTTATTATTTCCCTTCTACGTGACTTTACCGAAAGAACCAAGAAGATGAATCCCTGCAGTCACGAAAGCTTTAAATCGAAATGTTATAATGTTTTATTTTTATTATTTTATTATTTCCCTTCTACGTGACTTTACCGAAAGAAACAAGAAGATGAATCCCTGCAGTCACGAAAGAAGCTTTAAATCGAAATGTTATAATGTTTTATTTTATTATTTTATTATTTCCCTTCTACGTGACTTTACCGAAAGAAACAAGAAGATGAGTACTTCGGGTGTCTGAGAGCCGTTTTGTTCGTCGAGGGTGATTTGATGTCTGCAGAATAATTTACTGGCGCTGTTGGGACTCCCCTAGGTCGACTCAGCCTTAAACGATTATCCACTGAAGCCTTCGGCTAAGTCGACTCAGCCTTAAATGATCCACAGGTGCGAACCGGTCGTTAACTCGGCTTCAAACTAGCGCGGCTACATTAAAACAAAGCGTTGCAAAGAATATATATATACGTGAAAGGTTTACTTTATCTTCTTGTTTCTTTCGGTAAAGTCACGTAGAAGGGAAATAATAAAATAATAAAATAAAACATAATAAAATAATATATATATATAATTTTTATTATTTTATTATTTCCCTTCTACGTGACTTTACCGAAAGAACCATTAATATTAATCCTTGCAGTCACGAAAGCTTTAAATCGAGGTGTACTTTAAGTGTAAACGTAAATAAGATCTTTAAGCGCCGTTTTAACGGGTTGCTTAGCAACCCGAGGCCTAGGGCGCTATTCTAGCGAGGTGCATTGCGATAAGCCTTAAAAAATATACAATACGTTGTAACTTTGACAATTCTAATGTATGAAATAACGTTAGCGTTGCCCAACATTGTTTAGAAATAAAAAAACGATAGTCACCTGTCCGGAGATTAAAGCAATTTACTCTGACATAGCCGCCCTCGTTTCGACGCTGCTTCTGATACTGTGGATCTTCCGGAAGATATCTACCGGCCGTTCGAGTGGCAACATCTTCCGGAAGATATCTACCGGCCGTTCGAGTGGCAACATCTTCCGGAAGATGTCTACCGGCCGTTCGAGTGGCAACATCTTCCGGAAGATATCTACCGGCCGTTCGAGTGGCAACATCTTCCGGAAGACTTCTACCAACTGTTCAAGTGACGTCTTCCGGAAGATATCTAGCATGTCTTCCGGAAGATATCTACCGGCCGTTCGAGTGACATCTTCCGGAAGATTTCTAGCATGTCTTCCGGAAGATATCTACCAACCGTTCGAGTGGTAACATCTTCCGGAAGATATCTACCGGCCGTTCGACTGGCAACATCTTCCGGAAGATATCTACCGGCCGTTCGAGTGGTAACATCTTCCGGAAGATATCTACCGGCCGTTCGAGTGGTAACATCTTCCGGAAGATATCTACCAACCGTTCAAGTGACGTCTTCCGGAAGATATCTACCAACCGTTCGAGTGGTAACGTCTTCCGGAAGATATCTACCAACCGTTCGAGTTACGTCTTCCGGAAGATATCTAGCATGTCTTCCGGAAGATATCTACCGGCCGTTCGAGTGGCAACATCTTCCGGAATAATTCTACCAAATCTTCCGGAAGATATCTACCGGCCGTTCGAGTGACCTCTACCGGTAAGTTGCTACCGTGTCTTCTGGAAGATTCTACCGTTGTCTTCCGGAAGATGTCTACCGGCCGTTCAAATGATAACATCTTCCGGAATATTAAATCTACCAAATCTTCCGGAAGATATCTACCGACTGTTCAGGACCCATCTTCCGGAAGATGATACCATATCTTCCGGAAGATATCTACCGACTGTTCAGGACTCATCTTCCGGAAGATTTATACCGTGTCTTCCGGAAGATATCTACCGACTGTTCAGGACCCATCTTCCGGAAGATTGATACCGTGTCTTCCGGAAGATGTCTACCGTCCGTTCGAGTGACAACATCTTCCGGAAGAACCTTCTCCCGATGTCAGAGACTCAATCTAGATATGATCGAGATTTGAAGTTTTCGTGACTGCAAGGATCCATACTCTTTGGTTCTTTCGGTAAAGTCACGTAGGTAGATAAATAAAATTAGAGACTCAGCCCGGAGTATCAGCCCGCGCGCTAGAGGATGTCCATGGGAGGAGATGGAGCGATTAAATGATGATCCGCTGATGTGCATCGCTGGGACTGTAAAATTAATCTTCTTGGTTCTTTCGGTAAAGTCACGTAGAAGGGAAGTAATAAAATAATAAAAATAAAACATAATAAAATAATTCTCACGACATTTCGGCCACAATACAAGCAGCCGTCTGCTTGTAATGTGTTTTATTTTTATTATTTTATTATTTCCCTTCTACGTGACTTTACCGAAAGAACCAAGAAGATGAATCCCTGCAGTCACGAAAGCTTTAAATCGAAATTTTATTTTGTTTTATTTTTATTATTTTATTATTTCCCTTCTACGTGACTTTACCGAAAGAACCAAGAAGATTAATCCCTGCAGTCACGAAAGCTTTAAATCGAAATTTAATGTTAGGCAACTTTGTGGCCAGCAGAGGGCGGTGCAGCAACATGCATCATTGTACGGTACTATGGCGCCATAAATGACGTCACACATTTTTGGACGATTTTTGACCCCTCCCCCGTCACGTGAC